CAATGAGTTAGGTTCCATCACGTGACTGACATTCACCTTTGAGTAGTCCAACACATGCTTTTTGAAGAAGTTGCCTTGCTTGAATCCTCAATGGCGACAGCCTGAGGATGGTGTGGACAACGTTTGAGGTGGCTAAAGAGCAAGCAGGCAAATCAGTGTGCATGCCCTCATCACGGTGTAGAAACAACAATACTGAGAGGAACAAATGATGCTCCTGACTGTATCTATAATGTTGTGAGGTCACACGTTGCCTAGTCTGCTATACTTGAGAAGACAAGTGCGTTCGACCCTAAAGGGGAAGCGAGTGCAGCAAAGATCTAGAGGTACGCACTGAAGCGAAGCGCGAGAAAGCGCAGGTGCGCGCAAGGCGCGGGATACACGCGCGCGCGTATGCAGAAACGATAGAGAGTAAGAGTAAGTTTGCTTAAGTGATGATATGATGTAAGACAAGAGGTATGAGATGCGATGTGTTAAGGAATAGATTTCTACTACGTTCTGCTAAGTAGTAAGTGAGTGCAAAGTTGGGTAGTGAAAAGTAAGTGAGTAATGGTATGTACTGCTGGCACTTATATATGGCGCTTAAGCGCTGTCATACGGAGCCGAAGCGCTTCCGAGTAAGGTATGTAAAGATATATATGAGTGAGAGTCCATGATAAAAATAAAGGTGGAACGATATGCAAATAAGGGAAATGGAAATATACGCACTAGAGAGCTTGGTGGACGGTGGATGGATGCTTCTGGATGGCTGGCGCTATATGGCGCTCAAGCGCGGGAACACGTGCACATATATACATCGCAAAGCGCGGGAAAGCTGCGCCTCATATAGGGATAGCTGCAGATAGCACACAGAATGGTGCTGCAAGTTCGTGCAATGAACTCCCTAGTGAAAAGTGCCATATCACACCATGAGAGGCATGAGTCTCTACAACAGTTGATGCGCTCATTGGAGAACATAAGGCCAGGTAGTCTCCATGGCATCAAAGAGATATTCGGGGTGGGTGGAATCCTTGATGTAAGTGTCGATGGGGAGCAAGTGGGTTTGGAAGCGACGGCGGGCTCAGAAAGTTGAGGGATACCATCAATCCAGACTTGTTGCGGTGTTGGACCAGTGGTTGTGCTGTCCTGGGTGCCTAAGCGACGGATTCAAGGCTACCCGCTGACATGCACAAAACTTGTTTTGTACATGAACATGGCAAATATTTAGCTTGTAATACCCTTCATAATAGCCTATGATGCTATCTAGAATTTTATGTGTAGCACCCATATTTTATTTGAGTAACTTCAGACTCAAAATTGAGTGCACTACTAAATGTTCAAAATAACACTTATCTTTCTGAAAGATTGGTTTCAAATGCACAATTCTTTACTTAGTCAGCAATTTCTCACACCTCCTATAATTTTCTCACACATTTTCACATGTTCTGGAACATACTTTGTGACATATCCTGACATCATATTACATAATCGGCATGTTTTGTGTCACATCTTGAACATGTTCACTTACGCGAGCCTTTCATTTTCTTACGCGAGCCTCTTAGTTTTCACAACGCTCAGAGGAAAGACTGAGATACTTTATACCTTATTACATAATCGGACTCATGAGATTTGGTGGCACATTAGGAAACCATGCAGAGACTTCATTATGACAAATATGCAGGACCAACACTATGGTATTTAACAAGTTAACATCAGACTGCAATAATCTCAACAAAGTTTGAACACAGCTTTGGAGTACAGCATTCAGGCAGTGCAAAGGCAGTGTATACAGCTTGCTAGCACAGGTTAGCATAGCCACAGAGCACAGCCACTAATGTTGATTTGAAAGCAGCATTAGAATCTGGTGGAATAGTCTGGAAAGTTCTATGGTATTCTTTGAAACTTTAGTAGTAGATTAGTAATCAGTAGCACAGCCACTAGTAGAGTAGTATATAAGGGGCCCATTTTCCCTTCTAATAAAAAGAGCTCCATCTCAGAGCCCATTTCCAAGTATCATCTAAAGTTTGAGAGTGAAAGAGTGAGTGAAAGATAAAGAAGAGTGACCATAAGGCTCTTTTTAAATTCTCACCTCAAAGATTACTGAGTGACACACTGAGTGAAATATTAGCTTATTTCATTCCACTTTTTGACACTGTTTCCCACGACATACAGAGGCATAATTGAGGCCACCATTGAGCCATACATTTTACACTAGCTGGTACATGGTTATCAGTCATCTAGTGCAGATATATTCCAGTTCTCTTTCAGACACAGGAAATCGATTCTGTGGGGAGAATATACATATTTTCATTAGCAAGAGAAGACAAATAAGACTAACAGTCAGTCACTAATATTAAGAACTTGGCCCACTTAAGACTACATCAATAGGGTGTACTCTGTTCTGTCCTGTGTCATACTCATCGTGTAGTGCCTGAGCAGCAGAGAGTAGGTTTCGAAGCCACGTATTAGTTCGGGCTGATCCGTGTTAGAGGCTTAGTTTGATCTCCAATTGGTTTGTGAAGGTAGGGAGTATTGATATAGCTCTGAGAATCATCACATAGACATCCATCTGTATTCGTTGAAGTCATAGCACTGCATCACGCCAGTTATTGACTTTCTTTAGGATCATAGCACTGCATCAAGCCAGTTACTGATTCTACTTTCCCCTTTTTAGTCACTGAGTCATTCCTTTGAAACTCAACACACTTTTTCCCACGAACAACCACATTATCGACTGTTGGTATTTGTCTGAACCGTTGACCGTGGTAGGATACTGAAAATTGGTGAATTTTACTGTTTTCACATCCTAGTAAGACACCACTATGGAGAGCCAATGACCAATATTGTGCAAATCTTCCAGGTCGCCAGCTACAGAGAGCCAATGACCAATATTGTGCAAATCTTCTGGGTCAGCAGCTGCAGAGAGCCAACGATCAGTATTGTGCAAATCTTCTAGATTGCCACACTGTCATGAGTGCCCAATGCCCCTGCCAGCTGAAACAGGACGGCTGAAGACAGCAGCCAAATTTTCCAGGAGGGTCCAGGACCATTTCATTCTGCGCGGTCCAGGTGAACGAAAGAAGGGGGGGAGGGAGATGATGCTTACCCCCCTGCAACAATAGCACAGACACAGAACATGACAGAGGAGGCCCATTTCATCCCACTCGTGCAACTCCCTGCACATCCACCTGCTAGCGTGCGAGCTTGGACTGGACACACGATGAGATGCCTGCAAGAATGTCCATAGTACATTTACCATATCTAAAAAGTTAAGTTGAAGATTGATTCACAAATGAAATTAAGTCACTGACTTTCAGGTAGGTCAATTTCACCAACAAACTTCTTGCAAAGCTCTTCAAGCTTGTCCTCAGTGTTCTGAGAGTCCAGCGAGACTGAACACTTGTGATAACTGATCAAAACAGGAAGGGTGTCCTCATCATCAGCGGTCTAAGAGTCCAGCATCGAGACTGAACACTTGCGATCATCAATCAAAACAGGAAGGGTGTTTGTTCAGATGGCTTGGTTGGCAAGACTAGTGAGGTATTTGCCAGGGATGTAGCAGCCTAATTATTCAGGACATGTTAGCTAGGACAACATAGATTAAGTTAAAAATGTGCGAACCTTCTTGCTTGGTGTTGGAGCAGGTGATGATACACGAACTGGTGCAAGAGTAGAAGCGGTAGGTGGCATTACTATCTCTAAATGTCAGTTCAACGAAGAGGCTGCCGCTGAGGCATGTATATTCTTGGTCTGCGAAATTAAGTTGTAACATCAGGTCACTGACAAAACAAAGACTGGGCCTTCATTACCTTCAAGTAATCATTGGTCCAGTGTCATATCCCGTATTCCGGACCTACATCCGACAATGTTCCCACGCCTCATCTGGACCTTCGGACACCCTATCCATGTCTCCAGTCCTCTATCCGTCTGGATCCCTGCACCTCTGCACATCCACATCTGCACATCCAGATCCCTTTACCTCCATACCTCAGCTAGCCTGCATCATTCATCCTTTGTCCCATCACCCTAATGTCTATCCACGCGTCACATCCGATCTGATCTGATCTGGTCCGGTCCGATGTATAGATCCGCTTCCGATACGATATACGATAAGCTTCTTAATTCATTCCTGTGCATATAACGTTAACACAGCCTATTCCTCTATTCGGTATTCCTTGTCCTCGGTATCTCAGTTATACTTACTACCGGTACACTTACTGATCTGTTAACCTATGCTTCATTTCCGACTCGCGCTTGATAACTTTGCTTATGCTTCATACATAGCCTCGGACACTTGCTTACTGATCTTTCCGTTATTTCCTTAGTATATAAACTCTTGTATATGTCCTGTAGTTCCTCAGTCTGAATATCATATTAGTCCTCGCACTAGATCTCACTCTAAGTCCTCACATCAGTTCTAGTCTATCGACTTAGTCAATATCCATCTCGGGCCTAGGGAGAAATTCCCTAGGCCAGAGCTCCGCTTATCCGATCCCCGCTCATCCGCTCATCCGATCCTCTGAAGTTTCCGGAAGTTCATCCGGATCTTTCCCACGGTCCTCCGGACCTATTCTGCTTCGGACTTTGTCCTTGCAGCCTTTCCTCTGTTTGCTTCTACTTAGGACTTGTCCTAAGTAGCCATTACATGTATCCGTATCAGGACGAAACCTCATCGTAATTTCCGGAAGTTCCTCCGGAACTTTTCTGCACTCGTCTGGAAGTTACTTGCACTCGTCCAGAAAGTCCTTCCGAACTTTCCTGCACTTCGGATGTCCTTGGACTTTCTTTGGACATCATTCTGAAATTAAGGGCACATACTCGGGTAAGGGGCACAGTGCACGAGCTGAAGCCAAGCCCCTCGGAATCAGTCCTACCCTTTGTGCATGGTCTTAACACAGTGTTACTTCACTGTATGTCTTATGCAGTCGTTAATGGACTGTTATTCTGTTGTCCTTCTGCCACATGTTTGGCGTGCTTGTCAGCTTCTTCATTGCCATGTACGTCTGAGTGGCCGGGAAGCCATCTCAAGGTGACATGGTGTTGGCATCAGTTCTCGACAAGGTATTCAGACGTTCCCGGAAACGGTCAATTAAGTATGAACCTGGGTTCGAGGAGAAGCTCTCACCGGCTTGAATAACTGCCTGATTGTCCACGAAGACAGATACAGGGTAAGTGATGTCTATCTCTGTTGCAATGAGCTCGGCCACCAACGCCAATCCCACGGCTTCCACCTCAAAGACGGTGTGCTCCTCGTCTGTTCCCAGGTGCAATAATAACTTGCGGGGGTACACCCCTTTGAGCTGGTAGGTGGCCTTTGGTCTGGAATCAGAGTCTCAATCTCCATAGGATTAATGTGATATTGCCTTGTGAGATGGTGGAAGGAGGTGTGATGGGAGCCTACAAAGCATCTGTTGGTATTCATGGTATGTAGCATACAAAGGACTACAGGGAGTCTGAGAGCAGTGAGAGTAGATGTCTATCGAGATTTATTGGAATCTGTGTTCCTCTACAAGACATACCTGATCGAATCGCAAAGTGAAGCTGGTCCTAGCAGTAATTGAAATATCAACAGTATTCTTCTTCATGTTGCACTTTGCTATAGTTAGGATCTCACCGCGAGAATCACTGTCCAGAATGAGACACTTTTGGTTTTTTTTTGCGTGGCGGAGCTGGACTTAAATCACTGACGTTAATATGGTAGTGTTGAAGCGCGGCTCCAGCACCGTTGGATGTGCAAAACACCACGACGCAGCCATCAGGTGCGGGTCCATTGTCACTGCAGAACGGGTCGGGACAAGCTGTGGATACAAAGCGATTATGCAGCCTGCCTCCCATGAAATTTGGTGATACTTTTAGTACCACGTGATATTGAGTCAACTTCAATGCAAACTCCTTGTTGATCAACCAAGGTAAGGGGCCTGTAATGAAATAAGCCGAATGTTAAGGAGTTTACGTTGGAGACTTACTGTCGTTTTGCTGCTTCTCCTTTCTGTCTGCAATGGCATCCTCGATATCCTCTGCATTGTTAGTAACCCAGGGGTCGTATGCAGACCACTCACTGGAGCTGGGATCCATACTGGAACTGGATGGGACTACGGGGTCAGGTGGTGGGGTCTTGCTTCGACATTGGGGCGTTAGGTACGATCTCCTCTGCATGTCGCAGAAGGAGATCATGTCTGGTCCTTCTAGTATTGACCCATTTAACCTCATGCTGTACCTTAAGCAGTCGTGAATAAAAATGAAACAGACAGTATGCTCTGTGCTCACCTAGTAGCAATGTCCTCATGTTTGACTGTGGTGCGCGCTTGCCCATGCACAGCAATGGAGCAAGTCTCCTGACCGAGTTGGTATAGTGTGGCTCAATAACCCTTCCATGCACCTCCAATAATGAAAACTTCTTTTCCGATGACATCGCAAAACAAATCCAGGTTCAAATCGGATACTTTCATGACAAATCCAATAGGAACGTCCACCTGTCATAACTCAGACACGGTCAATTCAAGGAAAATAGTACTTACGAGTGCGCAATCACCCTCAGATATCAGGGTCAGGTGCGCATTTGGAAAGTCCATGGTTTGCATGACCCCTTTTGTCTGGAACTCTGGCCCACGGGTGACAATCACAACATCTCCAGGCCTAACATCATAACCCCTTTCCTTAGTAAACTGGAGAGTCTTGAAGGGGCGGATGCGCTGTATGAATGCCGCAGGGACGTTAATGAGCTGGTCCTGGATGACGCCCCCAGCCCGAAACCACAGCGTATTTTCTCCCATATGAAACCACATCACAATCCTGCGTCGTCCCATGTACTCTCCCACACACACTTCTATGTCGTCGCCGATTTGAAGAGATTTGAGCTCGGGGAGAGGGTCGAAATCTGGCTGTGTTGGCAGCCGGGATTGAAGCACGTGATTTAGAGGGCGACAATCTAAGTAGTATTTAGATACTTCCACCTATGTAATGTCAGACAGGGTTATAGGACATTATATTCACTCATACCTCTTCATTGGTGGCCTCTTGACACACATGAAACAAGTCCTCAGACTTTTTAATGATGTACCCTTCTAAACCTGTGTAAGTGCCCGCTACAACTTGAACCATGTTGCCAACCCAAAAGACACGTTCGATGTCCTGGAGTTGGAATTCCACTTCTTGTCGATGTCCATCAAGGGTGAACTCTAAGCGTGCAGAGCCAGACGCATGGTCTGTCGAGACGACCGTACCCATTTCTGAACGGATTTCTCCTGTGATGGGCCTGGCCGAATCTCCGACACGCAAGAATTGCAGTGAAAAGGCCGCCAGAGTTTTCTTGAAGAAAGGTACATCCCACCCGGATTGCAGATGTAGTCGAATATCGTTAGCATGAGGGGAGGTAACTAGCTCCAGGCTGTCATGGCAAAAGTTTTTTGATAAAAGCCCCATGTAGTACCGCTCTCCTTTGTAGGACCATCCTACAACTCTATCGTCCTGAAGGATGTCGGACACTGTCTTGTTATTTGGCAACCAAGCTCGGTTGAGAAGCGCCACAGATCTCTTAGGCATGTCATAGGGAAAGTCGTGTGGGGGAATTAATACTGTAACAAATTCATTCGATTGTTTAGAATCGAAGACATAACCGATGTCGCCTTTATACTCTCCCTGAGTAATTTTCACCCACCCTGGGTTGGGGAGTGTGAAGCGTGAACGCCCGACCACTGCTTGTTCTTCTTCCAAAATGCAAATATAATCTTTCACGGAGGAAGAGAGTAGATCAAGCGACATCGCAATCGTTCTAGGGCTATCTGAGATAGCATAAATCTGGCTTGGTATCCAAGGTGATATGGTAACCGCAAATCCCTTGCTCCTGAGATGTTCAGCGACATGTTGCGTGGCAGATCCTGCAATGCATTCAGTATCATGCCAGGTCATTAAAATATACACTCACTGTGAACATGGAGAAGGTACATCCTGCTTTGGACTGCACCAGAGGACAAGGCTGCTCTAGGATACGTGTTTGGCGCATTCCCTTCGTACCTGTCAAAGATGTGATCGATCGCTACAGATAACTTATCCTTGGCCGATAAAGTTGCTGGCAAGCGTGCAACATTTAACAACCCCATAGAAGAGCCATCATCGCCCTCCAACTGGAAGTTTTCCTCTTCTTCTTCCTCCTCCTCCTCCTCCTCCTCTTCCTCATTATCAGATGCTTCATCATTGATAAAGGGATTTTTTAACTACATTCATTATTTAATATAAATGTTGCGGACAAAATGAATGCATTTCTTACTCTTCGGACACGTGCATTTTTCAAGCGACTGGCCGCCTTTGGGGCAGACATGGATGTGGCAAAATCTTTGCGCCGAGTCACGATTGTCAATGGACCGGAGGCGCACTGGGGCACATGTCTGGCCTTCAAGGCAAGAAGATTTGCTAAGGTGAGGCTGTCATTACCATCACCGGAGAACAACACATCACAAGCTTCTTTCCAATCGTCAGCATTGTATCGATCGCCCAAGTGCAAAGTAATGGCTGCCTCCATCTGAGGGTAGGTCATGTCTGTGGTGAGATATTGTTCCAGGATGTGCTGAAGGTACAACAATTCAGATGGTGAGTCTGAACAATGTTGGGTCTTGCAGAACCTAGCTGCTATTCGACCCTAAAGGGTTTCTGGACTAGGCTCAAGGCTCAGAGGAGAGGAAATATCATGAAAAACTACTGAAGACTCAGACTCATACTGATAACTGGTGAAAAGATAACTTGCTTATGTAAGCTACAAAAGTGCCAACATAAGGTAAGGTAAAAACAGTCTCTACAAGCCCAGCCAGAAATGAATCCCTACAGCGCCATGCACCATGATCTGCCAACGGTGATGGCGCTCTCATCCCTGTGTTATCCGCATGAGAGAAAATACAGACGGCATGATACAACAACTCACCTTCATGGTTCCTGATGCGTTTCAGGATAGGTTCATCACCATGAGACTTGGATGCTGTGCGCTTGGACATCCTGCAGTTGACATTGATTAATTGAACATACATAGTTTTGTTGTAATGAAATGCTCACAGTGCACTATTCTTTCTATATATTCAATATTCTGAAGACTATGATTATCTATCTATCAACGTATTGAGGTAGTGGTGATGACGGAAAGAGAGATATTAATGTGCAGGAACCATATTTATAGTGAATGACTAATTTGGAGGCGCTTAGCAAATACAAGACAGACAAGAATGTCATTGTGGAGACAGTATTGTATAATCACCCACATATCACCGTCATACATGCCGAAAACTAATATGTCTCTACTTGCAGCATGGTTGAAATTTATGGTATGCGGGATGGTAGTAGCGAGTTTGATGCTGAAAATCGGTATCAACAGTCCTTTGAAGTCAAACACCCAAACTTGAACGTGTCTGTCGCGGGTCCCACTTGCAATATGAGTGTCATCCCCAGTATGGTCATATGTAAGACACATGATCTCCTTACCTGTTCCAATCCTCCTTGACACTTTTGCATCAAAGTCCTGCAAACCTTCTCCCTGCTGTTGCCAAATCCCTATGAGACCAAGCCCTGTGCCATAACATAATGTTTCGTGCATCGCTTCATGGTGGGTAATCCAGCATGTGCAAGTCACCGGATCGCCTGGATTTCGAATGGCTGGGGTTTGAGGTGGAATTGGGAGCTGAACTCGCCTCTTAAGGTCCCAAATTCTCATTCTGTCACAGCCTGGTGCTCAATGAGTTAAGTCAAGTTGTATTTCATCATGTCGGACTCACCCCCGCTTGCTAATGTACTGCCATTGCGAGAGACCACTAAACAATTAATGGTGTTCCTGTGCCCGACAAGGTGCCCTTCAAGGCGATAATCGTTGGAATGATTGATAGGGAGTAAAAACATTGGGAGCGTCAATGTAAGTCCATCGATGTCTTGCAAGTCTTTAATATTGGCTGACACAATAAGGTCCATAAAAACTGACGACAACCAATAACGACATCCTGCCTAACAACGTTATCCTGTGGGTGTCCGGTCTATACCCAGCCTACACCACTCGCATAAAAACGTCTTCTTGCTCAAGTTGGGTATCAGGTCAGTCATGCTTTCATCCTCTGTGCCTGTAGCTCCTTTTTATGAGTCTGAAGGCCCTCCCCAGGCTCTCCCATTATTGACGTATCACACAGAAATGTTTTGTCCAATGACAACGTTAATCTCGATATCTTGGCAAGAAGAGATTATATTCTTCCCTCGTAAACCCAAACTCACGGGGCGGACTCTAACTCCTTCGTGCATGTTCACTACCACATCTTGCGCGGTGACACCTATCCCTTTGAGCCCGCTTACCTCCAAAGTCACCAAGGTTGTCTCATTTTTGGCAGAGCAGATCAGCCAGCCATCAATGGGTTCTTCCTTGTCGTCCATAGCTTCCTATGAATACAAAATCCCCAAACCAGATGGTGAGGCAGGACGTCCTAGCCATGGTGGATACAACCTTGAAAAGGCCCTCAAGTGGGATGCTGGCCGCTTCAAGGCGTTCAAAGTGAGACCTCATTCAATTAATGACATTAGGAGTGTACTCACGCTTTGATCCAAAAAAATTGTGACACAATGTAGAGACTCATGCCTCTCATTGCATGATATGGCAGTTTTCACTAGGGAGTACATGGCACAAACTTGTAGCATCACTCTGTATGCTATCCACAGCTATTCCTATACGAGGCGCAGCTTTCCTGCGCAATACGCAGCATGTGCGCACAACTTCCCGCTGTAGAAACAACAATACTGAGAGGAACAAATGATGCTCCAGACTGTATCTATAATGTTGTGAGGTCGCGCGTTGCCTAGTCTGCTATACTTGAGACGACAAGTGCGTTCGACCCTAAAGGGGAAGCAAGTGCAGCAAGGATCTTGTAGTGCGTGCTGAATGCGCTACTGGTAGGCTGATGCGAAGCGCGAGAAAGCGCAGGTGCGCGCAAGGCGCGGGAAGCGCGCGCGCGCGCGTGAGCGGTAATGAGAGAGAGTAAGAGTGAGTTTGCTTAAGTGGTGATTAGATACTAGACAAGAGATACAAGCGCAAGGTGTCAAAGAATAGATTTCTACTATGTTCTCCTAGGTAGTAGGTGGGTGGTAAGTGGGAGGTCAAGTAATTGTTCCTGGTAGGTAATGCTGGCGCTTATATGGCGCCTAAGCGCTGTCATGTGGAGCCGAATCGCTACCGAGTAAGGTATGTAAAGCCATATGTAAGTAAGGGTCCAAAATAAAGGTGGAACGATACACAGATAAGAGAAATGGAAACATACGCACTAGAGAACTTGGTGGACAGTGGATGGATGCTTCCGGATGGCTGGCGCTATAGGGCGCTCAAGCGCGGGAAAGCGCGCGCGTATATACATCGTAAAGCGCGGGAAGTCGTGCGCGCTTGCTGCGCCTTGCGCGGGAAAGCTGCGCCTTGTAAGGGAATAGCTGTGGATAGCACACAGAGTGATGCTACAAGTTCGTGCTATGTACTCCCTAGTGAATACTGCCATATCATGCAATGAGAGGCATGAGTCTCTACACCGCGCTTTACGATGTATACGCACGCGCGCTTTCCCGCGCTTGATCGCCCTATAGCGCCAGCCTTCCGGAAGCATTCATCCACTGTCCACCAAGCTCTCTAGTGCGTGTATTTCCATTTCCCTTATTTACATATCATTCCACCTTTATTTATATCATGGACCCTTACTTACATACATATATCTTTACATACCTTACTCGGTAGCGATTCGGCTCTGCATGACAGCGCTTAGGTGCCATATAAGCGCCAGCATTACCTACCAGGAGAACAATTACTCTACCTCCCACTTACCCACTTACCACCTAGCAGAATATAGTTGAAATCTATTCCTTGGCACCTCGCACTCACATCTCTTGTCTTGCATCATATCACCACTTAAGCAAACTCACACTTACTCTCACTTGTTTCCGCTCACGCGCGCTGAAGGTGAGGAATCTTGACTGTGGGTGAAAACACTAAAAGTAAGGGGGCTCTACAGCGAGACCTGGATACGAGAATACAACTCGACCCAAAGGACAGCTACTGAGAGAAGTTCCTCGCGAATAAGGTGGAGGGAAACTCTGTCAACTAGATGGGTGCTGGTAGGCACGAGAAGATAACGCGCACGAAGGCGCGCGTGAGGCGCGCGTGAGCGATGCGAGGGCGCGTGAGATGCGAGAGGCGCGCGCGTATGCGGGAGCGCACTTATGAGTGATAAGGGATGTGGTTTCAAGTATAGTAGAGGCGTGAGCTGTAGCAGATGGAGAAGTATAATCAGATTTCTAGTACTAAGGTGCACTATACAACTTGCAGTATACTGAGATAAATGGGGGGAAAAGTAGTAACCGAAGTAAAAGAACTTCCCTCTATTTAAGAAGGGAGATAGCGCTATGCGGCGCTTCCGAGCGCGGTACTGAACCGAGTAACCATATCAACTCTAAATATAATCTAAAGTCTAAGATAGACTTTCTGTATGTAAGCGCGGGGATCGGACCGAGTGCACATCAATTCAGTGAAAGAGATAAGAATAACGCACCAGTAAATCAGTGAGGACATAGGACGGACAGACAGACAGGTAGGCGCGAGAAGACCTAAGGGGAGGCGCATGGACGCGCGGCGCGGAGGTGCGTGAGTGCGTATAAGGCGCGCGAACGAGGCGCGTACGTATGGCGCGCGCAGGAGCGCGTATGACTGATCCTTCGGATAAGAGCTGGAATATGTAAGGAATATGTGGTTTGTGGGGCCATATGTCCGGCATTGAGAGGCGCGAGTCTCTACATCTCCTGGGGACTTACATTCTGAGTGTCCCCACTCAGCGCTATAGCGCGGGATTTTGGACTTGGTGAGATGGTGATAGACAGGGTCATGTGATCGCGAGAGTAGGACCATTCCTTTGATGATCGCGAGCATTGCTGATCTAATTGATAGAGATCATTGATAAGAAGGTGGACGTGTTCTCACGATCTCTTGACTTCTCCCTTATCATTACCATCATGGCCCCCTTCACTGCCACTATGCTGAGCCCCTTCAGTGACAAATTCTGTATTATACGGGCCACCCGACCTACATAATATCCCATATGAGACGGGCCAGCGGATTATGGGCCCATGTTGTGTATATCCTCGATGATGACGGATGGGCCGGGACACATATTATTTCTGATGGAGACGGGTGGGCCCATGTATGCCAATGATATATATATCCTTGATGTTGACGGATGGGCCGGGGGAATATGATCATTGATGGAGATGGGTGGGCCCATCAGGGTAATATGTAGAGTAGGATATTATAGACAGCTGGGCTGAAGAGAGATGTAAGGCAAATATTGTTATATAGACGGGTGGGCCGACGGGGGTGTATTACATATATGGGTGGGCCGAGGTAGGGGAATATTACATAGATGGGTGGGCTGACGCGGGGTGTATTACATATACAGGTGGGCCGACATAAAAAGTATTACATATACGGGTGGGCCGAGGGTGTGATAAAATATTTATTACATAGACAGGTGGGCCGCGGTGGGGTATAATTATATAGACGGGTGGGCCGACGTAGTATGTATTATATAGACGGGTGGGCCAACATAGGATGTATTACATAGACGGGTGGGCCGACGTGGGGGATAATACATAGATGGGTGGGCTGACGTGGGGAAATTGTACATAGATGGGTACATATATGGGTGAGCCTGGATACGTATAAATGTCAAATTTTCAGTGCAAAACCCCAAACCGAGATTTACCAACCCCCGAAACCCGAAATTGTGGACTGCCGGGTGTCGGGTTTCGGGGTTTGGGGGTCCCGGAACTCGGAACTCGGTATGTGAGACAAAAATATATTTCATACACGGGTAAGTCAATGTGTCCGTCAATCAACTCGATTGTAAATTATATTTTATTGATCTCCACAAATATCCCAAGTTCCGAGTTCCGAGTTCCGGGACCCCCAAACCCCGAAACCCGAAACCCGGCAGTCCACAATTTCGAGGTTCGGGAGTTGGTAAAATGTGTATGGATAGATGAAAGGTTGATTTAAACATTTTTGAAAGATGTCCCATATGAAATGTTAAGTCCCGAATTTTGAACTCCGGGTTTTGGGACTCCGGGTGTCGGGACTTCGGGCTTCGGGACTCGGGACTCCAGAAAGCCGGAAATCGAAACTTGGGACTTGACATTTCATATGGGACATCTTTCAAAAATGTTTAAATCAACCTTTCATCTATCCATACACATTTTACCAACTCCCGAACCTCGAAATTGTGGACTGCCGGGTTTCGGGTTTTGGGGTTCGGGGGTCCCGGAACTCGGAACTCGGTATGTGAGACAAACATATATTTCATACACGGGTAAGTCAATGTGTTCGTCAATCAACTCGATTGTAAATTATATTTTATTGATCTCCCCAAATTTCCCAAGTTCCGAGTTCCGAGTTCCGGGACCCCCGAACCCCGAAACCCGGCAGTCCACAATTTCGGGGTTCGGGAGTTGGGTCCCGGCACTCGGAACTCGGTATGTGAGACAAGCAAAATATATTTCAAACACGGGTAAGTCAATGTGTCCGTCAATCACCCGAACCCCGAAATTGTGGACTGCCGGGTTTTGGGTTTTGGGGTTCAGGGGTCCCAGAACTCAGAACTCGGAACTTGGGAAATTTGGGGAGATCAATAAAATATAATTTACAATCGAGTTGATTGACGGACACATTGACTTACCCGTGTTTGAAATATATTTTGCTTGTCTCACATACCGAGTTCTGAGTTCCGGGACCCAACTCCCGAACCCCGAAATTGTTGACTGCCGGGGTTCGGGGGTCCCGGAACTCGGAACTCGGTATGAGACAACAAAAATATATTTCGGGGGTTGGAGGTTAGTAAAATGTTTATAGATATACGGAGGTTGATAGAAACATGTTTGAAAAATGTCGTTCGTCTCAAATGTCAAATCCTGAGTTCCGGGCTTTGGGACTCGGCACCCGGCACCCGGCACTCGGGGTTCGGCACTGAAAATTTGACATTCGGGTGTTAGGGTGTAGGGTGATATCTACCTCAATCTACAGTTTCGAGTTCTGGATATTGGGACTGATTATTGAATCATTCAATTGTGGCATAGGTAACATGCATTGAAAAAGATTTATGTACATCTATCACTGAGCAATTATGTAGCCATTGCAACCTCCTCACCAGGAAGATCAACCTTCCCCTCAACATCCATATCCTCATCAGAGGAATCATATTCTGGCAGGAGGTTACCTTGTTCATTAGGGACCACAATATCGCCGGAGGATTCTGGCAAGAGGTTGCCTGGTTCATCCGGGAGCACAATTTTGCCGGAGGATTGTGGACCCTCAGGCTGAACTTGGGTGGGCTCAACATTGAGACCTACCATAGCAGATCCATCCTCAACCATCAAGGGTGTGGGTTCCATGACTGACATGTCCAAATCAATGAGGTTGGAAAGTGTGGAGGGGAGGGGTGAAATGGATGGGGGGGGACCAGATTGATCAAGCAAGATTGTTGCATCGGCCGGTGTGTCCGGAAGTGAAAATGAAGGGTGCGGGTCGACCATCGTGCGCCGGAGGCTCTCATGGAGGTGTTGCAGGGTATCAATCTTAGCATCCTGCTCCTGCACCCGAGCCTCAAGAATAGCGATGCGAGCTGCACCATCCCAAATCGTGATTGCCATGGAATGGAGATCCGGCATGGGAACATCTAGTGCTGCACGAGGCACTGCGGAACTCGAAGACCGAACAGCTAAGTAAAAAGTAAGGTCAGCCGGTCATCAAAAGTGTTGGTGACCTACGAGCTGGCGCAGGTGCAGGGGCAGGTGCAGGTGCAGGTGCAGGTGCAGGTGCAGGTGCAGGTGCAGGTGCAGGTGCAGGTGTCTTCTTGGTAGTGATGGTCTTGCTGCGACCACGTGACTGCACCTGGGGTGTACTTGCAGCAGGGATGGCCGGAGTTCGGGACGGGCCACAAGATTGACTACGAGTCCGGGCCCTTGACCCGGAGGGAGACGGAGCAGTGGATGGAGCAGGGGCAGGTGTCTTGGAACGCGTCCGTCCCGTGGTAGACTTCCCTCGGGTCCGTTTGGGCGGGGATCCCAGAGATGCTGGGTTGCATTTGATCTTCTTGGTGGAGCAGCGGATGCAAGACAGGCAGGGGAGGCTGGACCTCTTGTCCAAACGAGTCGCACAGGGCCAATTCTCCTTGACGCAATAATGGCAGGGGTTGTTCTGTGGTATCCATTAGTAGATGGACTAGGGGAATTAATTGAGCACTCACTGGGCCGGGAATGGTGATATCAAATGTGGTAGTGGCCGGAGGGTCACCGTCCGAAGCGCTGGAAGTATCACCAGTGGACTCCTCAACTTCCGGATGACTGCCGGAGGTTGCCTGATAAATTGTAAGTACACATGTGAATTCCGGGCGAGCTTGTAAGACTTACCCGAGCCTCCGGACGACTGATGGGAGATTCCTAATGCGATGGGCATGAGTATGAATGATACATGCGAGTTCCGGACCTGTCCGGAAGACTCACCATGACCTCCAGACGCTTGCCGGCAGTCAGCTGTGGACACATGAGCATATATATGAGTTCCGGACGACTAAATCAGACTTACCGAAGCAGGCCCAAATGATTGCTTCTTGGGGGAACCAGGTGAACGAGGCAACTGGGGCTTCCTTACAACAATGGTGGAGAGCTGGGGAAGGACGACCTCCGGCACTCCACGCGAAATCGGCTACAACAAATTGAGAGCATGTCACAAATGAGCCAGAACACATACCTGAACAATTGGGTCTTCATCATCTTCCGACTCCACAAACGGCTTTGACTTGGGGAGTCCAGTTGACTTGACACGCTTGTGACCCTTCATCGCCGACTTCGTAGGTTGGGAGGAGTGTCCAGAAATCATGGGGGACTTCCTCTTGTTGCTCCCTCCGACTTCCGGCTCCAAGTCAACAGAAATGGCCTTACCTTTCCCTTTGTCCCGGAACTCGGAGGTCGTCTTGCCGGAAGGTCCGGCGACATTGCCGGCGACGACGGGAGGGGAGTGAATGACAGTGGCGGGGGAAGGGACAGGTGCGGGGGAAGGGACAGGTGGAGACGGAAGATTGACAGTCAGTGGGCCAGTGGAAGGATTAGAAACAACAGGGAGATCACAGGAATTGTCACCCAACGCCTCCCAGGCACGGACCTGCTTGCGCCAGGTGTGTCTAGCCACCCAGGGATCATCATGGCCAATGCTGTGCCAGTTGGGCAACACCTGGGGAGTCATGGAACGCACCCTCATCAGCTCCTTAGAACAGGAAGCCACAATGCCAGGGATGTAATCCCCTTTCTCATGCACCCGGATGATGTCAGCCTACCCGGATATTAGAAACATCAATGGTAAACTAATTTAATAAGTGCAACTTACCAACAGATTGGTGACCTGCCTTGCCAGAGCAATGTGGACGTGCCGGGCGCCGGCAATGACGCCCACAAGTTGAGCAGTGGATGCCTTGAGGTCGGCCAATGAAGATTGAACTGGAGTAGACATTTGGATTGAGTTGACAGATGTGAGAATGTTGAAAGCAGGGTGAAATCTGTTATCACTAGAATGAAGTTTCAAAGAAACAATACAATTGAAGGACAATGTTGAAAATCGTTGATTGTTTGTCTTTGTTTGGTCATGGTTCAACTTTCGGCAATCGCTGGCCATGTGTTGAACTTCGATGTTATCTGTTATCAATCAGTTCATCAGTTCATCAGCTCATCAGATATCATGAGCTCTCAACCTGGGGTCAGATTTCATGACCCTCCGGTCACTGAATCCACCTCAATGGATGTGGATGAGACCTCCCAGTCCCGGATGTCCCTTGGTATGTTTTGTTTCTGCTGATTTCAGTGAATTGATCTTACATGGTTTAGATCCATTAGATGATATATACCTTGGGCCGGATGATGAGTTAGACTCTGATTCTGGGTCATCCGGTGGTTTGGATTCGTTAAATGCGATTCCCGGTATGTTTCTCAATTCAAATGTACATATTCTCCATGTGCAAATCCATCACATACTTCCAGATCCATCATATCCGGCCCTGGCAGATGGACTGGCCCTGTACGATGACCCGGACTTGTATCTTGGTCCGGAGGATACCTTTATTTCGTCTGATGATGCTCTGGCTGTACCCGATTTTCCTATGGCTGGTGAGGTTATTCTTTTCATCTCATGTTCATTTTTCATGGCATTTCCCCAGTGAATGAATCGACTCCCGAACCTCATCCGGCCACTCCGGCTGTACCAGAGGCACCCATACCTTGTACGTGTATTCATATCATGTCATGTGTTCCATTCATGTTATCTCCCAAGCGAATTCAGAAACTCCCGAACGTCAATCGCCCGAGCCGGAACTCAACAATGCAGAACTGCGTGCCATGGTTCAGGAGTTCATGCCAATCGGATCTTATGATCAAGCTGAAAGTATGTATACAACAGTTTATTATTTATCTCTGCTAATGTTCTGCAAGTTCAAACAATTGTAGATCGCCTGGGTGATTACGAACAGAGTCATGGAAATCTTCCTGCCCCTACAGTAGCACAACTTCTTGAGGCTGACAGACCATTCAGGATGGCATGGGCTGAAACATGCGACAAACTGCGGAAAGCAGATGCGGACCTCCGGAGGATGCAACGGGTAAGGGAGTCAACCTCCGAAATGCTGAAGGTATTAGATACCCTCATTGAGTTCTTTGAGGACTCAAGTAACATGTAAATATCGATCAATGTCTGATAGTAGACATATTGCAGTATACTTTACCTACTCAGTACTTAGTCCTTCCTCGCTGCCCGGTGTTCTGTGCTCGGTACTCGGTGCTCGGTGCTCGGTGCCCGGTGATCGGGGTTCGGGGTTCAGTACTCGGGGTTCGGTGCAGTATACTTTGCCTGCTCAGTACTTAGTACTTGGTACTTGTATACTTTACCTACTCAGTACTTAGTCCTTGGTACTTGTATACTCCACCTACTCAGTCCTCGCTGCCTGGTGTTCTGTGCTCGGTACTCGGTACTCGGTACTCGGTACTCAGTGCCCGGTGATTGTTACGACTAGGATAGGTCGAGCTCTCCCTAGGCGGATTGCCTAATCTGATAGCGGGCTCGCTACTGGAGAGACGGGGATCTTCTCTCGAATGAGAGGTTCTGGGGTTCCACTAAAGGTAGCGTCGGCTTTCCTTTAGGTGCGGCTTAGACTGAGTGATTGGGATGATCACACAGAGGAAGTTCTGATGAAAACCTAGTAGAATCAAGTAGGGAATATACATGATTCTGTCTGCTCTATATACTGTCGTCCGTGTGCACAGACCAATACTTTGTATGGTAGGTAAGTATAAGTGTGTCTATACAAGGGCATCTTATCTGATGCCATGCGGGCGATTATCTGTACATGAGGCGTTGCACGCCTCTTCTATCAGTCCTCAAGGCTAAACATGCCTTGTAGTTTAACTGCGCATGCTGCGGCATGCGGCTTCTCTTCTGACCATGAGGCAGAGCTTCCTCATGATCCGGGTCGAGGACCATCTAGGTCCATCCAGATGTTGCCTAGGCTGGTCTAGGTCATCTAACGGCATCCAGGCCGTTCTAGGCGTCTCTATGAGTCTCCGTTGAGTCGGTAAGTCTTTCCAAGACGGTATATATGGCGGGATAGGGGCTAAGGTCATGGTGACCTCTGTAGGAGGGGTTCTCGGTTACATGTTATTGTAACAGTGATCGGGGTTCGGGGTTCGGAACTCGGGGTTCGGTACTCGGGCCTTGGTACTGGAGATTTGGGATTTAAGATTAGGTCGTTAGTACTTTGACATATACACAATAGCACATATGACATTACACATGACGGCAGGAAGATATATCTACATTAAGTGCGTCCCCATGCTCTGGTTACTCTAGGTGTACTGTCTACTGGCATTTGCAACTTACTCCGGGTCGTCCTCGTGGATGGTTCAACTGTGACTTTCTTGCCCCGCCCCCTTTTCTGTGCCGGCGGCGTGATACTCTCTTCCATTTCAACATCCTCTCTAACTTCTCTGGTCGCGTCTTCAGTTAACCCAGCAAGGAGGTCGCCCATTCTTGATGTCAGTAATGCACCTTTTTTGGCCGGCTTGGCCCGGCGAGGCTTTGGAATTGCACGTGGGACTGCCGTCCCTTTTGGTGTAGGACCTCCTGTCCTGGGTTTCTTCAGCGGATGTCTCCCGTCAGCCAGGTCATCATCCACATCATCCTCTGTATGATTAGTGGCACTCTCCTTATCACTCTCAGCTTCTGTCGACGAATCCCGAGGCCCTCGGATGGTAACCCTCTGCTGCTTTCTCACTATACTAGTCTGAGGAGAGGGCGACTTGCCAGATATGACAGATGGTACCATGTCCCCATCTTTGTTCTTCCATGCTTTGAACAGAAATGTGGGACCTTCTCCTGTTTCCTGCCGAGCATGCCAGAAATGGAGCAAGGCAGTCGTGTCCCAATTTTGCAGCTTTGAAGGCTCCTTCAAGTCAACATCTGCCGGAAGATACGTCCGGGCCAAGAAGTCATCCTGACTTTGTACAATGGCACTCCATGGTACAACCGCCTTGTCCTTCCCGGAACATATCCCTGTGTCCATGCATTGAACAATTTGTCAGATGATGCGACGAGAAACTCACGATAGTGCGATGTAAGAAAGGCCCTCACTATGGCCTTCTTCTCCTCAAGTTTCGTGTCGGTGATGTCGGGAAGGAGTGGCATACCCTCCCCGTCCATTTCGAGTTCGAAAGCTGGTTTTCGAATTCTTTTTCGACCTCCCTTGACCTGACGTCCTCCATCCCGTGCCCCGGCACCTATCATCTTGATGCTCAACATGTTCAATCTGGTATACATGGTTCAAACACTCACCGAACTGTTCCTGCGCGTACTCCTGCCACACTGGCTCAATGTCCTCCCAGTCCTTCGTCTTCATGAAGCTGTGCCCGTCTCCTAAGGCCTCGTTATCATCATGCCTGCATGAATATTTTGAGATGAAAGATCCGTGTCAATGGGTAAATGTACTCACATCCCGAACAGCACCTCTCCCTTTTCATTCTTCCAAGCCGACATCACAAAAACTCTCATCCCACATTGCCTCCACATCTCGTTCGAAAAGTGCTCCATATATGCCGGACCCTTCTTACGGGCGACTTGTGCTTGTATCTCCGGAGGCGGACAGTTGTTGGACCACTCTTCCGCTGTTTCTTTCGCCTTCTCCAACTCGTCGTCGTCCAATTCAGCCATGACTCTCTTCACCGCCGCCTGATAATGTTTGAACATACCAGGATCTCCGGGCTTTACCCCCGACTCGTCCTCAATCCTCTTCAGCACCTCTTCACGTTTCTGCTGGTAGACCACCATCCTGGGCGTCCATTTCCTCCCATACTTGATGGTGTCCTTCCTTTCCTTCTTTTTCTTGTTGTTGAACAACCAAGTCTTGTACACCTAAGATTTGATGAAAAAATGTGATGTTGAAAATTTAGTTTTTCAACGCAACAAAGGAGCATCACCTGCTTCCTCTTTTTCCATTGTTTTTGGTCCACCTTAGGAGCAAACAACCTGGCCGCCCTTGCTATGGCAGTGAAAATCCCCCTCTTCTCACTCCTTTTGGCGGCAGTCCACTCAGGAAGGTAGTTCTTCAACTCCAAAATCTCCTTGTCTGTGAGCTTCTGAGACTGTGGTTGACGCGCCCTGTGTCTTCCGGAAGTCGTGTTGGTGGAATGACCTGTTCTTGCCATAGTGAATCAGAATGCAGAACGGGCTGAGGATTTGCAAGGTAGAAGTATCAATGAATTGTGCGAAGTTGAACTTCGAGCAAAGCCTAATAATCTGTTAATCGGCCCATATTTGACAAGAATCCATTAATGGAAATGAATTTGTAATGAGCCAACAGGACTGCACAGCATCATATTGCAATAACAATTCATTACACCTGAGCTGATGCCTTGCTTGCAACATTAGTAAACAAGATGAAGATAGGTAGATGCACCCCAGTGCAAAAATCTCACAGGGTGGAAGCAAGGGGCAGCAAAGGTAGGAAGACTTGGGTCAAGGTCCCACTTGCAAGCACGAGGCGACATGCCTACAGATCCATGCCTAACTCTCCCCCAGAATCACCAACAATTCAGCCTGTTGAGGCACCACCTCCTTGGGAAGACTTTCCTGACAATACTTATGAGCAGGACCAAGGCTCCTTTGAGCCTTTGCAACTCCCAAAAACCATGGCAAGTTCATGTACAATGTTGGAGTGTCATTCAAACTATGGCTAAGCATTCGAAAATACAGAGTCAAAATGACTACCTCAGGCAATGGCTGCCAAGGCAGGAATCATATCTACATCACCTCCTTGATCGAGAAGCTCCACCAGAAGACAGGAGATGCATCATCTGCGAACAGGATGGGGTGTACAAATGTCAAGATTGTCTTGGCGAGCCACTCTATTGCACGGGCTGTTGCAGGAGTCAACATCGTAGCAATCCTTTCCACTGGATCAGTCAATGGAATGGGCGATTCTTCGAGCGGAGTTGTCTCGCTCATGTGGGACTCATTATACACCTTGGCCATGATGGCAAACAATGTCCGGAGGTCACTGATCGGTGGAATTTGTTTGAAGAAGATAAACCTGAAGACCTGCTCGAGCCTGAAGATCTGCCATTTGTGTCCGGACCCGAGTTCCAGCCAAAGGAAAACACCATGGTCATTGTAGACAAGTCCGGAGTTCATCGCCTGGAGATTCGATGTTGTGAATGTCCGAATGCCATGAGTCCGGACATTCAAATGTTTCGACATGGATTTTTCCCTGCATCTTTCAACAGGCCAAAGACTGTGTTCACCTTCAGAGTGCTCAATGATTTTCTACTGGACAGCCTTGAATGCGGCACCTCGGCGATGAACTATTACAGCAAGCTCCGGCGAATGACCTCCAGCATGTTTCCACACCTTGTTCCGGTAATGCCTTACCCTCTTCATCTACTGGACATCATATTGACAAAGCACATTGCAAGGACCGATACAGAGAGCTCATGAGGGTCGCTCGACAGTGGAGGCAGTTGAAGACAATGAAATGGCATGGCTTTGGCCATCGTTCTGATAACCCGAGCACAGGAGAACTCGCATTATTTTGCCCGGCGTGTCCTCAGCCAGGGATTAATGTGCTGTTGTCAGAGGATGAATCGCTTAATGAGTGAGTCCTATTCTCAACCAATGTGGCCTCCATAATAATACTAGCGATCCAAGCTGGAAATACACCTGGTCATTTGTAATGGACGGAAATTTCAAAGCCGAACATCTGCATCCCATTAAGCCATTCGATGAAGTTTGGCTATCCGATGGGCTTGGATTCATGGTAGGAAAGGACCGGTATAAAATGCATCTGGCATAGGCTGCTGACACGGTGGAAAAATCAAGCTGCAACAACCACCGGGCAGTAAATCAAGCTAATGCTGCTCGGCACAAGCTGGAGTCCACCGGTATCGGGGGAGTTGCCTGTGCCAGACACGGTTGCTTTGTCCCTCACTCCATGGTGGATTTTCAGAAAGGCGAAAGGCAAGCCACATCCACCATTCCTCATTCACGAGTTAACCATGGGTCACTTGCAGACAAATGAACATGGACTACGCCCTTTGCGAGGCTTCCCGGCACAACATGGAAGGCATCACCAGGGCTGTCACCTTCTATGATATTAATTGTCAATACAACAAACACTTTCGGGTTCGGGTGGATCGAAGTCGATTTCTAGACATGGCACCACAACTAACCATCATTCCTGGAATTGGGTTGTGGCACATTCATGGCCATCAGGACAGCTGCTATGTCCGATATGCTTCTAACTTTATTGAAGGCATTGGTCGGATTGATGGAGAGATCATGGAGACGCTATGGGCACAGCTCAATCTGATTTCCCCTGCTGCTCGGGGAATGTCATCTCCGCACCGAAAGGAATGCCTTGATTATCAGATGAATGACTCCAATTTCTGCAAGATGATTTGCATGAAAAGGACTCTATGCCGGAAATACAAGCTGGCGAGGAATGGCATCTCGGAAAGTGGAAAGGCATTCGACAGACTCGATGAAGCAGCACCCTCACATTTGAAGACAGAATGGTTAGCCAGGGAGAGGATAGCTCAGTCAAGCAGATTGAATGATCCTGCGGTGATGGATGAATATGAGATCAATATAAAAAAGGGTACGTTGAGTTCCATTGTCTCCATCGAGGTCTGAATTAATATTGCACTCAGCACCAAGCAAAAAGGAGATTGAGCTTAGATTATTAGAGGAGGGTAACGCCCGGAATGCAGCACCCTCTCGCAGATCTGTGGCGACGTGGATATCAACAGGGTTAGCAATTGAAGAGGCTCAGATTGCATTGCTCATAGAGGTCCGAAGGATCGGAAGAAGATCCACTGAGACACAGAGATTAGACATTGCCCGTCAACGCGATCGGCTCCAAGGCCAGATAGATGGATTTGCTCGGTCTGCTCTAACACATCTCGGGGAGGGATTTGATGCAGATGATGAACCTGAGGACTTGAACGTAGACATTCTAGATGATCTCGATGATGACCCGGCGGATTTCACAGAGACATCTCATACATGGACAAACTCTCCCGAGCTCACTGTAATCCCGTTGCCATCAAACCTGGGTGTTGATAGATGCAGACGATGCATGGCAGAGAATCTGATTCCCCTGGAGATGTCTCTTCGTGAAGGGCAGGCCAATGATGCCCTTCACAATCTCCGCATTTACCTTTGCAACAAGGCCATCCTGTTCCGAACAACCGTTCGGCAGGCCAAATCCCAGGCCCTGAAAACTCGAGCTTGGTCCCAGGTGACGTCGGTGCAGCAGGCAGTCTCCCTCCATGCCAGCATATATACAAAGACCAGGAAGCAAATGATGAAACTTGAGCCGGGGCAAGACCAGCTTCAGAAATACAAACCCCTGCTTCGCGAGCAACTCAAAATCAGCACTGCAGTGGGTGACCCAAATGCCCGAGGTCAACGAAATGAATCTTTGGCTTGGTTTTGGTCTGTTGAAGTCGACCTCGGGGGTCCCGATCAATCGTGGAATGAGGAATGTGAGTTCCTGCTTGCATGTCATATCCCACGGTTACCTGACTGGACCCATCCCAAGTTTACCGAGTCCATTGGCTGCGGGCAAAGGCACTACGAGATCGATGGAGGGAAGAAATGATATTGGTCAAATTGGAGATGGATTGGACATGTAAGTTCTTTTTGTGGAAAGCAACCCAATGGGGCGACCACATGCAGGAATCATTGGAGAAACACCTTCCGGGTCATGGATGCTATGCCGGAAGGCAATCGCGAATGTATTCATTGCTCGCACAGGATGCGCAGGCAGCTTTTCAAGACCTACAAAACGTGTTGATAGAGGCTGGAGATGAATGAACATTGTTTTCTCATGAAGTCCCTTTTTCCACATACATAATTGAGGCCCGGGAATTGTCCGGGTCAGCCCATGTCGGAGTTTGAATTTCGTATCCATCCATCAGTGATTCTTATCTTCACATCTTCACCATCTTTCACTTGCATTGCCAGCACCATAGTCCTGTATTAGCCATGCCTGCAACTCCTGCATCCACTTCTGGCACTCTGAATGCCGGAAGCCATTACCGACCCCTGAAGCTGAGCCTTGGAACTATTTCCTGCACATTGGCAATGGCTGGATCGCGGGTCCGTGCATGCATCTCTCAATATCAGACGGAAGCTGCCAACAATGGTCTATCTTCTGACCGGATAAAGTATTTTAAAGCCGGGCTGCAATGGGAGATGAATGTATGTTACCACTGCCCTGATGACTTTGTTGGTCAATGCTAAAAATTTGAGCAGACTTTTGTCACACCACTCCTGCAGTACTCAGCTTCACAGAATATCGTGTCGGTTCTTCCGGTCCCTGTCGCTTATATCCTTAAGTTGTATCCCATGCTAACCTGGAACACGGTTCCGGATGACGTCTTTTCATTCCACCTCCTTTCATTTGATGATGAGGCAATTGCAGGACATCCGTCCCGGATTGTGTTTGCATATACATGTCCATGGTGGATGGGAAACACCACAATCCCGGATCAACCATGGCAGTGGGATGAAATAATGGCTTCCTGCGTCTCTCACTACCAGTATTGGGCGGTAAGATGTTAGCTGAATTGCCTTGATTGATGACTTATCTGTTCTAGCTTAATGTTGAGGATGATGCTTTGGTTCTTCCAGAGAAGTTGAGAAACACTTCGACTCCACCACTTATGGGACTGAGGTGGATTAAAGAACGCATGGAAGCATTGATGGAGGAGCAAGATGAGGGCATCAAAGCCAAGATGGCAGAGGTGAAGATGTACACTGACATGTTAGAGAAATTGAGGAAAGGCAAAGGAGTGTAGTCCCATTCAGTGTTCATTGTATACAAGATGTAAAATATTCTATGCATTCAAAAATCTTGCATCCGAGTCCCGGAAGCCCAGGTCCCGAGTCCCGAATTTCGGAGTTCGGGGTTCGGCGACCCGGAGCTCGGCAACTGTGTTGGGTGTCAGGGTATGCGGAGCATTGGAGATAGCATGTGTCAGTATTTTGCGTTTCATGGTTCATGTTTGGCTGACACATGTGATCTCCAATGTTCAGGATACCCTGACACCCAACACAGTTGCCGAGCTCCGGGTCGCCGAACCCCGAACTCCGAAATTCGGGACTCGGGTTTCGGGACTCGGGACTCGGAGTTCGTGACCTGGGACTCGACAGTGTTCTGAATACCGAGTCCCTGACGCCTGATTCCATAATCACGAAAGATGAACCATGAAACGCAGAATACTGACACATGCGATCTCCAATGCTCTGGATACCCTGACACCCAACACAGTTGCCGAGCTCCGAGTCCCGAGTCCCGAAACCCGAGTCCTGAGTCCCGAATTTCGGAGTTCGGGGTTCGGTGACCCGGAGCTCGGCAACTGTGTTGGGTGTCAGGGTATCCGGAGCATTGGAGATCGCATGTGTCAGTATTCTGCGTTTCATGGTTCATCTTTCGTGATTATGGAATCGGGCGTCAGGGACTCGGTATTCAGAACACTGTCGAGTCCCAGGTCACGAGCTCCGAGTCCCGAGTCCCAAAACCCAGGTCCCGAGTCCCAAATTTCGGAGTTCGGGGTTCGGCGACCCGGAGCTCGGCAACTGTGTTGGGTGTCAGGGTATGCGGAGCATTGGAGATAGCATGTGTCACTATTTTGCGTTTCATGGTTCATGTTTGGCTGACACATGCGATCTCCAATGCTCCGGATACCCTGACACCCAACACAGTTGCCGAGCTCCGGGTCACCGAACCCCGAACTCCGAAATTCGGGACTCAGGACTCGGGTTTCGGGACTCGGGACTCGGAGCTCGGCAACTGTGTTGGGTGTCAGGGTATCCAGAGCATTGGAGATCGCATGTGTCAGTATTCTGCGTTTCATGGTTCATCTTTCGTGATTATGGAATCAGGCGTCAGGGACTCGGTATTCAGAACACTGTCGAGTCCCAGGTCACGAACTCCGAGTCCCGAGTCCCGAAACCCGAGTCCCGAATTTCGGAGTTCGGGGTTCGGCGACCCGGAGCTCGGCAACTGTGTTGGGTGTCAGGGTATCCTGAACATTGGAGATCACATGTGTCAGCCAAACATGAACCATGAAACGCAAAATACTGACACATGCTATCTCCAATGCTCCGCATACCCTGACACCCAACACAGTTGCCGAGCTCCGGGTCGCCGAACCCCGAACTCCGAAATTCGGGACTCGGGACCTGGGCTTCCGGGACTCGGTATTCAGAACAGTGTCGAGTCCCGAGTTCACAATGTCGGGGTTCAGGGTTTTGTCAAATGTGTACAGCAATAACAAATGTTAATTCGAGCATATTTATACATCTTCCCCCAGTCTCAAATATCAAGTGCTGAGGTCCGGGTGTCGGGACTCAGTACCCCGGCACTCGGGACTCCCATATGTCAAGTCCCGAGTTCCGATTATCGAATACCGAGGCTCGCATCCAAATTATTCAGTCCCATATATCACTTCGCAAATGCTCACAATTGAGTATTGAGGTCCAGATAACTATTGGTACATGGTATTCATTTGTTGGAATGTATATAGGTCACAATGCATGCTCTTTGTTTGATCTTTCACACACTGTATGGACCATCCACACTAGCCCATCCACATGATGGAACACCAGCGTAAATGTGAACAGAATCCCTCATATACCATGCCCAAGCAATCCGATCCCCTTCCACATCATAAACTCCATGTCTCACAATCCTTCCGGAAAACGCAATCATACAGCCGGAATTGTACTTGAACTCCAGCTGAAGGCTTGGCATTGTCATCCGAGCATTAGAATAGTTCCCCACGGTGGTGAGAATGTCGAAGCATTCAGCAATGGACAAATGGTCTCGATGATTTGGGGTTTCCCGATTGGAAATGATGGAGAGGGTGTTAAACACCGATGCCCAGTACTGCAGGGCCTCCGGCATCTGTGGCAGATCCTTGCTTACTGCTATATGTCCGAGGTTTGACAAGGTTCGCAACCCTGCCCAGTACTGCTCAGGATGCATGACTCTGAGTGCCGCGGACGCGATGGCTGCTGGCCTTGAAATGGCTTTGAGGATATTCTCGCAGGAAGGTCCCTTCAATGATGCAGATACCTCCGGATCGGACACATTCTTTGGGATTGGTGAGTATGACTGCCGGAATCACCATCTCATCAGATCCTACCTCGTGTCCCTGTTGAAACCATGCCGGAGATAAATTGATGCATCCGGGAGTTGCCCCAACATCTTCCGAGCCCCGGTTGAACCACTTTTGATTAGTTCGCCAATTGCCATCAGCCCTTACACTTTTTTCGAGGCTTGGAGCGAGCAAATTGGTGGCTTCCCTGATTTCCTTCTGTAGGTTCCATTTGATATTCAATATCCATTGAGTAACAATGTATATTACACACCTGGGTGGTGTCGGTCAGGGCGTCTGGGAGGTACCATGCAATGATGGCACCGGATGCATCGAGAATTGTGGCAGGTTCGTCGACCAACCTTTTGCCTTCATGGCCAGGAGGACACCTCTCAAGCAACCTAGCCTCTCTCTGTTCATTATGCCCGGTGTCCTTCGGGGAGATCAATTTGCTATATCTTGCAATATCCACCTGCATCTGAACTGTCATGCAGGAATTTGAATGATAAAACGAATTTTCCGAATCTGCAGGAAGACCCACTGGGATTTTTATATGCCTTTATGAGTACATCAGCCAAGCGATCGCACGCCATCACCAGATCAGTGTCTAGGTTGGGGGAAGGTATGACTGGGCCTCCTCCAGTCTTCTCTGCCTTGAATTTCTGTTCGGTATATTCCCCTGCTTCATAAGTCACAGTCAGGGCCCAAGTGCGCCAGATGTTTATACTATCAGGAGTGGAAGGGGAAGAACCGTTCATGCTGGATGTTAATCTTGGGAAATCAGACACTGAATGCTGAATGTCCGGACTTTGGTGTTAAAGGGGGTGGAGATAGAGAGGATCAGATAAGGGAGCCTGAGATAATTTTGGCTGTCAAAGATGTATTATTATCCATTGCTCAATGAAATACTACCTGATTGGAAGTGTGCTGGTCATCAGATATTCATTTGTCGACTCCCGGGTCCCGGAACTCGGAAGTCGGTACGGTTGACCCAAATTTGGGTGGTCGGAACTTGGCTTCTTGTAGGGCAACACAAGCCTCGCACCCCGGATTCCAAATTCTGCAAGACAACCTGTGCACCATCAAAGGCCATGTCAGGAGATCACCTGCTGCTCCGGGAACTCGGTAACTTTGATTTATTACCTCCTCTGAGTACGGTTGACTCACATTTTGGTGGTCGGAACTTGGCTTCTCGTAGGGCAACACAAGCTTCGCACCCCGGATTCCACATTCTGCCAGACAACCTACGCACCATCAAAGGCCATGTCAAGAGAGCACCTGCTGCTCTCTTCAGAAACATCTCAACTTCGGTTGGCCATTTAACACGGAAAGTATTAACTAAATTATGTGTTGAGTTCCGGGTCCCGGAACTCGGAACTCGGTACAGTTGACTCAAATTCTGGTGGTCAGAACTTGGCTTCTCGTAGGGCAACACAAGCTTCGCACCCCGGATTCCACATTCTGCAAGACAACCTGTGCACCATCAAAGGCCATGTCAGGAGATTACCTGCTGCTCCGGGAACTTGGTAACTTTGATTTATTACCTCCTCTGATTTGGTTGATGTACAACTACCTCAGCTCCATCATGTCTACAATTATGATACACATGGGCCCACCCATCTATATTTTATACCACCCTCGGCCCACCCGTCTAATACAACATCCCATACAACACCCTCGGCCCACCCGTCTAATTAATATGCGTCTGGGCCCACCCGTCTAATACAATATTTTATAATACCCTTGGCCCACCCGTCTAATTTAATATGTGTCTGGGCCCACCCGTGAATGTGATAACAAGTACCTACCCATCTATCCCATACACATCTACCTTAATACACCCATCTGCATAATATCCAACTACCTCGGCCCACCCGTCTACCTAATATTCATGTACATCGGCCCACTCATCTACTCTATATATTCCCTGCATGGGCCCACCCGTCGCCATCGGGAATAATTTGCCTCCCGGCCCATCCGTCATAGTCGAGGATATTTTTATCATGGGCCCATGGTCCGCTGGCCCGTATCATACGGGATATTATGCACGTCCGTTCCCTCGTATTATACGAAGATAGGTCACTGTAATATGTGATAGTGCTCCCGGTTGTTGAACTGCTGTGCGATGAGCCCACACGTTGGGACTTGACCTACATCATTCTTAATCGCTTAAGAACACTTCGGCAGGTAAGGCCTCATTTCATAATCCTTGGCATCAGCTAAACAGCAGCCCAGGCTGTTGACGACTTCCTTGATGATAATGATCAAAGGGCTATATTCCATCTGAAGTTAGAGCCAGTGGAATGGCAAATTTTGCAAGATCTTGAGGTGGTCCTAGAGGTCGGCCTTAATTTGTCCAAAATTGAGATATACTTACCATTTTATATTAGGCACCGCATGCCATTCAGCAAAGCATGTCTAGCGAAAGCACGCCTGTGCTAAGTTGTACCATTCCAGCTTTCGAAAGGTTGGTCAAAAAGTGGAAGGACTTGGCACAGCGCTTTGCGCACTTGGCACCTTTTGTCGCCATTGGTTTAACTTGGACTGATAAATACCATGACCGGATGAACCACACAGGAGCATATGGAGTCGCCATGTGTCAGTCCCACGCATTTCTTTTATTCAAGGCTGATTCTCATGTGTGTTTGTGTTTGTACAGTCGTTGATCCTGCGATTCGTATGTCTTGGATGAATGATAATTGGGACATGGTCCGAGTCAACAAGGCCAGGGATTATATTCTCGAACTGGTGCGTTTATTTACCCTCATAAAAGTGCAACTTTGATCTGATATGCTGTAGATGCGGAAGAAAAGAGCAAGAGATACCTCTGACTCCGCACTCTCTCTACCCTTGGAACAGTCAGATCACCAGGCACGCGCTGCTGCAACACTAGGCTCAATGATCTATGGACTTTCTGACATAGATATGCTGCCGCATAATGAGGGTGGCACCCAAACAGTAGAACAGGAATTTAGCTCTTACAGCACGGCTGTCCGCAGCCCACGGGGAACAAATTTACTTGCATTTTGGATGGTAAGAGTTCTATGTCTCCATTACATTTTGCTAATCATGATGTGTCGACTAGACTGCACAGCCCATATTTCTGACCATCTATTCAATCGCAATGGACTATCTCCCCATCCAGGCCTCCGCTGTTCCCTGCGAACACATTTTTTCATCCAGCAGTGAGACATACACAAAGAGAAGAAATCACATCAGCCCACCTCTGATGGAGGCCTTACAAATGGTCAAGTTTTCGCTGAAGAAAGAGCGACTCAACTTCACTGAAGGTTGGCAAGCCTCGCAGAAGGACATGGAGTATGACTTGATGTGCGCCCTAAGCTCGGGTGATTCTTCGATGTTTGGCTCTGGTGATCTTTTGACCTCTTTCACTCCCGAGACTCCTGAATATGAGGCCCTTCTCAGAATCATCGCAGAGCAAGAATGTGATGATGTTCCAGATGTTCCTGCTGTTGTATGATCATAATTTTCACTCAATTCTTGCTCATGTTTGCTTCTTGTCTACTACTACCCATACTTGTCCTAGTGTCTTGCTCCTCCTCGCTCTGTTTTTCTAGACTAGCTTTAATTGTTGACTCGTTTTTCCTCGTGATTCTTGAAAATGTCTTTCTAACTGTGCAACCAACATTCAGCACCTCTCTACTTTGGCGTGTTGAGTCTCCAACAAATCTATTGATTATATTTACAAGATCCAAGCAGTTATCAAGTCAGCTGTATGTCAGCGCCTTGTTGATCTACTCATGCACAGTTCAACCTCCATGCAAACACCCGCTCTTTGTTCAATTGGCAACATTGTTACTGGAGATGATCTTCAGACTCAGGTCGTTATCGCGTCTGGGGCTTTACCCGCTCTTCTTTAGCTGCTATCTTCCCCAAAAGAGGGTATCAGGAAAGAAGCATGCTGGGCGATCTCCAACATCACTGTTGGGTCACCTCCCCAAATTCAGGCAGTCATTGATGCCAACATCATTCCTCCACTCATCAACATCCTTTCCAATGCCGACTTCAAAACACGGAAGGAGGCCTGCTGGGCAATTTCGAACGCAATGTCTGGCGGTCTTCACAAATCAGCGCAGATCCACTATCTCATCTCACAAGGTTGTATCAAGCCACTCCGTGACCTGCTCACTATGATGGATAATGTCATATCCCACGTTCCGGGTCCGGACCTATCACACTCATCATTTCCGGATTTCCGGATCCGGCCAACTTCTATGTATTGTCCGGATCTGACCCGCGTCTAACTTCCGTGCCTTATCCCTTTGGTATTTCCTCTATCAGTTAGTACGCTTTATTTTCCGTCCCTTATTCATTTCCGTCTTCATTTTACTAAGTTCCGATAGACTAGTGATAGTCGTCCCATATGTTTTCTCCATAGCTTTACATAGCCTCGCACTGCACTTACTGTTCTCCGTTATGTCCTCAGTAGTATATAAACCCTGTACAGTCTCTGTAGTTTCCTCAGTTCGAATATCATCTTAGACTCTGCTCATTCTCTCCTCCGTCCGACTTGAGTTTCTCTCTCGTCAACCTCCGCTCATCTTAGGATTGATTCCTATAGACTCGTCACCTCCGCCTCTACCTTTGGTAGTCCTCCGCTGTTTCCTTTCTAGTTCGGACTTCGTCCGGATTAGTCTTATCTCTTGTTCCCGAACGTCCTCCGGAATTCCCGCACATCGGACATCGGACTCCGGACATCGCCCAACGCCCTCCGGACATCGTCCAGTAACCTTCAGACATCGTTCGACAGCCTTCAGAAGTTAGGGGCACGTACTCGGGTAAGGGGCGCAGCGCACGAGCTGAAGCCAAGCCCTTTGGATCCGACCCTTGAGCACGTTCTTAACAGATAACAAGATCATTTAAGTTGCCCTTGATGGTCTCGATAACATTCTGAAGGTCAGCGAGATGGACAAACAGGCTGGAGGTCCCAGATTCATCAACCAATATGCTCTATATGTCGAAGAGGCGGGCAGTATGATCACCATCCACAACCTCCAATCACACGACAACCTAGAGATATATAAGAATGCATTCAATATCATGGACAAGTACTTCCCAGATGAGGAGGAAGTGGATGCAGCAATTAGCACACCTAGCCTTGATGCTACTGGTACATTTGCTGTGAGTTCGCTGATATTGTCCTTTTTCATGTACTAATTATCTGCACATTTCCAGGATGTCACTGCTCCTCAAGGAGGCTTTAGTTTCAGTCAGCAGTAAACTGTTGATCTTGTTGATTCACCTATCTCTTCCACTGTGTGCTACTCTCACTTATATCTTGCACCAACCATTATCGCTCAACTCCCCATTCTGTTTGCAATCTGTGATCTCTCCTTACCCTTTATGCTTGTGCGGTATGTTACATGTAACACGTCTAACGGATGCAAATTCCTTTATGACAACAATATATGTCAGAGCACGAGAAAATGATTCAGTGTAGTAGCTGATAATGCTTATTATTGGTAACCTGTACTACCCAATGATGTCTGTTATGCGATACATGAAATTTACAACATTGATCTGAATGCTGATACCAACATGTCTCGCCCGTCTTGCTTTGTGCCACCACAAACTGTACCATCATGGCTTCTCAAATCCTCCCGCTAGGCGAGTACAAAAGACAACAAAATTATTGATCACTTTCCTGACAGCTGTCGCAGAGCTGAAAAAAATGCTGTGGGAAACATTATGTCAGCTTGCATTCATGTCATCTGTCTCTGTCATGCGTACACAGCGCTTTCTGTCACATCTGAAATTTTTGCACCAAGCCCAACTTCGTCACCGCCATTTCCTGCCATTTTCTCGAACTGTGTGCCACTCTCATCATGAAGTCTATGCCCGAAGTATTGAGTGAGTGAATCCGCTGTTGTTCAAGCGTTGACTTCCAATCCGTTGACACTGTCCGATCATATCTGTCGCGAACAAAAAGAGTTGTGCATGTCAGTTGTGGCCGAGCAGACCATTGAACGGCAGAACCAATGGCCAGTCCTCGTTCCTAAACATACTGTGACTGGGCACCAGGATGCATATTTGAGAGCTTCGCGGTGGACTGTCCCCAACAAATCTATTGATTATTTTTATAAATATAATGGCTGCCAGCTGGCTTGACCTGCCAGCCATGGCTAAATTGGCCGAGCCGAGCCCTTGAGTATGTAAGCTGTGCATTTGTAACGGCTTGGACAGCTACATTTTAATTTCGGCTGCAGCCGGGCTCGAAGCCGGAGCCGCGGCAACACTACAAGTTGCGGTGTATGGACTTTCATCTTTAGAATTACGCATTGTTTCTAATTATTACAGCCATCCTCTCTCTCACCTCCGAGGAATGGATCTAGACTCAAGTGGTCCTCGTCCCTATCATGTGAACTGTATGTACTCATCACTGGGGGGTGCCGCATCACCGCCGGCCTCCATGTACTTTAACTGGGAGCAATAGTGAAAGACTACTTACATGGTATGTTGTTCTGCTACACAAGCGACGGCACTGCAAAAAAATGGTTATATGGAGGAGGTGCCAGGCCATTCACCAGGGCACTCATCCCCAATGTTGTCAAGTTCTTGTTTTCGAATCACCACTGCCTGCAGAGTGAAATGAGCTCCTGCAGGTAGGTATACGAGTGCTTGGGAGGCCTTCGCATGATTGATAGCACCACAGGTGAGTCACTGCGAAAACCTATCGTCTCACATAGTAATTAAATACATTTTATCTTAAAGTGTTCATTTCACTCCCAGTCCTATTAGGTCCTTCTTTCTATGTACACTCATGTGTCTCGCAAGTTGGTCCGGCCTCGCGAAAGACTTTTCACACCCACCCTGAGGACAGGGGTAAGGGCGTGCACCCGTGTGCGTTCGCAACTAGAAACATGGTTGAATTCAGAAACTAGACCTACAATAACCGCAAAAAAGCCTACGTGTTTTGACAGATTCGACGACTCAGCGAAGGCCCTGAAGAAAGACAATAAAAAGACAATAAATCAGCACTCTAACATCAAAAAGAAGAAACTCATACTTCTCGCAATACTTGCACTTGAACGGCTTGAAGCCATTGTGCGTCCGCTTGTGGATCGTTAGTGCACCCGTGATAGCAAACGCCTTGCCGCACCCGGGAAAATCGCAGACGTATGGTTCTACAGTGCCCAATGAGCTGATTGTCGAACACGAAACAACAGAAAACGGAAAAGTACACACTCTCTTGGGTATGTCTCCGCATATGTTGCTGCAATGTAGCTGTTTCCGAGAAATGTGCATTACATATTTTACACTTAAATGGTTTATGTCCTGTGTGCGACTGCATGTGCCGCGCCACCTTTTGTTTACTTGAAAATCCTTGCGTGCCATTCCGAGAGCAACCCTCCCAGCAGCACTCGTAGTGCGCTTTACCGCTGCCGATGTGGGCAAAGAGGATGTGGTTTGTAAGGTCATCAGGAGAAGAGAATGTTTGCGTGCATCCGCTCCATTTACAAGGTTTGATGGCGTCTGTGAACGAGGAGTCTGGCGAAGAAGACTTGTCCCGAGGTGAAGGATAGGGCGGGGCGTCTGTGGGTGACTCATCACAGGAAATAATTTCTGTGCGAGTTGGTGGTGTTTTCGGTGGTGGTGCAGTGCGCACCATCGTCGATTGTGTGAAGGGGTAATTGATACCAAGATGATCTTGCATCAAATGCGTGGTAAGAACATCAAGGACAGTATCCGTAAATCCAGTTGTCGAGGAGCTTGAAATTGATTCTGTACAGGGTAGCATAGCACAGTCTCCCCAGTGGCACGACAAAGCATTGGGGTCGAATTGTTGATTCTGGAAAGAGTCTGAGCATACCTGTTGAAGGGCTGATCCCTCCGTTAAATTGGGGGGGCGGAGATGGTCCAAGTTCACATGCCCGACTAGCTCCATAAGGGACGGGAATATCACCTTGCAGTCTGCCCACAAACAAGGAAACACATGTGGTGAGAACTGTGGCAGATGTTGCGGCAGGCCAACGGGTGTGAATTGAGTCGCCGCCTGGGAAATGTGGGGTGAAGAAAACGCTGAGCTAGTAGATGACACTGGGCATTCGGGAGATGCGATACCCAAAGGCCGTGCTATGTCACTGCGTTCTGACAAGAATTGGGACACATGTTGTTCGCTGTAGTCGCTCTCGTCGCATCCACACAAATCATTTGCGGACTGCGGGTTCCAGTTGAACTGTGTGAGGCTTGGGTCAAGGGTTTTTGGCTGAGACAGATAAGAATGATAGTCAGTGCAACATTGCAGCTTAAAATACAAGAAATTAGAAAATGCGTGCAGACACACAATATGGCGTACCAATTCTTCAAGACCAGAACAATTGCCGCAGTCCTCATCAGGGACACACGCGCCATCGCACACAACGTCGTCATCAGCCACATGGCAACTGGGCTCAGGGTGGGTAGGATCGTTACAGGCGACGACGACACACTGGTCGGTGCACTGCGAGGTCATCTCTAGTATGGGGCATGCCGCTTCTTTGCATTGATTCATCGACCCTTGTGGACAGTGTGAGCACGGCGGATACAGCGGGTGAATTGATGAATCTCCACAATCCATACTAGCGTCAAAGTCTGGGAGGTCATAAGGGCGGAAAGATTGGTCATGGAGCTGCATGAACAAATAAGTGTTCCTCGTCCGCAAATCGGAAAGCTTGTGGTAAGGTGGGCTGATCCTCAACGACGCCGATGACGACAAGCAAAGGGGATCTTTATGTGATGAATACCTGGAGAAATAATGAGTTAGAGAAAGGGAGATGTTCCCTTGATTGACTGGGTGTGTGATTGCGGTGTTTTCCATTGCGAGCTTTATTGGCTTGATGACTGTGGAGGTCCTCTTCAACGTTACTTGGTACGGTACGGGAAAATTGGTTATGGCAAGGGTGTCCGCCGAACCGCAGTTAGGAGTCACCGGTCAATTTCCAAAATAGGTGCTCTCCCGGTCAACTTCCGAATTAAGTCGCCCCTATTCGGAAGTAACAACGTCACGTGCCGGTTTGCCCGAGTTTTAAAAACAGTCGTATATTATTTGAGTCGTGGCCCGGGAATCCTTGTCAAGCAAGGTCCAGGTAATCACTCGAGTTGAACCAGTTGTATGCCTGCAACTTATCTTATGCAAACAATCAATCTACACGTAGTATTGGCTGTGAGATGGAAACGACGATACCTGTGGTATGCCTGGGTGACGCAATTAATCGAACATATGCATAATCTATGATAGCATGCGAAACTTTGAACGTTAAACCTCACTCGAGCTTGAAAGGTTTGACTACAAGTTAGGAACTTTCCCTCTGATGGTGTTACGAAGTAACGGACTATTCAGATCGTTGTGCATGTAGTGCTTACCCGGGCAAAGTAAGTCTCCACGCGCGAAGTGAGACATACCGCTAGAGCCCTTTTAAGAAACGGTGCCCTGTGAGTTCCGATGCATGGGTGTAAGGTGTAGGTATAGGCACGAAGTGAGAATCATAGAACGCTCAGGGTAAGTAGTGCCAAAAACAAAACAAAACAAAATTCCATGACAGGTCAATACGTACGTCCAGAAAGTTAGACCAATATGACAAAGCAAGAACGGCTAAATAGCGTAAGTAGCAACACAGCACAGGTTGATAAAAGCCCATCATACATAGTCACTGTGTATCAACAGCGCGCATCAATTTCCCCGGTATCTACCCTCTGGCTGGCTGCCTCTGCTTCCGAGCGCACCTCTCTGCTAACTCGTTCGACATGGCTTCTAGGGCCTCCATCGCCCCAAGGGCCTCAAGGTCATGAGTCTTGCTGTCGGCGGACGTGGTAGTAGAAGTTGTCGGAGGTGGGTGCGTAAATGTACTGCGACCAGGTTGTTCTAACACCATTTCGGCAAGTTCTCGGAATGGTGTGGTGTCTGCCGATGCATTATAGGAAACCAAAAGTGGAGCAGCAGTTAGTCCGGTAGTCATTCGGGTGGGTAGCACTCGTCCTGGGTCCTTCTTCAGTATGTGTAACTTTTGCGAGAAGGGATGGATTATACCTAGTCTCTTCGCGACATCGTATCCCTTCAGTCGTTCCTTATCAAATTCAGGGTTAACAGAAGAGCCTTCCTCCAACGCAAGATAATCAATACGCTTGTCGATAATAAAGCGATCGTTCACTGTCCAAGGTGCGTCATGTAGCACTTCGTCTACCCAGCGACAGTGCCGCATAAGCTCGCAACGCTCGAGATGTGAGAAATGAGGTGTAGTATTGTGAGCTCGACATTGCTCATCCGAAAGCACTCCAACGATAAGATGTACGGAAGGGAACGAGAGCTTCGCTTGACGGAGTTGATGTACGTGCCTAGATGAACTTTAGTGATCATGCAGCAGTTACTGGTGGTGTACTCACCCAATGGTTAACACATCGAAAACGCCGTCAACATACACTCTAAGAGTGACATTGTCCCGTGGGTACTTTCCTGTACTAGATGAGTTAAGTGCATTCTGCACATATGCTTGTATATCCCCGGGACTCAGCGCCACCGCGCTGAGTCTTTCCCTGGCTGCATCAGACGGGGGAATCTCATAAGTATTCAAGGCTGGAATATGATGCAAGTCGGCAATGCTGGACTCCAAGGAGCGCTGACCAGGGTTAGAGATGAGATCATAGTCCTCGTCGCTCAGGACAGACGAACTATCCATGATGGAATAGAAAACACGTCAAGACCGTACGTACGCGGTGGCGTTGGAGGCCTATGCCAGTAAAAATGCGAGACACGAGGCCATTCCTCCTTCTGCAAGGAACATCGAAGTAGAACTTGATCTGCTTCGTGGGAATTTATAAATTGGCCATAACCAGTAACCCGGCTTTAGCTAGGCTTGTACATTAATGTAGGCGATATGATTGTAGCATGTTGTCCTGACTGACATCTTTCTTTCTCTGGGACTCCACTCTATCACTCAGAGCAACCTCGTGCTTCTCCCGCGAAGAGGACAATTGCAAATACACTAATAACTGATATTCATGCAGCCAATGGCAATATGTTACCAGGCAAGAAGGCAGACCCCTTGTTCTCTTCATACCACTTCGAATCGTGAGCAATCAATACCTGCACTCTCGGAATTTCCAACAGCAACCGGATCCTCTCGATATTCTCCACAGCTTTATCTTTATCTTCATGCATGCACCTGACGCAACCTGACGAATCAATGCGACGTGCCACCTCTTTCTCGCCCGTAATCAATCTGTAGTCGTGAGCAGAATCTCCTCCAAGGAGAATCCATGCGCCATCTGAGCTGGTGCGCGCAAGTATGTTTATGTGTCCTCTGACGTGCCCTATAATGCTGACTTATTAGGTCATACGTTCTAAGGGTTCCCATACCACAAACCTGGCGCGTCAATCACATACATGCTGCCATCGCCGAAAAAATCCAATGCAAGCGGAAATGGTCCGATCGGGAGACTGAAGTCGGATAGAGGAAGAAATTTAGTGCGCTCATGCGGAAGAGCGGTCGAAGAGAAGTGGGAGTCCGGGTTCATAGGATATCCTGAAGCCAGGAGCTCCCTGCATCCTTCTCCCACAACAAATGTAGCTCTGGTGAATGGCTCGTGGTCCCCGATGCTAATACCGAACAGTCAATTTTTTGGATCTGTCAGCTCTCCCTAACACTCACTGATCCCAGTGTAAGTGGCTAATGATGACAGTTTCAACTTCATCAGGGGAAATACCTCCCTTAACCAGTGACTCCGCGACCGTCTGGTTCACAACAGGGGCGAACCCCACGGCCTTGATGCGCTCCTGGGACAGAGGGGTGTATCCTTCGAGGTCGCGCCGTATACCTAAGTCGAAGACAACCCATGACTTGGTCTCGGAGTGTCGTAGCGCAAAGGCGAGAGATGGACACGACACAAACTCTCCCTGCGAGTTGTCGTCTACAACCAAATCGCAGGGGATGCGAAGATGTCCTCCCTCAAGCGCCGATACATACATAAAAGGCTGGTCTGCATTGGGCGGAGGAAGCATCAGCCCAGTCGATTGCCCTGACTTGATTGATGGTGGGAGGCGAAGGGGCAGTATGCTCACATATATGATTTCCCCATTTATATACCCCCTCGGAACATGACTCAGATGCCTGGGCAAGAACTCCCCTTACTCGTGCGAAAGACTTTGGTTCCCTGCAGTTACACCAAGGTACGAGCAAAAAATTTATTGACACGCGATACACAAGACCGTTCTTGCTCGTATAGGCCCCCCCCCCCCCCGCTTTTAGCGACGCATTTACTGTCGTGTCCGCAGTACATCTGCATATCTCTTTAACGTGAAGACTACGTGTGTGATATGATAATACAAGATAAAGATCGACGGTTCTTCATAGGCTCCGGCCGCAAAGCGTTTGCATGGTTGACGTTGGAAGGGTAAATGAATGGTGGAGACCAGAGCGTGATAGCGACGGGTCAACGGTGTGTTTGTGATTCGAACAGTGTGAACAGTGGGCGCTTGGATGAGTTAGAGTTTGGACTACACAAAGGGAGACGAGTTTTGTCGAACGAGAGCGTTGGACTGACTCGGCATATATGGATGGATAACAGAGGAGTGAGCAGCAGGTACAATGCTGGGGGCCAAGAAATGCGGCGTCAGCGAAAGAATGACTGTTGGAACCAATGAAGATGGGCTCCTTAGAATCTTGCATGGACTTGAAGGAGCAATGCTCGTACCTTGAAAGTGACGCGAATCCGGGAACCGAGAATTTTTGGAGGGGACTGGTCACTCCTGAGCAAGTGTTTGGAGCTGGGATATCGACTTCACAGGTCTCCGCCCGATTTCCGCCGTATATTCAATGCTGTACTGAGTGCGTGCAGTTGCACTGAATGACCTTTGTAACTGCGACAAACTTACTGCAGAGAAATTGTAATTTCTTTCAGTGGAATGATGCTTCCATCTAATCAGGTAGCTACCAATAAAGTCGGCCCTGATATATCCTCTTTCTGAAGGTCATGCTTTTCTGGAATGACTCCAGGGTAGAAAGCTGTCCACCCCTGATAAAGAAACGTCATGGGGCATTCAGCACCTGGACCTTCGAATTGCTGAGCAATCCCCTGGTTCTCCGAATATTCTCCAGGGCGAGTTACTCGTTCACGTGAATGCGTCTAAAGCACCCATTGACATCGGTATAGTGTCCGATGTCGGTTTCTCCTGCGATTGATCTGAAGTCTCCTGCAGAATTACCCCAGAGCAGTATCCATAAGTCCATGACCCTCCAGCAGATGTACGCGCTGGTGTGTTCCCCCTGCGTGTGTGTCCCGCGTATATCAAGGTGATTTGAATGTCAATGAAATGGTATGCGACAATGAACTAACCTGGTGAATATATTATATGCATACTTTCTCAAGTGGCTCTGGATACGTGTGGCTGATGAGGAATGGTCTTCAAAGAATGTCGTACTCACTGGTCCCAGTGAATATGACTGACGACGGTGTCAGTCTGTTCTGGTGGTGTCACACCTGCTTTCAGAAACTCTGCCGCATAAGTTGTAAAACTTCCGGCCGGAGACACGGTCGTTATCTTGATAAATATCCTGAGTACTGACAGCAGGAGACAGTAGATTATTAGTAAGGATCGATATACATAGATGAGCCTCACAAGGAATGTCTGCCGTGTTATGATTCATCCCCTTCACGGGTCTCCGTCGTTCCATGTCATCCCTACCAACGGATGCTATGATGTGAGTATAAGAGCTCGGCATAGTATATGGCCTCAGTTACTAGGCTAAGGAATCCAATTCAATCTTTTGGTAAATCTGCACTGGCAAGCCGAGTTGAGATTCAACGTCAGGCAGTACATTACCTGCTCAGACTCGGAGTATTAGTAGGCAAGAGTCGAAGACCGTCGTTTTAAAGAAATACAATGACTTCGAGGGAGCGAGTTTTGTCTTCATTTACATACATAGATGATGGAGTCATCGCGCACATGCATGGAAAAAATGAAAGTACGGTGACGCGAGCCTGAGGCCCGGGGCCGTACTGAGTAAGTAGTGCCAGACTGAGGCAAGACGCGTTCGAGGTCACGTTCTTGCAAAATAAAACTTTCGGTTCCGTCGATCACGTATTTACCGTCAGCCGTATTGAATTGAGTCAGTGAACCGAGCTATACCTAATTAATTGCCATCGCGCATAATGCATCAAACTTTCCCAAGAGTCATCATACCTCGCATATGGCACCCGCACATTTAGATGTATGTCGTTCCACCAATGGCAGAACACCGAGGAAGCACTGGCATGAAAGTGGCTGGTCTAGGTCGCTGCTTACATTTCGAGTGCTGATGTACAGCCTGGTAATCATTTCACTAGTGCTCTATACGTTCTGCGACTCCGCTTTCTTTCCAATCTGCTATCTTCCTCGTTTTTGGCTTGCAGGTCATTGTAATGGGCTTGCTGAGTCGCTATCTCCGGGCGTTAATTCTACCACATGCCCCCAGTGGACGGCTTTACATCCGACTAAGTATCGTGGGCTCAGCGAAGACTTGGATGTGGCGTACAACTCAGAAGACTTCAAGCAAAGAGCTATTCAGGCCCTCGGAGATGCAGTCCGCGTACCGTAAGTCCTAATGTTGCATATCACTGTGGAAACATGGACGTGCTCTTAGGACCGAATCATACGACGATAATGGACCGGTCGGTGAAGACAGCCGATGGGATACATTCGCAGAACTTCATCGAGTTCTTGAAGCCTCGTTTCCTCGCATGTACGTCGGGTTCTTCAAGTCTGTTGACGTTTTCTAACTCAATTTTTTAAATTTCTAGTTACAAGTCCCTAAATGTCACCAAGGTCAACACATATGGTCTGGTTTTTCACTGGCAGGGATCGACTCCTGCAAAGCCTTACATCTTGACCGCTCATCAAGGTTATCCTCTTTTGAACGTCCTACTGAATCTCGATTGACGTCGTTCCAGATGTTGTGCCAGTTGAAGAACAAACAGTTGAAGAGTGGAAACACGATCCATATTCAGGGTACTATGACGGTAGGCAAATTTTAAACCCCATGAGGTGCTACTTACATTTGTATCATCACAGGCACGTGGATATGGGGTCGTGGTACTTGTGATGACAAAGGCGACTTGATACGACAATTGCTAGCCATCGATTCCTTGTTGAAGCAAGGTTTCTCTCCTGCACGCACCCTTATACTTTCGTATGGATTCGACGAAGAGTCCAAAGGCATAGAGGTCAGTAAAGCCTCTACATACGAGCTCCATTATTGATAAGTAGCTTCAGGGTGCTGGTCATCTTTCTCGATACTTGGAAGAAACGTACGGGCGCGATTCTTTTGCCTTGCTTCTTGACGAAGGAGGTACGTGGACTAAATGTTGCACAGTGGTACAACTCAACTTTGCGTTAGATCTTTACACGGACATGGGTGGCATTGTTTTTGCGACTCCCTCGACATCCGAGAAGGGATATCTTGATGTGAAGATCACTGTTTCGACTCTGGGTGGTCATTCGAGTGTACCACCTTCTCATACGGTGCGCGTTGATTGCCACGCTTTCTTACTAATAACTAATCAGCAATATCGCACAGAGCATTGGTCTCCTCTCCCGTTTCATAGCAGAGGTGGAAGATAACCCGCACCAAGCCAGCCTTTCCCGAAGAGGAACCCCGTTTGCGACGACGCAGTGCCTTGCAGCGTACGATCCAGCGTACCCCGAAGACTTGCGAAAGCTCGCAAGAAAAGCAGTTGCAGATGATGCAGCTCTGAAGGTGCTTCAAGAGCGACTTCTGGCTTCAGATCCCCTGTACAAAGCAATGCTTGGGACTACACAAGCAGTAGATCTCATTGAAGGTGGTGTGAAAGTTAACGCTCTCCCAGAGCGTGCTAGCGCAGTGGTGAATCACCGCATCGCAGAGCATAGGTCTTACTTCTTTTGTATGATTTCTAGGACTTTGTTCACTCCTTACTTTTAGTTCTGTTGCTGAGTTGCAGCAGCACATGATCGACCTTTTGACCCCATTGGCAACCAAGTACGACCTCGCACTCCTCGCGTTTGGGAACAACGTGACTCGTGGTGGTGCTGGTCAAGTCGTTCTGTCTGACTTCCTCGGGACAGCCTTGGAACCTTCACCCGTGACGCCTACCGGGTATGGTCCTTGGGCACTCTTGCAAGGAAGCATTAAAGCTGCTTTTGAGAGCTCCCCCACCCGTAACAGCAGCAAGGTCGTGGTTGTACCCTCTCTATCAATTGGTACGTTGGTTGAACTGGTTTGTACTGTACGATTCTAATTAATGGTATCAACCAGGCAACACTGGTGAGCAACTGTGATCTCCTAACAAATCGTCCCTTCATGTAGTCTCAGACACACAATTCTACTGGAATTTGACCAAGCATATTTTCCGCTTCTCGCCGTCCTTTGACACGGATCGTTTCAATGGAGAACACACTGTCAATGAAGGCAAGCGTTGTAGTGTTACGTTGTTTTCCTTGCTGATGCAGTTCTCAAACCTAGCTTTCCGTGCAGACAGCTTGAATGAAGGTGTTCGTTTCTACACCAAGTTTATCTTGAATGTGGATGAAAGTGATTTACCGTGAACCATTGTTTTTTTGTTTTGCTGTCGTTGGTGTCGGGAGTCCTTACGCCCGCACCTAATAACTATTTTGCTGTGAATAAATGTTTTTGCACTGCTTTTGGATACCCAATACGCATTTGTTGGAAATGCTGCACAACTACAGGCTTATAGATACACACCAGTATATGATATACAACTACAACACTTCACATTTTTACGTGTTATTATTCTGCCTCGGTCTCCGTCTCTGTGCCACTGGTCCTGCTATTGACTTCAGATCCCTCTTGTCCTGTCGAAACAACACGACCTCGTCCATCTGTCGCAGCTGCTCCAGTCTCAGATGTCTGACGTCGAGCTTTGATAGCAGAATTCGAGCAGCGTCGCTCACGTGCCTCCACTTGAGCCTGAGCATGAGATGGACCACGTACAGTCCTGCTCCACACTACTCTGCCTCTGCCATCAGTGACAAATGGGGGATCCGCATCGTGTTCGCATTGCGGTCGGCCAGTCGGCGTCGTCTGCTCCTCCGTACAGTCTGCTGGTGCTTCAGCAGCTCCCGAAGACATAGATAACGACTCGTTGCTCTCTGGTGGGTCAGGCATAGTACTTGTAAGTGTAGATGATAGGTAAGGGTCGTTATCATTGTCATTGTCATTGTCATTGTCGATGTTGAGAGGATGTGACATAATATTCTCATCTGCTTCGTCCTCTTCGTCCTCGTCCGAGATGTCAATAACCATGGTCTCCCGACTGCGGGAGTTCAGTACCGTACTGAATCTGGACGTATTTGATTGCTGAACGGTAGATGTCATGGAGGCTGGGGAGATAGACGAGGGACGGGGGGACGGTGTGCGGGGCATTGCCCAGGGAAGGAAGCTGTGAGAAAGTGGTCCAGAAACCTCCGCAGAGGATGATGGCCTAAAAGGCACTGGATGTGTTGTTGAGGGTCCCACAATTGGAGATGCACTCCTAGCCCTAGGTGGTATTGAAGCAGTGGGTACTGTTACAAGACTTTCGACAAGTGGATGTGGACTTTCCTCGACAGCGAGGGATACGAGGGTAACAGGAGCCACAAAATGCGCAATTTCTAGTGACTGCTCTGTAGCTATACTCTCCGCCTATGGTAGAGTCAAAGCTACTAAACATACACATGTCATGCAACTAAGTGATCTTAAAAAGGCTCACCAGTAATTCGAAGGACTGATTGTCTTCGTCATCATCATCCATTAGAGTATCTGTGCCTGCACCAGACTCCGCATCCATGCCATTCAATAATGCTGGAAGATGTTGTCGGACGAAGCTGAGGGTGACATGTAGATTATTCGTTGGGTCTCCGAGGATGCTCTGCAGAAGCCTAAGGCGATCTGCGAGATCTGCTTCCGAAGCAGACCCAACAAACGTACGGCCACGCTGCCGTTGTTGTCTCCTAAATACCTGAGAAGACATAAATATAAAGGTACAAGATGCAAATGACGCTATACCTTCATAAAGTGATTTGCTCCATATTGGAAAACGTGTCGTGTACCATCAGGATTGAGATGTTGGTAGAAGCAATCGAGACCAAATGGACAACAGGGCTTGCCAGAAGCTGATGTTTCGACAAAATATCTACATGACTGTGATCAGGCCGGCGAGAGGAATATAGGGAGATCGTACTGACTTGCATGGAACGCGAGCCATACTATTCTTGTAACTGTCTATTATCTCCTGCTTGCGTGGGTGATCATGAGGGAAGAAATGCGTGGAAGGTGTAATGAAACGCGATGGACTGCGGCAGTAAGGACAGCGTTTTATTACTCCTGACATCACCATGTCCGGCGACTTTCCTTGTGGCTCTCGCCACTGGCGAATACACTGCGTGACAGTGTGAGTTTGTGCATCGAAAGAAAGATAATGAGAGGATCGACCTGAAGACAGAATACATGGCCGCAGCCAACTGGGGGACGATGTCAGAAGACGTTCAAAAAGCCAAGATAGTGACTCGCTTAGAAGACCGTATGTTTGAGGTTTCTCCATGCATATGTTACACATATTTTCATCCAAGTGCTTTAGCTCCTCATCAACAGGGTCCTTCACAAGTTCATGACGAAACCAACACCGAGTACCCCGAGTGCAGTGTCCTGATATTCGGTCAGTTATACCACGTTATCATCGAACTGCACCTTGCTTGCCTTGAATGTAGTATCTGCACACCTTGGATTTGTCGTACGGAGTAAGCTTTTCTTCAGCACCGTGGAGGAACTTGCAATCATCACCAGCGTAGCAGCCCCTGGGGGTTTTGTAGTATCGACAGATTCCCCGTGGCTTGGAGGTCACCGGGCGATCCATGTGAACATCTGGTGTTTATCCTTCAAAACTACAGATGATGAGTATTAGAATATTCCACTGCCAGCAAATGATCAGTTGTAGACAGTCGTGGACGACTAATATTGGTGGGACGAGAAACTTTGGAAGGTCAGCTGTTTCCCACGATGCTGTTTGAGTCCTAAGCTTTTACGAGATCAAATGCATGTACACCGCGGTCATATCAGATTAGATATTCGAGCGCCTGCGTCGCGGCAATCTCAAAATATTTAGCAGCTCCGAGTAAGCCTCATATTTCCCGCAGGGGACTGTCATCGTTTGTCTAACAATCTTGATGGCCGCGGCCATCCTCCTTCTATGTACTAGTAGAAGCCATTCCAGAGTCAAAGCACAGGTTAACTTCATTGAGGCATCAAATACTCGTCTGTTAGACAAACACTGGGTCCATAGTGAAACTAAAATTACACAAAGTGTTCGCGGACACAAGAAATGCGGTACGGAAAGCGATAAGTTTCATCGGTAATTTGCGCGCCGAGCATGAACGCCTACAACGCCAAAGGAATTCTAAATCCACCAGTTCTCCCCATCATGTTGTCAGAATCGTATTTTGCGCGGATTGCTATAAGCTTTGGCAAATGTTCCTTGTAGATGTCCTGGACTGGAGTATCGGCGAGCGAGGTGTTGCAATACTTTGGCAACTTGTCATTAGTGCACCCCTCTGCCTCCGCCACCTTTTGAATGGACTGCAGGATCTGCTTCATCATCCCGATCCAGAAACTATCGTTGCTCTCTCCTTCCCATTGGAAGCAGGCGAGCAATGGCCCATTCGGCCGGCCTTTCTCGTGTGGCCAGGCAGCGGAAGTGCTTGTGTCAAACATGGACGGTAGGAATGGCCAAATATCGATGACGGCTGTCTTTCCCTCGTATTCCTTCAGCTTGCTGGCAGCGAGCTGAGAATAAGAGCAATGAGAAAGATATTGAAACATTTGGATGCTAAGGATGATCATACCTTCGATTGGACCTCGATCTCATCCAAGAGCTTTTGGGTGAAGTGCGAAACCATCACAGTCCCCCAACGCGCCCTGCAGAGATGTGAGTGAGCCGAACGTCAAATTTTTTGTTTATAACATACCTAACATTCTCTTCTCCGACACCAGATTTAGGGGGATTCTTCGCGTACGTCTGCAAAGAGAGTTGCGTCCCATCAACTTGACGGTGCGACGGCGGTGCAGAGATGCGGGACGGATCATGGATGTGGGAAAAAAGCTGGTCCATGAATGCAAAGTTTTCAGCAAGCTTTTTGTCCGCTTCGTCGTGGTCCTCGTGATGAATCCATTTATCGTCAGAAAGCTCGAGGAGCTCCTCAAAAGGATTGTCAGAAGGAAGCGGCCCGTCATAGAAAAGGTCAACAGTAATCTTGTCCTTGTATCGACAGTTAATGTCAGTGGGCAGTAAACTTCAAGGGTTGGACATACCTCCCGCTCTCCACGGATGCAGAAATGTCTGTATGCACCAACGATCGCTGCCTTCTTGTCTTTGCACTTATCAATGAAGTTCATAATTGCTTCCTTCACCTTTGCGGCCTTATCTATTGGAAACGTCAACATGTTCCGCTATATACGAGATCAGCATGAAAGACACAGTAAAAGCATGTTGACACTGACGTAGATAGGCCCAAGTGGATAGGTTTTGACAGTGAACGAAGTAACAATGCCGAAGTTGTTTCCGCCCCCCTATTTCCGTAAGGACTAGGATTATACCTGTGTATTTGATAGACTCACTCTTATAGCAAAGAAAAGGTCACTGTTGCGTTCAGCGGATGCCTTCACTGATTCTCCGTTGCACAAGACGACTTGAACCTCGACTAGATTGTCTATTCCAATACCGTGCTGGTTGGTCAAGAGGGAGTAACCACCACCCAATAGCCAACCAGCTACTCCGACACCAGCAGCGGTAGCCCCGCCGACGATGTTTCGCTTATACTGGGCTATTTCCTTGTAGACCTCATCGAAGAGACATCCCGCTCCAATGCGCAGATTCTGGGTTTTGCTGTTATATTCGAGTTCATTGAAGTTGGCCATGGAGATCTGGATGCCTGTAGTGGAGCTGAATCCAGGATTGGTGGAATGTCCACCCCCTTTGACCTACATAGTAAAGTCATGAAATGGTGAGAAGACTGATAATAAAATACTCACCGCAAATTTCACTTTATCATATTTCATGAAGACTTTCATCTAAACAACATTCAATCGGACAAAATCCAGTCAGAAATAGAGCACTGACGATCTTTTTCAAGTCATCAATGTTGCCAGGTTGAACTGCGCAGCGGGCTACTTCAGAGCTGCTCTCGAATTGGTGAGAGACACTGAGATTATAACCAGCGCCACCTTTAACATGATACTTCAATGCTGTGGTGTAATGACCAAATGAACGCTTTACCAAAACGCAAAAACTGCGAAACATGCTTCGAGTTTTTGCAAATCTTCTGCATTTCCTTGGTAGCTTTGACATATTCTTCCTCGGACCAAAAATCGGTGTCGTAACTAGCATCTGGGTCCCTGTCACTGTGGTTGTCCGAGTGATCCGGCTCGTCATTGTAGTCAATCGATGCATGAATTCCTTGGGCTATGGAATGTTTGCCAGTATTTCCCTAAACTTTGTATCGGCGAGATAGACTGATAACACAGTAGCAGTGCGTACCATACTGCAAGCACAGTTATTACCCTACGGTAGAGTGGCTTGGGTTAGAATTCAAAAGCTGCTTCAGTGAGTGACGCACTGGATCATCTGAATTGGCGCGGCCTGCGTGAACATCACCATTAACCTGCTGTAGAGCAAGTCAAATTGGAAGTCCGAATCAAAGCTGGTGTGATCAGGGACGTACTGAATCAGCTGGATCGTGGGATCCTGCAGCATCGGCAAGATGCTGCAACACAAAATAATATTAGTGTCGCCAGTGGTGAACCAACTCAGCGATACAAAAAACATACAAGAATCATGATAGTGAATAACTTGAAGTCGCTTTAAAGGTTTGTGAATTGAAGAAGGATCTCTCAGCCAGCGGATGTGTTGTGGACTAAAATCCTCGATTGGGTTTTCTTATAAGGTCCACGTACCACACAGCAATGCTTTGATCCGGCGTAGTGTATGACTTATTCTAGAGCCTCGCGCCCATGCTGCGGAGACAGGCACGAGCTCCATTAAGTGACGAACTATCAATTGTCCGTGGACTGACTATCAGCGAACCGAGGAGTTCTTTAGGGTGCGTTACGCTGATTGCGAGGCCTTTGCGTCGTAATAATCAGATTCAGACGTTCCATATGCCATAAATTAGTACATTCTGAATTGAGAACCGAGAATGGATATCGGACCTTGATGCATGATGGCTGTGATCCATCAGAGCGCGGTCCAAGGAAGAATCAATATATCGTCTAAGGAAACAAGATGGCGTTACTAAATTCGTGAGCCGCAGATATCACTAGTAGTAGTAGATATCACGGCATTTTATAAGCGCCTATGCATTACATAGGAGACAAAACAATATAATCACGCTCGGGTCAGACTTTTACATTGCTTTATCACGTTATGGCAGTGGCTCACCATTTCGACTGCGTACCCCGGCCTGCATTAATCTGGACTGGATACCGTAGTTCAAAGCAAAGTGGAAGACAGCCCAATTTGGATCTGAAATTATGTAAATTAGACCTCCAGCATAATTGAAATGTGTGCATAATACTCATAATGAAGATGCATGCATCTGCATCAAACTTCGAGCCACTAGTACTGGCACAAATGGAGAACATGTGACTGATGTATCTTCGCTTCTGATCAGCAGACACAGCGGGGAAACTGACCTTGAAATTACATTACATTCGAAGGGTGCTCTAGCCAGGTCCAGATCATGTTGAAACCCCCATTAATAGCATCCTACCGTACGAGAAGTACTAGTAGTCTTGCCCGCATTTATGTAAACACAGGAGTCTTCCAAAGTACTTCGTGCTGCCGTTTGAGCGATCACCAGGCAAGCGAACAAACGCGTTATCTCGCCTCCATCTCGCTTTCACCTCGCACTGCATTCGCTTCATAGTCGAGAGTTGCCAACTAAAGGGTGTTGTGGGTGTTATTGCGACTTCTGAGTCACAGCATTGTTGCTCTTCCAGATATCCAAACGAAAAAAAAATGGCGATACAACAGATTCATCGCCGCGCCAGATATCGGTGTGTAAATGTGATCACATTTGGTGCCAACACCAGCTGCTTGAAGCTTGTATCTATTAGATCTTGGCACGGACGGTTATAGTAAATAGTACAAGACAGAAGTAAATTTGATCACGGAGGACAAGGAGCCATGTCTCTTGGCTTCAACGAAGGATCCCGAAATGAACGACATGTCATGTCTAAGTCATCGTTGCTGTCCGCGAGTGCCGGGGTGATATCGATAGAGGTAGTCCAGCGCATGGATAGTGGTGCCGGCAAGATATGAGCAGTGCAGTCCAGGGTTGAACGTTGAACGTTGAACGTTAACGTTGAGGCCTGATAGTCGATGCAAAATAACTCGGTGACAACGTGTCCGGCATTGTTGGCAGGATGATGTAGAATATGTTTGGCGGAGAGAAGGTAGACTTTGGCGAAGAACGTCGATTGTAGCCATACGAGAGTGGGCGCCAAAAGTTTAGAGTGCGCCCTCAATCACCGGAGAAGGACGCGCGCAGCGAAGATGGCGGACGAGTAGAATTTTTGGTACGGTGGAGGGCGCACGCTGCTGTATGCACTGACTTGGGAGCTAGACGACACGGTCTGGACAAGCTAAGAGATAAGTAATTAAAAATAGGCACGCTCAAAGTTAGGTGCGCACTTCGCACACCGCACACCGCACACGACCCCCTCGCAAATGGAGGGCATCTAGGAATTCGAATTTCCGGGTCCGTCCGGCCGAGTCCGGCTGGATCTGTCCGGCACTATAATTTGTATGCAAAGGAGCAACAAAGGAGTATGACACTAATATATACATTACACGAACATCCGAACTGCAGCGCAGTGCACAGATGTGGTCCGAGAGATACCCTCGTGAGTCACGAGTACAAATATGTAACAGTTTAGAATCTGCAACAAATCTGCAAGGTTCACAGTTGAGTCCATTGCAATTGGCAGGCAAGCACATAAATGTAGCACCTTTGATGGAGGATGAGAAAGCCAGTTATTGGTAGTAGGTGAGCACAAAAGTGTAGCGGAAGAAAGCCGGCCAGCCCGGTGCACGAGGAGGACAGGCAAATGCCCAAACCATATCTATAACTACACAAAGCTGTAACCCGACAAGGCAAGGCTGGTATATTGCTAACTTAATATTGTGTTTGAGACAGTAACGAGTCGTAAAAATGAGCTCATTGTGTGATGCGACGTTAAGAACTGACAAGTTGTGCACAGACGGATCTGGACAGACCCGCACGCAGCCGGACGGAGACTGCCGGAAATTCGGATTCCCAGACTTTCTGCGCAAATGCACCCCCACCCAAAATGGTAACCTTAGATAATCGTCGGACTTTGGACTAAACTTTGTGGCACGCAGCGCCGAACAGTAACTAGTAGTCGTGAATTGTCTAAGGCAGCATTCCTAAACCTATACCAATTGTGACCCTTAGGCCTTAATCCTTGCCAATAGAGTACTTTGTTAGTATGTTGTACATAAGTATTTTGATTATTTTAATCAATTCAAAGTCGTATTTTGAGTGATCACATGATCCATGTGATATATGATATAGTAGTTGTGAATTGTCTAAGGCAGCATTCCTAAACCTTACCTGAACCAGTTCCAAACCTCATCATCCCCAAACCTTATGGGCCTGTTTTTAACCTTTCTGCGCAGTATATTGTTCAGTATATAGGATGTGCTTTTCCATATATCATGTGGATCATGTGATCACTCGAAATACGACTTTGAATTGAATTGATTAAAATAATCAAAATACTTATGTCGAGAAATTTACAGTGGCACTCGGCCAAAAGTCCCACGTGCGCTCATGTGGTCTCGATCTTTGCCCTTTTCGAGCCGGATCACTGTGTGACGGCGGTCATGACCTGTGATTGTGCCAAACGGACACAAATGGGTACAAAAAAGCAGAGCGCGTGATGCCCGCTGACGTGCAGGCTCAGGCCTGCTCTCTCACTCGCTCGCTCAGATGTTTGTCGTTGGTGTGGACCTCCCGGACCTTAGAGGACGTTGGACACAACAGCTTCTCTCAGCGTGAGTGCAGGACTACTTCAAGAAAGCTTGGGGTTGCCCACTAAGTCCATCAATGTTTCTGTAAGTCTGGCTTCCTTTTTTCTCGACCACTGATGAATACCTTGTGTAGCCCCCTCGGGTGGGAACATCTGGCATCCTGCAGGCCCATGAGCTGGCCAAAGCCAGCCCCCATTAAGCCGGGCCTAGCCAAGCCAAAGTCATGGCCTGTGCAGGGCTTTGGCCCGGCCCATCATTTTGATCGATGAGACCACATTAGTGACCTCAAGCGGCTGAATCAAGTTCGCGCTCATCCAGCTATTCCCAATCACGATTGCTGCAAGCCACCTTCACCTGCACACTTTGATGTGGCATTTGTAGTCGAGGATCACCAGCTATGGGAGAGTGGTACAGGCTTGGATGGTATGTCTGAATCACTCTCGTTGTTGTTGGCCCATGATGCTGATACCTTGGCCACAGGCTTGCGGCTCGCACAGATACGTGCAATTTTCAAATTGCCCTCTCACTACAGCAAATTTCCTCATTCATTGGCATATGTCGAATGGTTTCGACCTCTGCGCGATCTGGAACTTGTGACCAACCTTTATCGACTTGCACGTTTGACTCGTAACCAACGGCATTTCACATCCGTTATCAGTGTTCGAGACCTTCTGCAAGCAGCACACCTGATGCCCAGGTTTGGATTGAGTAAGGTAGATGTATCATGGATCAACGGTGATGTTCTTGAGCTTGCTGACGAGTTTTATGTTAACCCTGACATTAATTTTCACATCTTTGATACTATAGAGCACTTGTACTAGCGGTCACGCACAGCTTGTTGTTCATGTAGTTGCATTGCTATAACATGGCCCTTCGCATTGACGACTAGACTACCTACAGCTATGGAACACAAGGGTATGTCTACTGTTGCTCAGGTGTTACATGACTGTCTACCCCGGGCTACTGAGTCTCCCAGTCACGACATAGTGTTGATGTGGTGCTACGACCCGAATTGCTTTTTCCAGATGCATTCACTCCAATGTTGGAAGGGGCTTGCTGGGCACCACAATTACGCGGTACTCACTCTTGTGCCTCAGTATGTAGTTGAAATTCAGTGTGATGCTTTACTAGTGTAGTTCTATGTGTTACAAGTCTTACGACAGTGCGGGTCAATCAAAATTGAGAGCCAAGTGAATTTTAAAACACGGAGTGACATCATACCTCTGAAATTTTGGAACTGTCCCACCAATTACCTCTGTCTTGTGTTTTTACCCTCCCACATGGCACAATCAAAGAAGGGGGCATCGGACATCATTCAAAAGAAGCCAAGGCGGAGGAAATAATCAGCTACCCTGAAGTCAGCTTTGGCTGACATCCAGAAATGCAAGGAACTTGGAATTGAGACGCACCTCCAGGCAAACAAGATGAGGAGCAGCTATGCTGGCCATGTACACCGGGGACACGAGTGGCTTGCAAGCCATTTTGATGCACCAAGCTGCTCTGCTGATGAGGGGGACTGCTCTGTGCCCAAAGAGCCTTCGGTACAGCCAGTGGCACTGTCAGTGCTTTCTTTCATTAGAAACAATCCAGACAGCAATGTGTATGCAGATCCTGCCTTCAAAGATGCATTTGGGTGCATGCCAAACAGGTGCTTGGACAAAGCGCTGGCACTCTTCATGTCCCTGAAGGGGTTCCATGAAAACCTCAGCAAGAACACAGTCAAAAGTATCCGTGCAGCATTCAAAAAGCTCTGGGAGCAAGCGTGAGCAACACCATGCAGGGCTGGTATGGATGAGCAGTGAGCACTGACTTGTGGCCACTTTCAGGGACAGTGGCACCTTTCGTGGAAAGTGGAGTTTCAATGAGGCGAGACAGCACTGGGAGGGCAATCCAGCTGACTCGGCAGAGGTCTACGACATGATGGCTTCTGTCAAGCACAAGGCAAGCGCAGAAGGCGGGGACCGAACTCACTCAATGGCAATGACAAAAGACTTCATGGATCGCATGCTCCAATGGCATGAGGCCGCATGTCCACTGGAGATTGCACTGCAGGCCATCCAGCTAGTGATGAGCGGCACACTGCCTTCGCAGGTCCAACTGACTCTTGACACAAGGACAGCTCACTCACCATCTTGAACAAGTCACTTTCGATGCTGGTGCATGGACCTTATGGAGCAGGTATTGTCCCGCCTGCCCAAATTGATGTGCGCTCACTGACTTGCCATTTTGGTAGATGCTTTGAACTCGTCAAATTGCAGCGCAAAGACGTCTCGCTCGACACGATCCTGCTGGACACTGTTGTGAAAAAGTATATTGCACACGAGCCACTGACACTCAGCGACAGCAACACCTATTTCGAGATATTCCTCTCGAACCGAAAAGGATGGCAGAAAAGGGTCGATAAGGGTATCTGCGAGGCAGACCTTAGGTGTAAGTTGATTCAGATTAGCATGGAGTGATGCCCTGCTAATGTAGTGGTGTATGTGCCTCGTACCAGCCAACCACTACAAGATATTTCCCCACCCAGACATGCCTTCCTGTGACAGCTTCATCTGGATGTTGCTCTGGATCAAATGGCTTGAGTTTTTTCATTACGGGCGCACACTCAGGCCAAACAACTTCATCTTCCCTTCAATGGGTGCCAATGGCATCATGCAGCCCGGACAGCCTCTCTCGCATGACACTGTGCAAAAGTGGATCAATGAGGCGACGACAGGTGCTGGCATCCTAGGCTGTTTTTCAACTCACTGCTTCTGCTGTGGAGGTGCCCAGTATTGGTTCATGTTCGCACCAGTTGGTCAGCGGTGGTCACTTGCCATGGTTTGATGGTGGGGAGGATGGGCTGATGGTGAACAGGTAGGTGCCTTCAATGGCCTATGTTTTCTTGCTCTCACTCATTCATTCCATTCTCAGCGAAACATGCTCATTTGTTACCTTCTTGATGAACTACACACCTATGAGACTGACTACAGTGATGCCCTCGCTCCCTTCTCCTGCAAAGCTAAATCCTCCCTTGCAGGCGAGCAGGCACTCGTGAGGCCAGCATCCACTGAGGAGCTGCGCATGGTTCATGCATCTGTGACTGCAGATGTCAATCGTTTGCGAGTTGATGTCAGTGCAGTCAACGACTTGCTTCGGTCACTCACCAGCATGGTTCAGGCCACTTCAAGTTGCCTGAAGGCTGCTGGACACCTACACCTACCTCACCTGACCATGGCAACACAACTCGAAGAAGATCCCTGCTTCACCCTTCTCTCTGCATCCAGTGCAGAGTCTCCTCATAGTATTTCAACTCCTCGGCATGTCCATCCACCAGCAACACACTCCCATCCTCTGTCATCTGTCCACAGGAGCCATGGCCATGCACACATCACTCCAACTACTCAACCACTGCCATCTGCTGCTGCCTCGACTCAACAACTCCCAAGCAATGGTCTCATCATTCCAAGGCTGCCACTCGTCTGTTTGAATGGGTTGAAGAATCCAAAGGCTGAGTCCTGGAAGGACATCATCATGCACTGGCTCGTTGGTGACCCCGACAGAGGGTTGAAGACGCTGCTCAAGGACTGGCCGCAGGAGTGGTACCAAGGCCCGAACTGGAAGCTCGCAATGCAGTTCCAGAACAGGGCTGTTGTCGCGTGCGAGTTCATCAACCAGTGAGTGCTTCCAGCTGTGATCCATACGACGGTGCTCACACTGACCATATTGTCTAAGTCACTATTTATGGCAACTGAGTAGGATGGGGAGGGCGGAAGGACAGGCAAGGTAGAGTAAAGTGCAGTAAACTGCGAATTCTGGTGGGTAAAGTGAGTGAAGTGCGGGACAGTGAAAAATTTACGGTAAAGTTTGTAAAGTTTGTAAATTTTCCGCCTGCCGGGATATCCCTCAACATCTACTAATAATTGTAAATTTTCACTCACCTTCTCGTTGATTTACAACGGGAGGCCTGCAGAACCAAGGTGTGACTCTGATGCATCTTTGTCGTTCTCGAACCCTCATTTGAAATCTTTGATTTCACACTTGCATTCATTCTGAATTTCTGACTTTGTTCTACTAAATGATGGTCCGTGGAATCATGTATAACAATCTCCTACTACTCTACTGATACAATCCATCTATCCATCCATCTTCTAAGCCCAACTGTCCGTTGTCGCAGCTGCATCTACCATCGTGGGGGCTGCGCGTAGTATCTTCAGGTTGCTCGGCATTGTGTGACCATGACATACCCTTGTTGGGTAGCGGAGGAATCTTGGGAGGAATCTGCTTTACAGCATTTACATTAGGTAATTGTAAATTTTCGCAGATAAACAGACTTATGTACAACATACTAACAAAGTACTCTATTGGCAAGGATTAAGGCCTAAGGGTCACAATTGGTATAGGTTTAGGAATGCTGCCTTAGACAATTCACGACTACTAGTTACTGTTCGGCGCTGCGTGCCACAAAGTTTAGTCCAAAGTCTGATGATTATCTAAGGTTACCATTTTGGGTGGGGGTGCATTTGCGAGGGGGTCGTGTGCGGTGTGCGGTGTAGAAACAACAATACTGAGTGGAACAAATGATGCTCCAGGCTGTATCTGTAAATGTTGTGAGGTCGCACGTTGCCTAGTCTGCTATACCTGAGATGACAAGTGCGTTCGACCCTAAAGGGGAAGCAAGTGCAGCAAGGATCTGGTAGTAGGCGCTGAAGGCGCTACTGGTCAGCCAATGCGAAGCGCGGGAAAGCGAAGGTACGCGCGCACGTGAGCGGAAACAAGTGAGAGTAAGTGGTGAGTTTGCTTAAGTGATGATAGATGAATAACAAGAGATACCAGATGCGATGTGCTAAGGAATAGATTGCAACTATACTCTGGTAGGTAGTAAGTGGGTGGTAAGTGGGAGGTAAAGTCCTCTGAAAAGTAAGTGAAGTCAAAGTATGTAATGCTGGCGCTTAAGTATGGCGCCTAAGCGCTGTCATGCGGAGCCGAAGCGCTACCGAGAAAGGTATGTAAAGATATATGTAAGTAAGGGTCCATGGTAATAATAAGAGTGGAACGATATGCAAATATGGGAAATGGAAATATACGCACTAGAGAGCTTGGTGGACAGTGGATGGATGCTTCTGGATGACTGGCGCTGTATGGCGCTCAAGCGCGGGAACACGCGCATATATACATCGCGAAGCGCGGGAATGGTGCGCGCATGGCGCGTGTTGTGCGGGAAAGCTGCGCCTCATATAGGGATAGCTGCAGATAGCACACAGAATGGTGCTGCAAGTTCGTGCAATGAACTCCCTAGTGAAAAGTACCATATCACACCATGCGAGGCACGAGTCTCTACAGCGGTGTGTGGTGTGCGAAGTGTGCACCTAACTTTGAGCGTCCCTAATATGTCTCGCAGGGCCACATCTGTGGCAGGGCCTGCTATGAGTCGTGTGTGGGAATCATCCTTCCTTTCTAAAACTACTGCCATGTTTATCTGATGTGAATCAGGCCCAAGCTGCACGCTGAGCGGATCGAACACTTAGCAAAGATATATAGGATGTCAGTGTGTGATGAGTCCTTTTCTCACTCTGCAATCCCGTCCTAGCTTCTCAGGCCTGAACAGGTGCGCTGACCATGCGCGGTTTGCTTTCTATAGACCTGACCGTGGTCTTGCAAGCCCCGTAGTCGCGATGGAGGGATCATTGGTGTCAACTTTATGTTTCAGATCTCTTCCTAGCTTCTCAGGCCTCAGAAGGCGCGCTGACCGTGCACGGTTTGCTTTCCATAGACCTGACTGTGGTCTTGCAAGCCCTGTAGTCGTGATGGAGGGATCAATCTCATTCCGCTCTTATTCTCTGTTTTCTTTGACATTTTCAGTTACTCAGTATGTTCCTCTTGTTCAATCTTAGTCTGTTCGTGTCGATGAAGATGTCATTTTATGTTTTTTAGTGCTATGTTATTCAATGGGATGTTTGGTCACTAGAGTGGTGTAGAAACAACAATACTGAGAGGAACAAATGATGTGTTCGACCCTAAAGGGGAAGCGAGTGCAGCAAGGATCTAGAAGTAGGTGCTGCTGGTTGGCTGATGCGAAGCGCGGGAAAGTGCAGGTGCGCGCAAGGCGCGGGAAACGAAGGCGCGTGCAAGGCGCAGGAAAGCGAAGGTGCGCGCACGCGCGTGAGCGGAAATGAGAGAGTAAGATTGAGTTTGCTTAAGTGGTGATATGATGCAAGACCAGAGATGTGAGTGCGAGGTGCCAAGGAATAGATTGCAACTATATTCTGCTAGGTAGTAAGTGGGTAAGTGGGAGGTAAAGTGGAAAGTGAGTTAGGTGAGTAATATTATGTACTGTTGGCGCTTATATACGGCGCCTAAGCGCTGTCATGCGGAGCCGAAGCGCTACCGAGTGAGGTATGTAAAGATATATGTAAGTAAGGGTCCATGATGAGAATAAAGGTGGTATGATATGCAAATAAGGGCAAATGGAAATACACGCACTAGAGAACTTGGTGGACAGTGGATGGATGCTTCCAGATGGTGGGCGCTATAGGGCGCTCAAGCGCGGGAAAGCGCGCGCGCATATACATCGTGAAGCGCGGGAAGTGTGCACACATGTTGCGCGTTGCGTGGTGTCTTACTAGGATGTGAAAACAGTAAAATTCACCAATTTTCAGTATCCTACCACGGTCAACAGTTCAGACAAATACCAACAGTCGATAACGTGGTCGTTCGTGGGAAAAAGTGTGTTGAGTTTTCAAAGGAAGTACTCAGTGACTAAAAAGGGGGGAAACAGAATCAGTAACTGGCTTGATGCAGTGCTATGATCCTAAAGAAAGTCAATAACTGGCGCGATGCAGTGCTATGACTTCAACGAATACAGATGTATGTCTTATGCGATGATTCTCAGAGCTATAATAATACTCCCTATCTTCACAAACCAATTGGAGATCAAACTAAGCCTCTAACACGGATCAGCCCGAACTAATACGTGACTTCGAAACCTACTCTCTGCTGCTCAGGCACTACACGATGAGTTTGATGCAGGACAGAACAGAGTACACCCTATTGATGTAGTCTTAAGTGGGCCAAGTTCTTAATATTAGTGACTGACTGTTAGTCTTATTTGTCTTCCCTTGCTAATGAAAATACGTATATTCTCCCCACAGAATTGATTTCCTGTGTCTGAAAAAGAACTGGAATATATCTGCACTAGATGACTGATAACCGTGTACCAGCTAGTGTAAAATGTATGGCTCAATGGTGGCCTCAATTATGCCTCTGTATGTCGTGGGAAACAGTGTCAAAAAGTGGAATGAAATAAGCTAATATTTCACTCAGTGTGTCACTCAGTAATCTTTGAAGTGAGAATCTAAAAAGAGCCTTATGGTCACTCTTCTTATCTTTCACTCACTCTTTCACTCTCAAACTTAGATGGTACTTGGAAATGGGCTCTGAGATGGGAGCTCTCTTTATTAAAAAGGAAAATGGGCCCCTTATATACTACTCTACTAGTGGCTGTGCTACTGATTACTAATCTACTACTAAAGTGTCAAAGAATGCCATAGAATGTTCCAGATTATTCTACCAAATTCCAGTATTGCTTTCAAATCAACATTTAGTGGCTGTGCTCTGTGGCTATGCTAACCTGTGCTAGCAAGCTGTGTACACTTCCTCTGCACTGCCTGAATGCTGTACTCCAAAGCTGTGTTCAAACTTTGTTGGAATTCTTGCAGTCTAATGTTAACTTGTTAAATACCACAGTGTTGGTCTTGCATATTTGTCATAATGAAGTCTCTGCATGGTTTCCTAATGTGTCACCAAGTCACATGAGTCCGATTATGTAATGAGGTATGAAGTCTTTCAGGTCTTTCCTCTGAGTATTGTGAAAAACGAGAAAGGCTCGCGTAACAGTGAACATGTTCAAGATGTGACACAAAACATACCAATTATGTAATATGATGTCAGGATATGTCACAAAGTATGTTCCAGAACATGTGAAAATGTGTGAGAAAATTATAGGAAGTGTGAGAAATTGCTGACTAAGTGAAGAATTGTGCGTTTGAAACCGATCTTTCATAAGGATAAGTATTATTCTGAATGTTAAGTAGTGATGCACTCATTTTTGAATCCGAAATTACTCAAATAAAATATGGGTGCTGCACAGAAAATTCTAGATAGCATCATGGGCTATTATAAAGAGTACTACAGCTAAATATTTGCCATGTTCATGTACAAAACAAGTTTTGTGCATGTCAGCGGGAAAGCTGTGCCTCATATAGGAATAGCTGCGGAAAGCATGCAGAGTGATGCTGCAAGTTTGTGCCATGTACTCCCTAGTGACAACTGCCATATCACGCAATGAGAGGCATGAGTCTCTACAGCGGCTCATCCATGAGCGCTCTGTTCTTTTGGGACTGGCATGCGCTCCTCACTGTCCTCCATCCAGCCTTCACTGCATGCTCTACCAAGCCTGGTTGCGGATATGACACTTTACAACACTCTCCTATCACAAGCGACTTCCTTTACATCTCTCAGACAGCTCATCTTCCGCAGTATGATTCTTCCCAGAAATTTCCACTCCATCGTGTATGACTTTCCACACTTGCATGATTTGGCGGTTGTGCTCTGCACCATTCCCTTCGTCCGCGTTGAAGGTTCAACAATACAGCAAGGCACAAATGAGGCTCCTGACTGTATCTATAAATGTTGTAAGGTCGCGCGTTGCCTAGTCTGCTATACTTGAGACAACAAGTGTGTTCGACCCTAAAGGGGAAGCGAGTGCAGCAAAGATCTAGTAGTAGGCGCTGAAGGCGCTACTGGTTGGCTGATGCAAAGTGCGGGAAAGCGCAGGCACGCGCGCGTATATAGAGATAAGAGATGTAAGTGCTACTTTCTAGGGAGAGATTCCAACTAAGCTGAGTTGTGTGGTATGAACATGGGGGTTGCTAAACTACTCTCTGGTATGTACTACTGGCGCTTATGTATGGCGCCTAAGCGCTGTCATGCGGAGCTGAAGTGCTAGTGAGTAAGGTATGTAAAGATATATGTAAGTAAGGGTCCATGATAAAAATAAAGGTGGAACGATACACAGATAAGAGAAATGGAAATATACGCACTAGAGAGCTTGGTGGACAGTGGATAGATGTGTCTGCATGGCTGGTGCTATAGGGTGCTCAAGCGCGGGAAAGCGCGCACGCATATACGTCGTGAAGCGCAGGAAGTGTGCGCGCATGATGCGCGTTGCGTGGGAAAGCTGCGCCTCATATAGGAATAGCTGCAGATAGCATGCAGAGTGATGCTACAAGTTCGTGCCATGTACTCCCTTGTGAAAACTGCCATATCACCCAATGAGAGGCACGAGTCTCTACAGTGTTCCTCCAGATATTGGCCACACTTGCTTGAAAAGATCTGACGATGATGACTTGAATTTCCCTGTACTTGTCTATGCCTGCTTGCAAAAGCCTCAACCCTCCGCACTCTCACATATGATCATACCATCTGGGTCCACGGTGCTTTTACATCTTCCTCTCCATCTCCCTTGCTTACTGCTCTCGACGTCAAGTTCCCTGTCCAGAAAGACTGTTTCAGAGTTCCACTGGGTTTCATCCCATTCCTTGAGACTCTTTCCTCCCTGCGCATTCTCATCTTGCAAAACCACAAACCAGCCCTCTCATTATCGCCAATCGCTCTTCCAGCTCTCTGTGCAATTTCTGCCCTATTCTCTGCCATCACTTCTCTCAGTTCTGGCCATAGTATTGTTAAACTTGACATCCGTGACGAGGCTGCGCTTACGCCGCTTTACAAAGCATTTGCAGCAGTGCACTCTGATTGGTCAATGGTGCAAGAGCTTTCACTGTTCGTAGGGGACTGGGATGATGAGCTTATGCTGGTCATCATCACACATTTTCCTAAGGGGAGGGCCAAGCAAGGTGCGCTAAATTTCTCTCATTTTCGACGACACTGATACTCATTTCCAGGACACCATCATCGGGATGCATGTGTGCGTGTGATGTAGCCTAGTTCTTTTAGATTGCTATTCTTCCTAGCTTTGTCGGAAATAAAAATTTGGGACATGTGTTTCCTGTCAGAGTCAACGGTGGAATCGTCAAAATACATGGGAATCATCTTATTGACGAGCAGCTGCAGATTACAACATTGGACGGTGCTTGTGCAATGCCAATGTCGTAAAGACCATTCTTGGGGATCGGATCTTGCACTTGACAGCGATATCTTAGAAATAACATCGCTTGATGACAATTGGAAGCTTACCTTGACTTCTCCACTGTAGTGTGTTTGGAATCATCTGCCACTGGCAGTGGAGGGAAGATAAACTCTGACATGGGTAGCCAGTGCAAAAAGTTGATATAGGCACGCTGAAAAGTTGTCTTGGCCTCCCCTCCTGCCTTTGACCAGAATGTCGGGCCAAAAAGGTACTCCAGAAACTCGACAATGGAGACCTTCTGACAGTCTAGCAGTTCGGCATCCACACTTCTGCTATATTGTAAATCCTGGACCATGCCTTCAGAGGGGTCTGACTGGCGTATACAGAGATCCTTAGCAAGAAGCAGTAAAAGTCTGCTGGTCAACTCTCTGGTCTGTCCAATGTCGACCATCCCACCATCGACCTTCTCCCTCAAGACCTGCAAAGCATTCTTCAAATGCTTGGGTGCTTCATGGAGCAACATTGCTGCGACGCAAGACAGAAGGGGCTCTGATGGGTAACCAGTAAAACTCCAGAACCTATCTTCAGTCATTGAAAAGCATATCCACAAGTGACTAGCCACTCCTGTTTTGAGATAAGAAATGACATGGGGGTGACCAAGGCAGATGTTGAGACTGGATCTCTGAGACAGTACTGCAAGAGCCTGGTCGGTAGCCTTTGAATCAAATCTCACAGATTTGCATAACTTCTGTGCAGCCAACAACAGAACCCCATCGATAATCTCCTTTTGCATGTATGTTTTCCATCTATTCAAGTTCATGGTGATTAATAAAACTGAACACGAGGATAAAAATAAAAGACAAAGAGTGGACGACCGAATCCGATGATGTGGCAAAACTTTCCAGCATCCTCAGTGCGTGTACCAAGGAGAGGGCTCGCGAGTTGATCCCAACCAAGGGCAGTGTAAGGCAGATACAATAGTTTTCCACCTACCGATACCCGCTCAGAATTGTCTGCAATATTGTGTGTGAAGGCTCAAAACTGAGATGTAAAGTACAGTGATCAACCGGACCATTGTACACCAAATTGGAAAATCTTACATTTTGACTCAATTGTGCAGGTATGGTATATTCTGTCTGGTACATTTTAAAGTATATGGTCTCATCATTGACTGGTTGAATTTTTTGCTTTTTTTATCAAGTGGTTGGCAAGCATTGGCCTGTACAACTGGCAGTGTACTTTCACACATTCCCGGCTCATTTGTACACATCCTGTTACTATATTTGGATTATATGTCACACTATGTTACTATTGTCACACTGCCCTTATGTTGGGACAACTTCGAAAAAAAAACAAGATAACTCACAATCCACCATGAATGTGCGCACTACATGCTTTCAGCATGACATTTCCGACACTTTATTTCATTGCAGACATAAGGATTGGAGAAAACTGTGTGATGTTACACCTGTTTTAAGGCTAAATCATTTCATATCCATGATTCTTGGCCACTATCACCACCTTTCTACATTTTTCACTCTTTGAAATAATACAAAAATTAGTGTAGCTTACAGAGTGATAACAATAGAGTATGATGTGCTAATTCTTTTGGCACATTGATGCAGAATTGAGTGAGAAATAATGATTGTACAGATGACCAGTGGTGTACACAGGACTGGTTGATCACTGTAGGTACTTACTTATCACCTGAGGAGCTGCAAAATCGGCCACATGTGAGGTTGTAGCTGCAAAAACGATCCAGACTGGTGTGTTAACCTTGCAGGAGTAGAAGTTGATTGCCCTGCACAGAATATGCGATGGACAAAAACCCTTGCTGCTTGACTTGTGGAGAGGGTGTGCCTCGTCGAATGCAATCACAAGTTTTGGCTCATCACCGGAAACCTCCTCTTTCTTCCCCTTCCCCTTGCCCTCCTTACTGCCCTTCCCGATAGCAAATATTTGTGGCATGGCATCCACCATATCCTGGGAAGCCTTCTTGAGAAATAACTTGCCTTCCAATTTCGGAACGTCAACCTCCGGAACCTTGACCTTTGGAACCTCGATGTTAAGACCATGCACAAAGGGTAGGACTGATTCCAAGGGGCTTGGCTTCAGCTCGTGCGCTGTGCCCCTTACCCGAGTATGTGCCCTTAACTTCAGAATGAAGTCCGGAGAAAGTCCAGTGAAGTCCGAAGGACTTCTGGAGGAGCGTGGGAAACTTCGGAAGGACTTTCCAGACGAGTGCAAGAAACTTCCGGATGAGTGCAGGAAAGTTCCGGAAATTACAATGGAGTTTCGTCCTGACGGGGATATGTGTAATGGCTACTCAGGACAAGTCCTGAGTAGAAGCAAACAGAGGAAAGGCTGCAAGGACAAAGTCCGAAGCAGAATAGGTCCAGAGGACCACAGGAAAGTTCCAGAGGAACTTCCAGAAACTTGGAGGATCAGAGGAATGGTGGATCGGAGGGTCGGAGAAGCGGAAGAGCGGAGGAGCGGAGCTCCGGCCTAGGGAATTCCTCCCTAGGCCTGAGATGGATGATTACTAAGTCGGACGAATAGAACTGTTACGAGGACTTAGTGTGAAGACTAGTGCGAGGACTAATATGTGTAATATTCAGACTGAGGAGATACAAAGATTCTACAGAGTTTATATACTACAGAGGACTTAACAGAGAGTCAGTCAGCGCAGTCCGAAGCTATGTGAGCCTGTGGACAGAGGATGTAGAAAAGTCAAACACTAGTCTATCGGAAAATAGTAAATGAAGACGGAGATGAAGACATAGGAAAATAAAGCCGGAAATGAAACGAGGTACAGAAAATGAGGAAGTCTAACTCAAAAAGGAACATACAAAGGGATAAGGCACGGAAGATAGATGCGGGTCGGATCTGGATGTCCGGAGATGAATGCGTGATAGGTCCGGGTCCGGAACGCGGGATATGACACTAACTTGAGAAGGAACATACAAAGGGAAAAGGCAAGGAAGATAGATGTGGGTCGGATCTGGATGTTCGGAAGTCCAGAGACAGGTGATTACCATAAGGGGATGGGCGCTGATTTAAGGTTTGGGTTTGGACATGACAGATAGGTCAGATCCAGAGATCCGGAGATGTGGATATCAGATCTGGCGTCCGGATATCAGATGCAGGAGTACAGGGATCCGGACAGATAGAGGATTGGGTCTGGAGACATGGACAGGAGGTCCGGAGGTTCGGATGAGGCATGGGAACATCATCGGATGTTGGTCCGGAATGCAGGATATGACACTCGACCTTCTTATCTGTTGGGTGTGAGCTAGTAGAGCAAACACTACATTCAAAACACAATATGTACCCTTCAAAGACATGCCCCCTAGTTGTGTGAGGGTCTTCTTCAACCTTGACTTAACACTGATACTCCCTTGGGGCACTTTCAGCTTGCTAGAGAACTGAAATAAAAGTTAGCTTGGTTCCATTTGTCGAGCAACTATCAGTACTAGACCTACTGTTACAATAACATTTAGAGAGGCCCCTATACTCATTTTCCTTTGCTTCTTAAACGGGCCGTCCGTACCACGCTTATCTCTTATCATGCCTATCTCTTATCTTGACTCTTATCTCGCCAAGCGGGCTGTCCGCCTTTCCTTTCTGCTTCTATCTTGATAACGCATTTACAAGCTCCGCTTGAACACTGGTATATAAACCTACATACCTACAGTTGTATTCTCTACTTTAATCTACTGGGTTTTACCTGGAACATTGTCCTTCAGTAAGGTCTCCAACCTTACTGTCTAAGAACCACTATTCTAAGGGAGTCAGCGACACTCGCCTTAGCCAGAATACTTGATCTCTCAATCGAGAGCAGACTTACGTCTATCTGGCATTCCGCCGATTGTCTAATCAGACAGAGATAGCTCGACTCATCCCAGTTGTAACAAAAGATTAAAGTCTTATTACCTGAACCGTTGCCATCTGCAACGAAACCGACACCACGACTTCATTAACTCCTTTGATCGGAGCCTTGAACTTAGGAGCTCTACCAACCATTCCTCCTTTGAACACCATGACGACCCAGAACAAAGAAATAGAACTAAAGATCGGTTCCCCTCCTGAATTCGATGGAGACAGAGAAGAATCAAAGAGATTCATGATGAAATGTCACGCATACCTCGACATTAACGACAAAGTCTACGTTGATGATAAGAAAAAAATCATCCTCGTGTTATCCTACATGACGAAAGGAAACGCAGCAGCTTGGGCGGAAGACTTCATGGAAGCAGCCCTAGACCCCAAGAGGAAAGACACCTCTGGACAAATGATCGGCTACGGAACCTGGGCCAAATTCAAAAAGGACTTCGACGAAGCCTTTAAACCCATGGACCCAGCCGGAACTGCCATGATGAAGATACGAGGATTAGAGATGAAAGGAGATCTCCATACCTATATCTCCAATTACAAACTCCTCGCACACCGAGCAGGAATGACCGAACAAGCCCCCCTCATCGAATTCTTTCGACAAGGCCTAGACTACGGACTTCAGGACAACCTGCACCGGACAGGTGAAACTCTCGATAACTTCGACACCGTCGTCAACTCCTGCATTAATCTCGATAACGCCTTCCAAAGATGGAAAGCCATCAAGAAGAAAGAAAGACCCCAGCAACAGAAGAAAAAGAACTTCGGAAATAGACACTACGTTCCAAAAAGGGACGACGACATGGAAGTCGACCGCATAAGCCGTCTCTCAGATGCAGAATTAAAAAAGCATCTCAAAGAAGGACGATGCTTCAAATGTCACCAAGTAGGACACCGTGCCAACGACACCTCCTTCCACCCCAGAGAAAGAGGACAGATCCGGAGAAACAAAGAGGAAGAAAGTAGCAGCGACGACGAAGTCGAAAGTCGCACTTCCTCCTCCAGAACCCCCATCAGAAGAAAGAAGGAGAGGAACGAAGAAGAAACTCCAAAAAGGAAAGCACCTATCCGAAGGAAGACTATGAAAGAGAAAGCCAAAGAAGTCGAAGAAGAGGAAGACAGCGACTTCACTGAAGTAGAATGTCGCTTCGTGGAGATGGATTTTTAGAAAGGGACACTGCCTCGACGTCAGTAACTCCCACTCATGTACGACTAATACGTTCTATCGGAACCAGAAATGAATTAAGAATCCCTGCATCCATTTTTTCCGATAAACGCGTACAAACCGTCGAAACATCCATGGTCATCGATTCCGGAGCATCCGGCACCTTTATCAGTGACACCTTCTGTAAAAGGCACAAAATAAGAACCCATAAACTCTCACGACCCTTCCCTGTTATCACCGCCGATGGATCAGATGCTCAAGGAGGGCTTATCTCTCGCTATTGCGTACTCACGATCAAAATCGATCAACGAACCATGATCGGGAAATTCAATGTGGCAAAGCTAGCCAAACAGGACAAAATCCTCCTAGGATTCCCCTGGCTTGCTGCACTGAAACCCCAGATCAATTGGGAAGCCAAGACCGTATCACTCCCATCAACGAAGAGGTCGCTTGCCATAGAGAAGAACATTGACAAAAAGAGACGCCAGAAATCTCTCCCGCCACTTTTCAGAAAGAAGAAAGAAGTCAGAAAAGAAACGACCCGAACTTGGACAAATTCCAAACTACGGAAGCCGATACAGGTGAAGGTGGCAACTAAAGAAACCACCTCCCCCTATACCGCTTCTGTGGAAGAAATAGCTGACGAAGAAATACCCAATTATGACACGAAGGAAGACGTCTGGTCAGAAAACTTCAAATCTCCGGTCATTGATCCACTAGCCTATCAATTGGCCAATGACGAAGTACTCGTCGAATATGCCACTGATGGATCCACCGTACGCATCATAGAAGATATAACTTTCGATACCCCGCTCGTTCGAGACGGGACATCAAAAAGGGAACAAAACTACGGAAAGACGAGTAATAAAGCCCAAGAATTCGCGGTCGCAGGAGAAATAGAAAAACAGAAAAAAACTTTCGAAGAACTCGTCCCCCACTTCCTCCACCAGTATCAAGACGTCTTCGCCAAGGATGGTCTTAACAAACTCCCGCCGGAAAGGCCTGGGGTAGACCATCGTATCGACCTCAAACCAGGATTCGTACCCAAGACTTCGAAAGTCTATCCATTATCAGGAAAAGAACGAGAAGCTGTCAAAATGTTTATCGAAGAAAACACCAGAAAAGGTTTCATTGTTCCCCTCTAAGTCACCTCAAGCCAGCGGATTCTTTTTCGTAGGAAAGAAAAGCGGGGAACTACGTCCCTGTCAAGATTATCGGTATCTCAACGATTGGACCGTACGAAATCAATATCCCCTCCCCTTACCAAAATCCCTCATTGAACAACTCTATGACGCCAAGTACTTCACGAAGATCGACATAAGATCAGGGTACAATAACGTAAGGATCCACCCAGAAGATCGATGGAAAGCGGCGTTTACCACTCAAGAAGGGCTGTTCGAGCCAACAGTCATGTTCTTTGGATTAACAAATTCCCCCGCAACCTTTCAGGCGTTCATGACCAATCTCTGCCAGAAACAGATAAACCAAGGATGGTTAGTCATATACATGGACGATCTTCTGATCTTCTCGAAGGATCTTCAGCAGCACCAAGCACGAACCATCGAAATCCTCGACATCCTTCGAAGAGAGAAACTATTCGTTAAGCCAGAAAAATGTACCTTCGATGCACGAGAAGTAGAATATCTTGGAATGATGATCCGACCAGGAGAAGTAGGGATGGAACCCGCCAAAGTAGACGGGATTAAACATTGGCCAACCCCGGGAAACCTAAAAGACACGCGGTCTTTCCTGGGATTCTGCAATTTCTACCGAACATTCATCGCTCATTACTCGGATATCGCTCGACCCCTTATCGACCTCACGAAGAAAGACCACCCTTTCGTCTGGACTGACAAATGCCAGGAATGCTTTTGACCTGCCTTAAGAACGCCTTTTTATCGCAACCAGTACTACGAAACCCGGACCCGACTCGTCAGTTCGCAATTGCTACCGATGCGTCGTTAGCAGCAACCGGAGCAGTATTACTGCAGACTGATGAAAATGGAATGTACCACCCATGCGGTTACCTATCCCAATCACTCAACCCCGCAGAACGAAACTATGAAATTTTTGACAGAGAACTGCTGGCGGTCATCCGAGCACTCTCGGAATGGCGCCACTATTTGGAAGGAAGCCCCCACACCGTGGTAGTATTCACGGATCATATGAACCTCCTATACTTCCGCTCCGCCCAAAAGCTGACACGAAGACAGGCTCGTTGGCAGCTCGTCCTTTCCAATTATCAGTTAGAATTGCATCACGTCGCAGGGACCAAATTAGCCGCCCCCTGATGCCCTTTCCAGACGCCCGGACCATTCACTCGGAAAAGACGATAACGAAAATCGTGTTCTCCTCCCTGATACCATGTTCGTGCGACTAATTGACAATGACTTGTCAGAAAGTATTGCACGCAACTCCGCCGAAGACCCCGTGTACCAGAAAGCCCTAGAAGCATTGGACGGAGTATGCCTTCCCCCAATGAAATCCGCCCTCTCCGACTGGACGTGCATCGATGGCGTCCTCTTTTATAAAAATAGAGCCTACGTACCAGCAGCCCAACGGCATGATGTGTTATTTAAACACCATGATCATCCCACGGCGGGACATCCCGGCCGGTTCAAGACGGAAGAACTCGTCAAACGAGATTTTTGGTGGCCAGCCATGGGAACTTACATCCGTAAATACGTCGACGGATGCGCTTTATGTCAGCAGATGAAGGCCGACACACACCCTGTTACTCCGCCATTGCGCCCGATCCCCTCCATCGCCACTCGCCCCTTCTCTCAAGTCTCCGTCGACCTCATCACCGACCTGCCTGTGTCGGGAGGTTTTGACTCTATCATGGTCGTGGTAGACCATGGGCTTACGAAGGGGGTAATTATTTCACCCTGTAACAAAAACATCACCTCTGAAGGAGTGGCTAAACTATTTCTCAAAAACGTATTCAAGAGATTCAGTCTCCACGAGAAAGTGATCTCAGATAGAGGACCGCAGTTCATTTCGAAGTTTTCCCGAGAACTCGCCCGACTCCTCGGATATCAAATCGCCGCATCAACTGCCTACCACCCCCAAACGGACGGACAAACGGAATGTCTTAACCAAGAACTAGAAACCTACCTACGGATCTATTGCAGGAATAACCCGTTAGAATGGTCTAATCATCTTCCTATTGCCGAATTCGTCCACAATCATCGAAAACATGATGCCAGAAACACGTCCCCGTTCTTCCTCATGATGGGCTACGAACCACGTGGGATCCCTCACATCTTATCAGTATCAGACACGCCAGCAGCAGAAGAAAGACTCAGAAACCTCCAAAAGATACGTGAAGAGGCACTTGCCTGCCATAACATCGCTATGCAACAAATGGCGGAAAGATCTCGCCATGAGAAGTACCGACCATGGAAGAGAGGAGATAAGGTATGGCTCACAGCCACCAATCTCCTGACATCGTTACCTTCTAGGAAACTTGCGCCCAAACGATACGGCCCATTCGTTATCACCGCAGTCTTATCTCCCATCACGTTTACCCTGAAACTCCCAGATCAGTGGAAAGTTCACCCCATGTTCCATGCTTCTGAACTATCGTCCTATCGCGAAACAGAGATACACGGACCGAACTACACCGAACCTCCACCTGACATTATCAATGGCGAAGAAGAATATGAAATAGAAGCTATTCTTAGCCATAAGGGCACGGGTAAACGAAGACGCTATCTCGTATCGTGGATAGGCTACTCTTCCGGAAGCAACGAATGGATACCCGAGGAGAACTTGCGGAGTTCAAAAGAACTTCTGACAACATATAAGAAGAGGCACAAGCTGAACTGAACGAACCATTCCCCTGCAAACGAAACCCAAGTAACATGACTCCCCCATTGACACCTTCCCCCACTGGATCCTCTTCATCCTCGCACTCTCTCGGAAATTCTTCGTACAAAACGAACATCCTTAATCTAGACGACGACGCCATCGTCGAGACCACTCTACTATCCCTTCCCCACGCAATTGAGCTTGAGAAACAGCTCGCTGAAGCACCCGCGTCCGCTGCCGCCCCTGTCATATCCCAGATTCACATCATACGCGCCACCGCCGCCCTTGAGCTCAGACTCAAAGAAATCGAAAACGATGCCCTCAGACTCGCATGCCAGCACCTCCAAAGACAAATACGCAGCCTTGAGATTCAGCTGCTTCCTTCTGCTTTTAGCACTATCTGCAAGTCAGTTATACGGACTGTTGAAGAACGAAACCAGACCGAAGTCGGTCGCCCACCAAGCCCTTTTACTAGCGCTCCCCCCAGCAACGTACTTGCTGCAGATACGGCTGGAGAAGAAACTCAGCCTGCTGCTCAACCAGCACCAGTCGAAGAACCACTCCCCATCCCCGAACCCACCGTCGTCTTCAAATGAAAGACCCGCAGAGGGGCTACCGTGCACGGAGTGTCGAAGACTAGAGCTTCTAAGGGAAAGAAGCGTGAAGTCATTGACCTCACCGAAACCCCCGACGTCATCACTGTAAAACAACCTCAGTTTTCCGCAGACAATTTCGTCTGCCGCGTCTGCAAGAAACTTGGGCATCGTCACAAGAATTGCCCCGAATATTACTGCCGCATCTGCCAGGCCCAGAAACCCGGCCATCTTTCCATCTATTGCCCTTACGCTGCAAAGAAAGAACTGTTCCCATTGGTTTATACCGATGACGGCTTCTACGAAGCATTAGCGGCATGGGAGGCCAGGAAGGATGAAGAACTTCTGGAAGAAATAGAGAGGGCGAACCGGGATTACGCCACCAGGTATAATGAACCAGAGTTCTGCAACGCTGACGCAGATCCCATCCACTACGACTACATGAACGAATACTGCGACAACGAAGAAAATTGAAGTCGGTGACTTCAACCGTAACAGGGGGGTAATGTTACAATAACATTTAGAGAGGCCCCTATACTCATTTTCCTTTGCTTCTTAAACGGGCCGTCCGTACCACGCTTATCTCTTATCATGCCTATCTCTTATCTTGACTCTTATCTCGCCAAGCGGGCTGTCCGCCTTTCCTTTCTGCTTCTATCTTGATAACGCATTTACAAGCTCCGCTTGAACACTGGTATATAAACCTACATACCTACAGTTGTATTCTCTACTTTAATCTACTGGGTTTTACCTGGAACATTGTCCTTCAGTAAGGTCTCCAACCTTACTGTCTAAGAACCACTATTCTAAGGGAGTCAGCGACACTCGCCTTAGCCAGAATACTTGATCTCTCAATCGAGAGCAGACTTACGTCTATCTGGCATTCCGCCGATTGTCTAATCAGACAGAGATAGCTCGACTCATCCCAGTCGTAACACCTACTTCCAATGGTGTATGAGAAGAAGTTCTTATTTTTGTGATCTTGTCAAGAGTCTGGATTAAGCTTGAGTATTGTTCCATCTGTCTAGCATGATTTGGCTGTGCTTACCACCTCGTAATGAGAATTGACTATATTAAAGAACTTGATACGAGCTTCGGAGTGCATATCACACATTGCATCATTCCATACTTTGATAACAGCATCAGGATTACCAGAGCGTTGTGCAGGTAGTCTGTCACTCAGATCCTGCTGGAGCGTCTGGAATATAGCTGTGCAAAAGGCACAACAACGAGCAGTGTACTCGGCCTGAGTACAGTCCATATTGTCCATCAATATATGTGCAGGTACTGAGTCTTGCTTAGGAAAGCCTCTATTGCCTGGTTCACGAAGGTTCATGTACAAAACTAGAACACCTTTGTGCCGGAGCTACTTTGATACCATTAGCCACCTAATACATGCATGCACAGCATAATCCTGACCTCAGTCATCAGTCTTGATTTACCTGTCCCAGAACTTTGAACAATGGAACAGAACTTTGCGTAATAATCCCTAGAAAACTTGATGTTGTTACTTCTTAGATATGCATAGAAGCCATCCACCGCCTCCCCGATGTAAGGTCCCTTGACAAATGAATCATAAAGGAGTTGGAACTTGCTCTCATCTAAAATATGTGAGATAAGACTGTGCATGACACAGCACAAAAGCCTGTCTGTATGCCAACTCCAAGTCAGCTCTGATTATGGTGGAAAAACTATTGTTTGATATTTGTAGGACCTCTGCCGCATTGCCAGTAACTTAGAGGGGGCATCTATATAACTTGAACACTCACTTGTATCGCAGATATGGGAAAAAGATCCTGTCATACAAGCATGGTGGATTATCTTGTGCAGTTGATGTTGTTCCATTGCCTCCAATGTGAGCATGCTGGCATTCAAGTTGAGCGGGTTTTTCCAATTATCATGTGTGAGCACATGGTTAGTCCTCAAAAATGTGAGGGCAAGCACTGCAGCATAATCCTGCCAGTGTGACTGTAAGGCCAAAGGCGAGTTTGAGTCTGAGTTGCAAATTGCCTGCAGTATATCAGGTTTAATTGCCTGGTGTATTGTTTGATCAAGCTTGTTGTGTTGTGTTGGTGTGAGTGGCAGGGGTTCTACAGCAATATCCAGTGACCCTGATTGCCCTGGTTGAAAGGACATCTGTCATATCCCACATTCCGGACCAACATCCGACGACATTCCCACGCCTCATCCGAACCTCCGGACCTCCTGTCCATGTCTTCAAACCCAATCCTCTATCTGTCCAGATCCCTGTACTCCTGCATCTGATATCCGGACGCCAGATCTGATATCCACATCTCCGGATCTCTGGATCTGACCTATCTGTCATGTCCAAACCCAAACCTTAAATCAGCGCCCATCCCCTTATGGTAATCACCTGTCTCTGGACTTCCGAACATCCAGATCCGACCCGCATCTATCTTCCGTGCCTTTTCCCTTTGTATGTTCCTTCTCAAGTTAGACTATACTCATTTTCTGTACCTCATTTCATCTCCGAGTTCATTTCCTATGATCTGTCTTATTTTCTAATACATTTCCACATGCTCATACATAGCCTTACCCCTCTGCTTACTGATCTGCACAAACTTGCCTCTAGTATATAAACCCCAGTAGATACTCCTGTATTTCCTCAGTCTGAATATTACACATATTAGTCCTCGCACTAGCCTTCACCCTAAGTCCTCGTAACAGTTCTAGTCCTCCGACTTGGTCATTATCCATCTCAGGCCTAGGGAGGAATTCCCTAGGCCGGAGCTCCGATCCTCTGATCCTCCGCTCATCCACTCATCCACTCATCCGATCCTCCATTCCTCCGATCCTCCAAGTTTCTGGAAGTTCCTCTGGAACTTTCCCGTGGTCCTCCGGACCTATTCTGCTTCGGACTTTGTCCTTGCAGCCTTTCCTCTGTTTGCTTCTACTCAGGACTTGTCCTGAGTAGCCATTACACATATCCCCGTCAGGACGAAACTCCATTGTAATTTCCGGAAGTTCCTCCGGAACTTTCCTGCACTCATCCGGAAGTTTCTTGCACTCGTCTGGAAAGTCCTTCCGAAGTTTCCCACGCTCCTCCAGAAGTCCTTCGGACTTCACTGGACTTTCTCCGGACTTCATTCTGAAGTTAAGGGCACATACTCAGGTAAGGGGCACAGCGCACGAGCTGAAGCCAAGCCCCTTGGAATCAGTCCTACCCTTTGTGCATGGTCTTAACAACATCATGGGGCGAGACTGTTGATGTATGTTGAAGGAAATCACTAAAAGAGCCAGTTTGGTGACGGACAAGAGTTGGACAGCACTTGAAAGTTAAAACTATCACATGTTCAACGAGCTATCACAAAATATTGACAACAATAATGTAGAATGAAACATAGCGACTTCATGAGTTCTCATAGCAATACTACACAGAAGTTGGCACATGCAAATGCCACATAGGCCAGTTAAATGGTTTCAGTGATGATTGTTATCAATAACAATAATGGCACCTACGCACTGAGTTAGACTGGTGACCTGTCTATCAATGGTTTACCTCATAGACAGGCTGGTCACCAGTCTAGTGCTGAATCCCCGACACCATTTCCGCATGATGCCAATAGATTGGTTATCAATGACCAGTCAGAGTTGAGCGTTACAATGCCTGTATATTCATCTCCAGAAGTGTATTTCTTTCCATCCAAGCTGGAAACATGCCAGAAACGGTTTGACAAAATGTATGTACCACGTAAAAATAAATACTCACAAATGTATTGCCTGTGACCTGGCTTGTGGCAGTCTTCACATAAGGTATGTTGGTCCCGATCCAGGTATTTTGTCTGTATGAAATCAACAGCGCATCAGATAAAGAAATGGTAGGAGCATGAGCAACTTACAGTACGTCAGTGGACTCCCCACATCGATGTCAGTGGTGTATGTTGTCACATCATTGATTACACTGATGGAAGAGCTGCCACCAGCTTGTCGGGCTTGGATTTGAGCACTATCTGAAGCTACAATGTTCTTGATCCCGTACAAGTTTATTCTAACAGCGAGCTTAAGAGTAGCCATGCTTGATGCTGTTCGAGGATGAGGGGAAGTGCTCACTGATAGTGAGAGGAAGGCAAGTGCCAGCAGGGCAAGAAGAGATGATAGTGATCTGGAGGGAATCATCTTCTTGATGCAGCATCCTGTATAAAAGCATCAGAATGTTATTCTGGCAATATCTGAATCACAGAAGTGGACAGAACCCTACGATAAAGCCCGAAGAAGCCTGAAGAAAGCGGATACTAGTAGAGTCGGCAGAGGTTTTAGGAGACGGGAGTACATTTGAGTTCGACAAGAGCCCTCCTCCACTAATGTGGGAGTTGGGGATAGTACAAGACAGAAGATAACACAAGTAAATTTGATCACTTCTCTGAAGGAGCCATGTCGCTTGTCCAGCTGGCTTCGACGAAGGATCCAGAAATGAATGACATGTCATTTCTAAGTCATCCTTGCTGTCCGCAAGTGCAGGGGTGATATTGATGGCTGATAGGGGTAGTCCAGCGTGGGCTCATGTTTTGGATAATGGTGCTGGCAAGATATGAGCAGTACGGTCCAGGAAAATATGGGGTTGAGGCCCAATAGTCGATGCGAAATAACTCGTTGACAATGTGTCTGGCGTTGTTGGCAGGATAATATAGGATGAGTTTGATGGAGAGAACATCAGTAAACTACAATTTTGTTCCCAGCACTCACAGTGTTAACACCAACTGTGACAGTTCTCCCCAGTGCCCCACAGCATTCCAGACCAACACAGTGTGCTACAGCGACGTCGCAATTCTCACACGCTCAATCTAGTTCAAAGCAAATTTTCAACTAAGTCCCAACTTCTACTGACTCTCACCACAAGTATACGGGTAAGTAAACCTTTTTTCTCTCTAGTAAGTATGTAAGTTGATATGCAGTCAATCAGCTCTCACACCCTCTTGCAGCATTCTCACACCCTCACAATTCGCACCTCACCCGCATGTCACTCAGCAGCTGATGACGACGATGTTGTCTAGGTATGTTCATTTATCTACACTCATTAATTGATTTTTGCATGTAATATAGCAACTACAACATGACAACGACAACGACTCGACTTGGCCATGACAACTCAATGACAACGACTCAACAACAACAACAACTCAATGATGACAATGACGACTACAATGACTTGATGACGGCTCGATGACAATGACTCAATGACACGACCAATGACTCGATGATGACTCAACAACGATGACGACAATAACGATGACTCAATGACGACAACAACAATGACTCGACGACACGACTGATGACTCAATGAATACAACTCAATGACAACACCAACAATGACTCGACAACAACAACTCAAGGATGACAACGACTTGACGACTCAAACTTGACAGCTCAACGACGACGGCTTGATGACGATGATGACGATGAATCAACGATGACAACTTGACGACGACAACTCGATGACAACACGACAACTCGATGATGATGTGGACGACTCAATGACACAACTCGACTCAAGTAGATTACTCAATGTCTAGTAGTACTTGTTCATTTTGCAATGCATTTGTTTTCATTTACTTTTACATGTGTTTGAGTTGCAAAAAAAGCGATTTCTAATGTATTCTGTATAACTAGAGGGCTACTGTGGAGCTCTGGGAAGTTCTGTACAGAGCTGTACAGAGATTTACAGAGATGGGCCTGTCTGTCCAGTGGGGACCAAGCTGTGGCTCTTGTGAACTGTACAGCTCTGTACACATCACCAAAATTACCAAATCCAGAGATGGTCATATATTACCATGTCGGAGCTACCATACCTGCCATATGTATCTGGTGCAAGGTCTCAATGTAGGGCAATGTTAGGAAACTCAATTCTGACATTGCGACTGCCATATGACATTAAGCTAGTGTACCGATATATCAGACATTGCTATGTACATCAGGCATTTGAATTCCACTCAGATTTATCAGATATTGTAATTGTGTTCAGATACAACAATGAAATGCATCAAATTACTGGTAGTACAAAGCAGTAAGGTACAATTGAGTGAACGGCTCCGAGCCTAGTTCAGAACACATTCAAACTCTCAAATGCAAAAAAAATCTTACAGTACAAATAGCTACTAGACTCTCACGACTGCGGGCACCAGCTCGAGGCACTGGTGCTGCTCATTTTGTTTTGTGTCCAGTAGGTGGAAGAGATGTCGGAGGTTCGCTCGGAGGAGAAGGTTCACGTTGAACAGGCGCCAGGGAGCTGCAAGGAGGTGCCGGCCCAGGGGAACTGCAAGGAGGCACTGGAGAGGCATTGTTCTGAGGACTGCTGGGGTTGCTCTGATAATTGATTTAGAGTAAGATGCCATCAGTCATATATTCTGCAAGCCCGTCTCAAAGGACAAAGATGTACTGCTATAATAGTGTGAGGTGAATGTCCATGACCATAACCAGTGGTTATCTTGAGAGCTCTAGCGCAAAGTCGAGTTAAAAGCAGAAATGGAAGTGATCGAACCACTGTCGATGATGCAGACATCAATCACTCTCGCATTTGCCAGGGCCAGCAGCAATAATGACAATGAGAACCTCGACTTCAGAGTGGCGTACGAACAGAACAGGCATCACAAATTTCAAAAGAACTATAACTTAACAATGGGGAAAATGTAGAGGAGTGCATCAAACACTTCGAACACTAAGCAAGATAAGACAGAGTAACATTGACTGTGCAAAGCACAAAGATGGGCAACTCACCTTTCTTTCTGTCTGAATCTGACATATGATGTCTTATAAGTGTATGTTGGATTTGCAGAAGGTAGTAATGGTCAGACAAACTTACATATAGTAGATAGTTTCGTACCTGATGTGCAGATGAGTCCGTGGAAGCTGTACAATCAATATCGATGATGCGAGTAGACGATGCTGGATCTATCCAATGTATGAAATAAGTACATAACACATGCATATATGCGCATACACTCACCTAAGTTGGCCATCCAGACAATGGAAAAACACTGTGCTGTTGGCCAGGTTGAGGTGGTCTTCAGTATGAGTGATGGTGACAATTGCAGAGACGTGTCAAGTGATTGGAATTAATGTGTTGGTATTGGTATAGAATTAGTGGGAGATCATAGCAAAGATAGCACGTCAACATAGTTGATAGGAATTTGCCGGCGGGCTTTGAACAGTCATGTGATTGTATTTTGCAATGTCGTTACGACACATGCTTCGAGTGTGCATCAATATTTGACCTTACACACCAATATCAATGTTTGGATGGGATTTTGTCATCGTTCCAGCTTCCTGACCTCCCAACATGCTTGCCACTGACAGCACTTCGACAATTCATTGCCCAAACACTGGATCAGACCACAGCTCGCCTTTGTCATATCCTGTATTCCGGACCTACATCCAACAATATTCCCATGCCTCATCCGGACCTTCGGATGCCCTATCCATGTCTCCAGTCCTCTACCCATCCGGATCCCTGCACATCCGCACATCCACATCCAGATCCCTTTACCTCCGTACATCAGACCTCCATACCTCTGCAGCTAGCCTGCATCATTCATCCTTTGTCCTATCGCCCTAATGTCATATCCTGCATTCCGGACCAACATCCGACGATGTTCCCACGCCTCATCCGGACCTCCGGACCTCCTGTCCATGTCTCCAGACCCAATCCTCTATCCGTCCGGATCCCTGTACTCCTGCATCTGATATCCACATCTCCGGATCTCTGGATCTGACCTATCTGTCATGTCCAAACCCAAACCTTAAATCAGCGCCCATCCCCTTATGGTAATCACCTGTCTCTGGACTTCCGAACATCCAGATCCGACCCGCATCTATCTTCCGTGCCTTTTCCCTTTGTATGTTCCTTCTCAAGTTAGACTATACTCATTTTCTGTACCTCATTTCATCTCCGAGTTCATTTCCTATGATCTGTCTTATTTTCTAATACATTTCCACATGCTTGTACATAGCCTTACCCCTCTGCTTACTGATCTGCACAGACTTGCCTCTAGTATATAAACCCCAGTAGATACTCCTGTATTTCCTCAGTCTGAATATTACACATATTAGTCCTCGCACTAGATCTCACTCTAAGTCCTCACATCAGTTCTAGTCTATCAACTTAGTCAATATCCATCTCGGGCCTAGGGAGAAATTCCCTAGGCCAGAGCTCCGCTTATCCGATCCTCCACTCATCCACTTATCTGATCCTCCGAAGTTTCCGGACGTTCGTCCGAAACTTTCCCGCAGTCCTCCGGACCTATTCTGCTTCGGACTTTGTCCTTGCAGCCTTTCCTCTGTTTGCTTCTACTTAGGACTTGTCCTAAGTAGCCATTACATGTATCCGTATCAGGACGAAACCTCATCGTAATTTCCGGAAGTTCCTCCAGAACTTTCCCGCACTCGTCCGGAAGTTACTTGCACTCGTCCAGAAAGTCCTTCCGAACTTTCCCGCGCTTCGGACGTCCTTCGGACATCATTCTGAAATTAAGGGCACATACTCGGGTAAGGGGCGCAGCGCACGAGCTGAAGCCAAGCCCCTCGGAATCAGTCCTACCCTTTGTGCATGGTCTTAACAGCCTTCCAACCTATCACACCTACATAGGCTGAAAAGCTGGACCTTCGCATTGCCCATATCGTACATGATTAGTTTCCCTTCTCCTTCCATTCTGGTTTCCTCTCATTGCCTATTGCACTTTTCGGTTTCAGTTTCTCTAGTATTTCACGGCTGAATGCTTCTGCTGTCGTCCAGCATGACCTGAACCATCCCATCAATGCCTTTTGTACCATGGCACGGATCACACTCATGGACTGGTTGTGCATGCTGAATGGTTGTCACTACCCCTTAGCAAGATGATCAGTCCTTTGTTCATGCCCATCAGCGCCTCCCCTGGGCATGGATTTGGGCACGACAAACCCTCCTTGATGTCAATTGCTCTATTGTGCCCACTGATCAGTCTCATTTGCTTGAGGGGCACGTCAGCATATGTTATATCCTAAACATTTCGCCATGGCTTGCTTCATCCTTCCTGAGCGCTGCCTTGCCAGCACCGACACGACATGGTTTCACGCAACTCTCTCGCTTCAGATCTTGGTCTGCACAAAATACGGCCTCACTATTCCGTGTTGAGCCTTCACATAACTTGACGGCTGAACTGTCTACTGCTGCGCCATCGCTACGGCGTCATCTCCCTTCGTTGATATCTTGGCTTGAACATCTCTGCCTCAGCACGCTACTAAATGGATCATGTGAGTCGCTGTTTTACTGTCTATTCACGCTAACCCACAAGAGCCCTACTCCGTTTTGACAGATCACAAAAATGCAGTCCACATGATACAAGAAGTACTTCTTGGTGCTCTACCCCACGTCTGGAACAATCAGCCAGTGCGTTCCTTGTACCGCTGGTTGTTTTCACTTCTACACTCTCCAACACCTGCACCATCGCTCGTCTGGACCATTGCTCATACCAATGGCCTAACGCCAGAATGTCTCACCAACAATTATGTTGATTGGATGGCTTCGTTTGCGCAATAACACTGTGGTGCCCCCGCAGCTGGATAGTACGATGATAGAACCTAAGGTGTTGTTACGATTAGTGCAGGCATGGCACATGCATAGTATTCGGTTGGCGGGACGTATTTGGGGAGAGTACAAACGATGTATAAGGTCTCTGAATGCCGTTCCTTCTGATAGGGTGGCATATGAGTCTTTGGACACTTATGCGTACCTGTTACCAACAAGTTTACGAGCTTTGCTTTAATTTTGAATGTTTGACTGGATTCGCAGGATGTTTTTGTGTCATTGGTAGTTGCAACATTGAGCCATTGAGGAACCTAGTTACCTGAGCTCATGTGAGTGTAGATAGCCAAATATAAAAATTCAAAAGTCAAAACATTTTGCTGTAGTGTACCCTCACTTTCCCCGCTGCAGCATGAACTCTCCATGAGGATGAGATTGTGGCGGACGATGGCGAGGAACTCGATGATAAAATACTTATGGAGGAAGGTTCTGGCACCCTTTAGGTACTTTACTTCAGTTTCACCCATTTTTCATTGTATTACTCTATATAATACATTGGATGTATCTGGATATGTCTGATATCTAGCTGACAGCTACTCTACTGGATGACTTGTGTCTGACAGATAGTATGTTTGATGTCATTGTATCGCTACGATATTTCAAATGTCGGATATCACAGGTATATATAATTGGCGACATCAGAAAATTCAATATGTCATGTGATGTCCGGATTCGGTAATTTTGGTGATGCAGCTCTGCACAGAACAAAGCAATTTACTGATGAAGGCAGGCTTTGGCGAAGAACATTGATTGTAGCCATACGAGAGTGCGGGCGCCAAAAGTTTAAAGTGTGCCCTCAATCACCGGAGAAGGACGAGGGCAGCGAAGATGGCAGACGAGGAGAGTTTGGTATGGTGAAGGGCGCGCGCTGCTGTATGCACTGACTTGGGAGCTAGATGTCACAAGCTAAGAGATAAGTAATTAATTTGGTTGAGTGGTGGGATACAGGGGTTTAGTGAGGATTTCAAACTCAGCGAGACGCCACAGTGCCACACCAGTAGTTCAGCGTACTCAATTACTCAAGTTTGCTCTAACGGCTAGCCATTAGTTACTAATGTCACTATCCTCGACGTCGACAATCAAGAACCAGCTCAATGCTGCTCTGGGGCAGAAGGCCCCAGCCTACTTTGAAACACTCAGCCAGTTTGTTTCTGGCAAGGTATCCAGGATAGAATTTGATGAATCCGTTCGCCAGGCGCTGGATGCTCCGAATTTAGGTAAGTGCAATTACTCTTGGTGTTTCGCAATGACACTGACATCACTCTAGTCCAGCTACACAACTCCCTTATCATCTCGTTATTCGACTTTACCGTCCACCGTCGACTACCCACACCCCCTCCTGATGTATCGAAGCCCCCGCCACGTAAACGTCACCGAACGTTGCCTTACCAAGGCCCGAATGACAACGATGATACTTTGCGATCGTCTAGACTTAAGCGATGGACTGTGTCTCTGGGGAAACGCGAACGCGACCGCATACGAACACTGCAGTCTGTTCCCACCGAACGCCCGAGACCTCGGAAAGAAACTGATGAGATAGCATGTGATAGAGGGGTGTTGTTGTTAGGCGAGCGCGGAGGTGCGCATAATGGTTCGTTACATTTCTATGACCACTGAAATTCTAGTTCGTCAAAGATCCGCCTGGCAGTCGCTTGTCATTAAATCTTGCATCGGTCTCAAGAGCTCCGACATTACAACATATCTCGGATAGAGTCAATCTCATAGCAGCACAACATAACCTTGGCGCACCATCACGAGCAGTATCGTCGCTATTGATGCTTGCATTTGAGGTCCGTTATCCTTGAAGTATTGGCATGCAATCCTCACATTTTACGCAGGCCAAACTAAAGCAACTCATAACACACGCACTTTCTCTTACTTCGACGTCGCATGCAATCGCCTCCATAACTCCATCCACACGTCACTCGCATAGCCGTGTTCTCACTGCATCGTCTTTCGATACCCTATTCACAATTTCGCCTGCTGTGCTGCCGAATAAATCAGCCGCGGCTATGCGCTTAGCCATTGGCGACAACGACATTATGGATGATGAAGATGTCATCCTACTAAAGGATCGGGAGGTCCGAGATCAGCGATGGCAGATACTTGCTCTGCTTGGCGAACGAAGCACAGTCAATGAAGCCCTTAGGAATCTCAGATGACAACCTCTGTTATTTCAATTGCTACCCGCTACTTACTACCCAGTCATCTCACTAGCACAGGACGTGCATCAAGGACTCGAAGGCCGAAGTCCTTTACGAATTACGGCAGCACAATTTACCGGATAGTGGTCTTGACCAGGGCATCATGAGTCAGATGTTGGGTGTCGAATACTCAGTCTATGATATGATTGATATCCTAATGATTTACATTTAGCCTATCATCCACAAATATAAGCTTTGTTCCCAGCCTGAGGCCTGAGCGCCATATATTTCAGCATCCACCAACATCAATTTTTATATCGTTCAAACAGCTTTAATTATTCCTTCTAGCTCATATAAAAATGAAATCTTTGGTATATATTGTCTGCGAAACATCCAGGCTCGGGGTTGTTTAGTCAGTCACGTTGGAGCTTACCAGGCGAAATCAATTTAGGCAGAGGACGCATTGCATCGAGTACTTAGATGAAGTAGAACAAAAAATATGGCCAACGTGGGGATCGAACCCAAGACCTTCGCGTACCAGGAGATTGGTATTAGCACGACGCTCTAACCAACTGAGCTAGTCGGCCATGTCGAAACGGATTAAATATGTCGTAAAATTGCGCGTGCCTCTTGCCATTAGATTCCTAACTATAACAAACACCCAGCGGCATTGACAGGATAAGCCCAAGTATGTATAAAGCAATTCACTGGCACAAGTTAATATCAAACTATGCCCGCTTCTGAAGTCTTACCACGTCGAGGACAGCGCAGTCGAAATTATGCAGGTACCCAAACAGCCCGGACAACACGATAGAAAAATACCTGAGACTAGTTTCCCTCTTACTAAAGCCAGACATCAAGCTGGACCTATCACTTCGTTGACAGACCCGACGTGTTGCTGAATGGCAAGTTTGCACACGGTCTTCATCCTGAATCGCCTCCTTTGCAGCCAAAAGAGCACGAAACGTCCAAAACCAAGCAAATTCCAGATGGTAGGTTTCTTACATTGCAATTTGCGCTATACTGTTTGTTGAGCCTTTTGTTATAGTTTTGCGCAATCGCATTATCACTTTTTTGAAAGATTTCTCAATGGAGAGTGAGACTGTGAGTTCTGATACCTAGTTCAAGATCTCTCACGATAATCTTCCTAACTAACACGTTTTGCAGTGCTTCTCTAACGTTTCAGATGAAGATTACGATTTTATCCTGAGGGCGATCGTCGAAGATGACAATCGACACTACAAGTAAGCAATAGGTATTAATTCAATAGTATCTACAGCTCTTTCCTTGCGGCAGATTATCATACACTCCATCATCACAGCAACTCGTTGTAAGCCCGCCTACCCCAATCCACGAGAGTGTTCTCGCGTCTCTGCGTACCTCCATTGATGCAGCACTTCTGTCAATCGGCATCGACGAGTCTTTTGGCAGCTTTATAACGCAGATGAACTCTACGCTTAGGGGAGTTGGGCAAAGCGGGTCCACGCAGGAACCCCTCGGCATCCCAGAGCTCTCCCAGCTCATCCCCCCTCCGACACGTCACATGACATCATGTGACTTCGTTGAATGAACACTCGCAGCGCTGAGCGTGCTGTACTTCACTGACCTCTTGCTAATACAAGTTACAACTAGGCCATACTACTGCTTTTCATCCTCATCCACGCACTTCCACCTGCCTTTCATATGGTTACCTATGTTTTGCATTATTTAACCCAACCCACGTGCGTTGTGTTCACTGTTCTGGGTGCTCTAGTAAGTTTTTCCCTAATTTTTAATGCTTTCCACCTTGTCTCTCAGGCTACTGCTCATCATTTTCTTGCCCGCTAACATCCAACATCATATGGTTCATACAGAATCATGTTACCCTCCTATGCTTAGAGCCATGTAGCACCCTTCCTACTACTAGTACTAGCTCTCAGGAGGTTAACTTCGCATTTTTTACTATATATGCATGTTAAATTAATACAATCAATCTCATTTTATGCACTGTTCATTCATGAAGTGAACCAACTACAAAAAATGATATAATACTCGAGCTCGCCGAGCGTTGACTCCACGCTGAAAAGTTGATAGTAAGTCACATGAGGTCATGTGACGTGTCGGAGGGGGGATGAGCAAGGTTCTATGTCAAACGGTGCCATATGCATGCGCGCGATATAAGTCCCGAAGTCACGTGGGAAACCACTTTCGTCTGGCCGCAGCTGGATACTCTTACCAGGGCATAGCGCCTGATGAGAGGCATCCTCATCGAGTATCCACTAACCCAATCCGTAGTACCTCCCTAGATCGGGTCGTGCCGCAGACGGACACTGTTCCCACCTGCCCTAATCTCTGGGGTCTGTGCGCCAACTCCCTTTCTACATAAAAGGCTTAGAGGTAGCGTAGCTAAACAGAAACAGAGGTAAGGCGGTTGGGGCAGCGGTAAGCCCCCTGACGAGACCCTTCGCGAGGTCGAAACCGCTACTGACCCATAACCGTCTTACTTACCCTTCCCTCCCATCTCCTAACTGCACCTTATCTTAGGAGACGGTGGTCAGCAGGGTTGGTGCATAGGGGCGGACAGCCTGGGCACCTAGGCATAGACATTATTCTATGCTACCTCGCGGAGGCCTCGTGCCTCGGCCCCCACTGCGGGCCTAGAATTCAAGAGCTGTACTCAGTACTCAATTTGAACGCAAGACAAAGTAAGAGCGACCTAGATGAAAAAGAGAAGTAATCACAGTGAGATTCAGAGCCTTGAGGCACGCTAGTTACTTCTTGAAAACGAATAATAATATTAGTGAGATAATTAAAAATGTCGTCAAGCAGAACGAAAACTTACGGAGGCTGGACCAGGCCTGGATGTCTTTCTCCGCTTGGCAGATTCTCCGGTATTGGTCCCGCCTTGCGCTTCAGAATCAAGGCCTCGTGCCATGTGGCGTAACGCGTGTAGCCAGTTTGCCTTGCAGCATTCTTTAGGTGGAAAAGTATGGTTTTCCAATTGATGGGTAATTCAGGAGGCGTCCACGCATGGGTGGCCTCGAAAGGGTCAACACTGTCACATGTAAGTGCTCAGTGTTGTATGTCATGATAAGTTTGAAAATAATACCTGTCGTTGGATTCTTGAGCGACGTTGGACTCGTCCTCTTCCATGGCACAGGCGTCCTCACGCTCGTCGTCCTCATCGTTCTCGTCCTCTTCTTCGTCCTCTTCCTTCAACACTGTGTCTAGATGTTGCAGCGTGCGGTCTCTGACCTTCAGTAGTGCGCGAGCGATTATATTTTGCACCGCTCCAAGGCCAACTTCGTCCATTTCAGGACTTAATTGCTATTATCAACTTGAGTTAATATTACACTTGAAACTGGAGGCGAAACTCACCGCGCTTGCAAAATGGGTAGGATTATCATCCACCCCGTCACTTCGCCAAAGACAGGGTTGTCGCGCTTATGAAGCCATTTGCGATAATCGGCTACCTGGTTCCCAGTCTTCTGTTCGATCTCTTTAGAAATTGTCGAGGACGCTGATGGCGGGTGATAGCGTTTGTTTTCTGAGATAGATAGTAGCGTGATAACTTGGATATCTTGATTTAGATTGGCGCCACGTTGCAGCTGCGTGAGAACGTCGAAATCAGCCTGTGAAGAAGTAATCTCTGTATTCCAGAGCTGTAAACATCCACCATCGACGTCATGGAACTCCAAGAGCAACTCTGGGATGCAGCTCACCTTGCTCATCCCCCCTCCGACACGTCACATGACCTCATGTGACTTACTATCAACTTTTCAGCGTGGAGTCAACGCTCGGCGAGCTCGAGTATTATATCATTTTTTGTAGTTGGTTCACTTCATGAATGAACAGTGCATAAAATGAGATTGATTGTATTAATTTAACATGCATATATAGTAAAAAATGCGAAGTTAACCTCCTGAGAGCTAGTACTAGTAGTAGGAAGGGTGCTACATGGCTCTAAGCATAGGAGGGTAACATGATTCTGTATGAACCATATGATGTTGGATGTTAGCGGGCAAGAAAATGATGAGCAGTAGCCTGAGAGACAAGGTGGAAAGCATTAAAAATTAGGGAAAAACTTACTAGAGCACCCAGAACAGTGAACACAACGCACGTGGGTTGGGTTAAATAATGCAAAACATAGGTAACCATATGAAAGGCAGGTGGAAGTGCGTGGATGAGGATGAAAAGCAGTAGTATGGCCTAGTTGTAACTTGTATTAGCAAGAGGTCAGTGAAGTACAGCACGCTCAGCGCTGCGAGTGTTCATTCAACGAAGTCACATGATGTCATGTGACGTGTCGGAGGGGGGATGAGCTGGGAGAGCTCTGGGATGCCGAGGGGTTCCTGCGTGGACCCGCTTTGCCCAACTCCCCTAAGCGTAGAGTTCATCTGCGTTATAAAGCTGCCAAAAGACTCGTCGATGCCGATTGACAGAAGTGCTGCATCAATGGAGGTACGCAGAGACGCGAGAACACTCTCGTGGATTGGGGTAGGCGGGCTTACAACGAGTTGCTGTGATGATGGAGTGTATGATAACTCAGCGCTGCGAGTGTTCATTCAACGAAGTCACATGATGTCATGTGACGTGTCGGAGGGGGGATGAGCTGGGAGAGCTACTGAGTACTGAGTCGATGTATTGTCTTGTTAGTGAGTTTTGGTCCGACATTACGTGTACTAGTATTGCATCCACTTTATTGCGTACAAGAGTTCCCTCCGGACGGTCTCCATTCATAATAATTAGTATACTACGTTTGCCGTTGTTTCTTCCTCCTCTCGAAAAAGCGCCTGAATGTCTCTACGACAACTTGACAGCGCAGTGTACAGTTGTCCGTGTGCGAACGAATCGGTGCGCAAGTCGGGCCTTCTGTAACGTTAGCCCTTGGCTTCGGTTGATCGTCGTAGCATAAGCCGCACGCAATGGAAACTGCTTTCGATTGACCGTCCAGCTCGAACCCGGCGGATTGAAGGTGAAATCGCAGTGTCGTAACGTCATTCGTAGCGATTGGAATATTCAGCTCCGAATTTTGTTCTCGCGATCTGATTCTTCTGATCATAAAGTTTTGGAAAAACCAGGATGGTTCATGGTGCCACTCTAAATCTCAGACCCTCGATCCGTACATATCAGTTTTCTGTCTCAGTATGGCGACTGACTCGTTTCCCCAACGCTTACCTACGCTGGATCGGCTTGGGGTCACTGATCCTTCCAATGTCTCCTCATCCGAGGTAGCCACCGAGTGGCTCAACGCTTTCTCAGCTGCAATAACTCAAAGTGATACCGCAGCTGTTGGCGACCCCTTTCTCGAGGATGGCTTCTGGAAGGACGTGATCGCACTGACGTGGGATTTCAGGACATTCGAAGGAAGGAAGGACATCAAGAAACTCTTGGATGCTCGTCTCGTTGCTACGGGTCTTAAGGAACTGCGTCTCCTACAGGAGCCCTTGAATGAACCTGTTCTGCAAAAAGTTTATCATGATTTAATTTGGTTGCGGTTTTGCTTTGGTTTTACCACCAAGTATGGCAAGGGTACTGCAGTCGTTTATCTCGTTCCCCTTCCAGATTCAAAGTGGAAGGCGTACACTCTGTTGACCTGTCTGAATTCGTTGACCAATTTCCCTCAAAAGGTGTGCAATCACATTCCTTCGAGCTTTCTGACTCTGCGGAAGCTCGGTCCCCTCAGAAACAGGGAGGCTGATAATGGCAGTTGGGAAGAGAAGCGGCGCCAAGAGACTGAGTTCTCAAACAATGACCCAACGGTGATCGTCATCGGTGCGGGGCACAGTGGCCTGGAGACCGCGGCACGCTTAAAGTACATTGGTGTATCCACGCTTGTCATCGATAAGAAGCCTCGGGTTGGGGATAGCGTTCGTCCCATAACAATTTTGGTATTCAAATATAGCTGAAGGCTTGAGGGCGGGTTCATAGTGGAGAGACCGTTACAAGGCTCTTTGTCTGCATGATACCATTTGTTCGTGCCTTTTCTTCTACGGAAAGGGAGTGACCAACAAACTTACAGGGTACAACCAAACGCCTTACCTGAAGTAAGCGGTTTGTCAGAACTCCTTTGGTTCTTTTGTAATCCGGTTTGCAGCTTTCCACCAACATGGCCAGTCTACACCCCAGCTGCAAAAGTACGTGTAGAAATCAAAGCAATAGAAGAAGGTATTTTGAATTAGGCGGATATTGTTATTTGATGACGTTTCGAAGATCTGCTTATGATCAGGGCTGGAAGACCTGTACAATGTGCGAGTACTTATTGTGTGAATTAAAAATTGTATGTACAATGAATTCAAGGGAATTTTCACTAGAGCCCCTCATACAATGGTGACGGTAGTGCTTGACGGGCTGAACACAATTGATACCGAGCCGACAGCTATTCGTGTTTAAATATGTCAGATATCCAGTTGTGTCCAAGTACAACACTTGTTTTGACGTAGCATAAGTCTAGCAGCATATATGATAAACGTTAAACCTCAGTCGATTGATCGCCGTAGATAATGCATCTGTGCAATACATAAACCGGCTATAGGGACATCTCCAGATCATCCTCAAGTTTTCTTCTCTTCCTACTCCTTTCACGATCAATGGTCTCCAGCTTCTCTTCCCAACACGCAATGGACCGTTGTCTTTTGAGCTCTCGTCTTTGTTCCTCGACAGTTTTGTCTCCCACCTTCCCCCACAACTTTCTGCCCCACTCATCCAGGTCCTTATACTTCTCGGCATTATGAGCCTCTAGCCCAACCGTCTCGAGAGCTATAGTCCGCAGGCCTCGGAGGGTGAGGCACTCCATGTAGGACCTCTCAGACGGACGGAAGGGTTTCGTGATGCGTGGAAAACGGAGCTCGTAGTACTAGATTATCTGTAAATGTGAACTGCAACTACAAGGTGTGGACAAAACGTACCTTACTCTGTGGCGCCTTGGTGAACCCCGCGCCACATAACTCTACCAGAATCGGGTTTCGAACGAACACAGATGGCCTTGGCAGCGTTTGGGACATAGTGTACGTGTAGCACAATTCACCAATAGACGGCTGGGTGTTCAGTATTCATTATAATCCTAAGCCCTAGCACAAACAGATCACCTTGGGCCCATCAACCGCATCTGCGCGTATCCAGAAATTGAATTCCTCAAGCTGCTCACGAGATAAACCATATGAGGCAGTGAAGTATGCAACAAAGTGAGGTTTGCAACCAGGCTAAGAGAGGCATATTAAACCGCATGACAATGATGATTTCTGCACTTACATCGATGTTAATTTGTGACGAGTTGCTTAGGACGGCAATGTAGAATGTAGTTAGAGTTGATGGCGACACTAAACAACCGTGGTTCATCTTCACAACTTCAAGGTCCCGTAGAGAAGACACACCTCTCAGCTCTCTAGCTCTGTCTTTCTCCCAAGCAGCAGCAATTACGACAAGGTCTATAGTATCACCATATCCAGGGACATAATCCTTTTTCAGCTATACGCATGTGTTTCAGAAAACCTTGAGATGTCATACATAGGTCGATGAATTGTTGGCCTACCTTGACCCAAGGGAGTTTCCAATCTCCATAGGTGCTATCTGAAGCTTTGAGTACCAGCCCTTCCTCATGTTCTGTGATACATTTGGCCCATGTTTCCCTCAGTCTCTTTTGTCCTTCAGCCTCTTGTACTTGCCCGTCTATGATAACTGTCCGCTCGGCCAACATAGAACGCCCTGGAACTGGGGTGATGATACTTTCAAGTAGTGACCGGCGCATATAATATGGAGCATTCAACATGGAAGCTGCGCCCACCTGCAAGACATCAAAGAAAACGAGTGCGAGATGCAAGGTGGATGCCGTTGTTGAATTCGAATGAAGTGAAGGGCAAGAGTCTCTGTGGCTGTGGGGTGAATTGAGAGTCACGAGCACAAAAGAAATACATGCTGTGTGTGCGAATTATGCTGGGTCTCACTCCTTCGATATCCGCCTGCCCGGGCACCCTCGGCAGTGCGCGATATTAAGCCACGTATGTGCCAAAACTCTGGAATAAATCCAGGTTATGTAGATGCCACAGTATGTGGAAAGTAGAATTACCTTCTATTCTATGCCGTTCGTCAGAATACGCAACCATCTCCGCATCAAGTATGATGTCTCCCATGCTATAGCCGGCAAGAGCCTGTATGATGATACTTTCCAAGACGTGCTCAGAGCATGAAGTGGGAGTATTGCGAGATGAAAAAAAAAACATACGGGTGTACTGCAATGCGGTCCAGCGTAGAGTCCCTCTTGCTCTTACTGAAAATCGTGATTTGTGGATCACTTTGGCCGCCAAATCTTACATGAATTTGTGCACGCTCGCCATCATACTTGGTTTCCGCCCAGATAGCGTCACTTGGCTCGAGAACATTGAGTGCATGCATCGGGCTCCGGCCCTTGGCAGATTTCGGTATCTTCAGATGATTTGAATTAGTTGGCGAGTCACCACATACTTCAAAGAGCGCACCTCAACCGGGATACCCCAGCGCGGCCTTGGGTGGGAAATCGCACCTCCAGCTTCAAAGCATAGGGCAGCTTCAGTTATGTTAGCACGCTTTTTGTACATCTTCAACATGGAGCCACTTGGGTCCCAAGTCTTCATGAACTGCTCCTTTGTCAACACCGACTTGCTATTAGTGTTGTAGTTAAGAAGAGCGCGACTGGTGGATGTAACAGGGGGAGCGTATAGGATGGGTCTTAGATCTTTCAGAATGATCTGCGTGAGATATGCAGCATCGAGGGCAGGAAGAGATTCAAATAAAGACCGCAAAATAGCAGATTTAGACCGAGGTGGCGAGAGTGAATGGACCGTATGGAGAGTCTTGTCAGAAAACGCGGAGGTAGATGCCAGCTCGTCCAACAATACGTTGATATCCTGGAGACTCTTTGGCCCAATGAATGGCTACGTTTTGGTTAACTGAAGCTTTCAAACCAAATATTCAGTGAGATACCTCGGCATTTGATGATCGTAAAGCAAAAATTTCCTGGCCGAGGCATCCTGAGTTCTGCTGCTTACTCCACTGTTTCAAACGGGCAGTAGAGATAGGCGGAAAGGTAGAAGTATCTAGGCAGTCTGGCAGGAGCTGTGAAAGCATTGCTTCTTGTAGGTCATACTTCCTGTGTGAGTCCTCTTCAGGAAATAGAAGACGGAGAACGTGTGTAGTAGTATCCCGAGGTAAGGGTGAATAGTTATTCTGAAGGTTTTCGACCCATTTTGCAAGAATTTCGGAGGGAGAACGGCAAGAAGGCGTCTTTTTGTTGACCCGTGACGATGTAATATGTACTGGAACATTGGCAATTTGGTGCAGCAAAGAAACAAAGCTGAAGTCAGGGGTTTTAAGTTTGACCGACTCAAATGATAACAACTTTTGAACGCACAAGGAAAACGGAATTTGCTTTGCTTGCTCGTTAGCCATCCTGCTCAAACATGTTTAGTCGAACCAAGGTCATGTTCAGAAAATCATGGTGTACATCACCCGGGAGATTCGACGACTGAGAAAGTAGAGTGAGAATCAAACACGTCGCGTAAACGTGAACGCGTGCTAACACGCTACAAATAATCGCAAATAGCCAAGAATATATGATACATTGGACATTTCAGATCGCTAGCTATTTCGAAGCAGGGTATCTACGAAAAAATCAACGAGCTGGCGGACCAAACATATGAGACGGGTATAGATGAAAACAAATGACCACGATCGAGACAGGTAAATAGAGTACAAGCCTTGATCTCGAACGCAGGGTAAAGTAACAAGGGTAAGGTCGTCAACTGTGTCTGGCCGTGTGCATTGGTGAATGTATAGGGGACGATGGTGCATCAACTGGTAATCGGGCCGACGCGGGAAGGCCTATCATACGACTGTGTCTGTTGCCTTTCTTGCCAACCGCAATGTTTAGGCCACGACTGGCGGCAAGATTAGATGCTCGTGACCGCTGCTCCAACGAAGATCCTTCAGATCGGAGGAGCGAGACATGATCGACACTTTGTTGTGAGTCTTGTGGGTGGTGGTGACTTGAAGATAGGTGAGCACTTGATTGAGTTAAGTTCGACTCAATGGTTGCATCCTCGGTGGTATCATTTCCACTTTCATAATGAAGGGAAATGCTGTCACCGTCTTCAGAGGGTGTTTCGTCGGAAGGAGCTAAACATAATTGTAAGGAGTGGGAGATGAACTTGGACAAATACATACCATTCAAGGTCCTTCCAGACAAGCCCAACAACTGATCAGCAGCAGCATCCGTATACTGTCGACTATTCCTGCGACTCAGCTCCTCAACGTTGTCCTCATCACCCTGTTCAGAGTCAACATTGAACACGCGGTTGAACTCGCCTAGCATCAGACTAAACACGCCCGCAGGGATCCCAAGAGTAGGGCTGAAGACAATGCCGACGTTGCGCATCGTCATTTTGTTCGCCGACGAGTTTTGAACTATGAGTATGAGATGGGCTGTGAGAGCACGCAATAGGCTATAGTTGGCGATCGGCAAGGAGGCGATGAGGTCAGATAGCTCTCGAATGCGTTCCTGAGCGTCGACGAAGTCTGCTACAGATGTCAGCATAGGCAGGCCAACAAATTATAAGGACACTCACCGATCACTGCTAGGAATTTCAGATGCAACTCGCGTGTCAGTATACTGGCGGGCAACTCCCGCAAAAAACTCTTCAAGAGCCCAGCGATGGCGTGAGGATCCCAATATTCATCTGATGCAACAAGATCTACGTCCCCCTCTGCGAATAAGAAGTCAGACATTCATTCAGAACTCAGAGTGTCATATAACTGACCAGCATTGAAGCGATCTTTGAGCCCTTTGATAACAGCTGAGCTCCCGCTGAGACGGTATATGCCCTCTTCTTGCTCTGCCTTCTTTGCCTCCAGATACTGGATACACCTGAAAACTACTGCAGGCAGACGAGCAATCTCTGCGACCTCAATGGACTCTTCGAGTGGCACACCAAAGACAGCTCTGGGGATATGAACTATCGCCTTGTCCACAGGCCGTCCAAAGTTCCAGAAGGACCGTGACTTCGCCTTCTCTCGTCTGTCATTCGAAGATGCGGAACTCTCGGAAAGAGGGTCCTTGCCGCCAAACTTGTATCCTGCTGGTATGGGTGCTCCGTTCATTGGAGCAGATATCTTTGCGCGATCACCTTTTAGAGGTGTAGCGCTAGGTTCGGGTGATGGTGCACGATCACCAAAGTTTGCTGCGGTAGGACTAACTATAGCAGATAATCCTGGGTGGACTGACTTCCTATCACGTCGCTGCTCCCTTGACTTGTTCTCCGGTGAAAATGGTTCCAGCTTAGGGTGGGAACCACGCTGTAGATCCGAATAGTGCCCAAGCTCAGAGTTCGCTCTCAAATACAACAGATTTCCACTACTTCCCTCTAGCGGCGAGGAAGTGGGCAACGAGTTTGAAAGCTGCTCTGTGCTCCCAGAAGACAGCCCTCGCTCCAAAATCCGCCGAGCAGTCTCCTCTGCAGTGTAATGGTCTCGCTCGTGGTGAGCTGAAGGATCAAGTTCTTTGGTGGGACTGGCCGAGTGTGGGCGCGAATCCTGGTTGACCACAGGAACTGGTGCAGAGTGGAAGAGCTTCGCGTTGGTACCGTCTTGAACAAGCTGGCTGATGGGGACTGCGGCACCGCGCAAGATATCATCCTTAGACATTGTCCGCATGGCACGCTTTCCGTTAGGCGTAGACACTGAACCATCTTGAGTGGAACTCGTGCTCGATCTTGGCTGCGCGGATCCAAGTCCTTGCCCAGGAGGAACATTGACATTGATGGATATCGGACTCGGGGAAGCGGAAATGGATGTGGCAGGATCTTCGTTGAACGTTCCAGATACATATCGCACAAGAATGTCAACCCAGCTGTCACGCTCCACGTCGCTTTCTGCACAGAGGACATGGCGCGAGTGAGATCCATTTGGAGCTTTCTTTGCCTCGATGATGAGGAAAGCATGACGGTAATTTCTTTCGTCATCATTGTCAGCTGTGCGTTGTTGTCGCCCGATCTGCGCAGAGGTAATCACGATCGAGCCAAGATGGGCGCCTCCACGCTAAGGGAGACAATAAGACGACTGCGGATGATGACAAACGGAGGTTGCTTACGCTTTCATAATACTCTAATACCGGTCCCTGGAGGACAAAGTATCGTGACTTCCACCCACCAAAGTTCTTCCCCCGCTTCGTCAGGTATCCTTCCTTGTGTCCAGCCTGCATGACGGGCTTATGGGTCTCTCGAACAATGTCGGAAGTGAAGAAGGCAATAATTTCATCCTTATTTTTCACAGGTAGATCGACCAATGATTGGAGGTACACCTCGAGTGCGACCTGGGCATCGATCGTGTATAGATATGACTATCACTTATGAGCATATTATACTCACCTTGCGTTGATCGGACTTCGCAGGTGCGTGGTCCCTCCAAATCTTTCCCTCTGGTAATATCGCCATCTTCTTCCCGATACCCTTCCCAACGCTAGCTCGCATGCGATTATCGAGGGTCAGTACATCCGAGTACAGCTTCTCCACTTTCCATGGCTCTTTACCATGTCCCGGGTGTACATCGACGACGAATGATAAAACCTCCTTCCCACGGTCATTTGGTTTTACAGACGAGTGCGAGACAGCGACCCGCGTCGTCACGAGGTCGTCTGGTAACAGAGGAAGCGCACGGAACGTTGCGCTGGTACCGGATGAAGTCGGATTTATCGGCGACAAGTAGGAAGTAGGTAGAGGAGATTCAGGGATAAGAACAGAAGCATTGTCGGATTGTAGCAGCTCCCGCTGCGGCCAGTGCGCTCGTGAAGGCGTGCTCGCCGCTGCAGATGGCTGTGGGTTTGACTGTGTCGGCGTGAGCATTAATGCAGGATCCAAGGGTTGCACATGAGATGAAGGAATGTGAATAGCGCCGTGCGAGGGAGGCATTGGAAAATCTTCTACTGCTGCATGAGGCTTGTTCTTCGAATTTGAGTGCTTTGCTATCGTCTCATCTTCACGTTCATCATCATCCATATCTAGGAACTCTCCCACCTCATCCCTTTGCTCCTTTGTCAGCATGATCGTGGGAGATTCCATCCGGGGCGCAAGAGACTCCTGTCCAGCATGACACTGCATATCATCGCTAAACCCAGCCATATGCTGGCACATAGATGGACTTGGCAATGGACTCTCACCCATGTTGGTAATATAAAGCTTCGCCTCATCTGGGAGTGAAACAGAAGATATTCGGGACGCCTGTGATGGGTGCTGTGAGTTATCAACCGTTGGGCTGAGCATGCCTGTCTGAGATGCAGTGCTTGAGATATTGGTGGGAGATATGGCTGAGCCGTTGGGAGACACAGCTGAACCATGAATGGTGATGAGAGTATTGATGGATGATGTAGGGGGCTGGAGTGTAGCGGTAAGAGGATGGGCTGGTCGAAGGGAGGCAGGTGGTGGCAGGTGAACAGACTGGAGAGATGGTGGTGGTGCAGGGGGTTGCTGCGAGGGAGGTCGTGAGTCGGTTGTACGCGGTACTGGAGGCCTATCTAGGTCAATACTTGATTGTGAAGTTGAGCCTGGCGAGGTGGCCCCACTAGAGGAAGTAGCAGCAGATGCGGCAGCAAGTGATAGTGAGATACCTCGAGGAGGTACAACCAAAGGAGAGTTGAATGGACGCGTAGACATTGTGGTTTGAGGCGTTTGAGGTATTTGGAGATCAGAATCACGAGTATTAGTTTCTGGGAGGCAAGGTGGAGTAACGGGGCGGTCGTCGTTACGAGACGGTGATGCTGGGAAGGCAGTATTCAGAAATGTGACCAGCACGAAATGAAATAATAACTCACATGTGGCATCCAATTGGTTGCGAACCATCCTTGATCGCAAGTCAGTGGACCCATTGACAGACATACTCGACATCGTAGCATTGGATCCTGACGACCTCAAACTCCTGGCTTTGTCCTTCTCGCGATCCTTTTCCTTCTTTGCCAGCTCAGTGCCCATTCCTGCTGCTTGTAAGCGAGTCTTGTAGGTATCTCGTTCGCTACGGACACGTTCAATTTCCTTGAGCACCTGGTTGTATGCGGCACGTTGCTTCTCAATAAGTTTCCAAAGCTGTGTATTTTGAGTTGAGAGAACGTTGCGTTCTGATAGAACTTGATCCAATGCAGCGAGTATTGGATTTGGTGCGCTGGCATGCGTGGCAAGGAGTGTTTCGAGAGTAATAGGGTATGTGGTGGTGTTGGCAGTTTGACCCAATGTAGAGGCCGTGACTGAAGCAGCGGAAGAGGATGCCTGAGGTTTCATTGTCATTGGAGATGATGCTGACTGTGAAGTCGAGCTTCGTTCGCGGGAGGGCGTGGCAGTAGCAACTGGAGTAGACATCGTAGCAAGTTGTAGCAGGTCAAGCTTTCGTGATATTGCACAACAACAAAAACTTTGAACAAAACTAGGGAGCCAAGCGAAGCCTGAGATGATATTATGGCAAGTGAGCCCCAGTCGCCGTACAAGCGCTGTGCACGATTCAACGATCCGTCCTAATAATTCAAAGTGTGAAATTGAGTTATGGCGGCCTATGATTATCACATTCATATACATACCAGTTCAAAGTCTGGTTGTAAAGACGACAATAAGATCTTCTTTTTTTTTCGCAAGTCCGTGTTCTGGACCGTCGCTCACGGTGTTAGATGTCAAGCTCGCGACTGTAGGAAATTTGAAGGAAGTCACGTCGAAGGCTCGAAGCTCAAATTTAGTGGCTGTCCAGCAACCACACAGTGACATGGACACACAATCAATATTAATGAATTATTGAGTCAGATCTGTCAGACTAATTAGTACCAATTCGTGTTGTTGACCAGCTCCAGCCCGAAATCCCCGGACTCCATTCACCAAAAACACAGAACTATCCAAGGATAATCATGATCTACAATGCTGTTTATGCGCAATCTCAACATTCCAGCAGGCACCGGCCAGGAATTTCAATGTTGTAGACGATTGCACGTTTCTACTAGTACTATGATCTGCACCGTGAAAACTTAGTGGTCATCATGATGATACATACCCCGGCGCGCGCGTGAACCCTTCCTTGATCGGTGCTGGCACCTTTATAACACTATCCGATTCGCCGGATCATCTATCCCTGCCGTCCAGGAGCTCCATAGCTTAACATCGTGCAGTGTAGAACATGCAAACATCCAGAGTCGACGGCGGCCATAGAGAGGCCTGCCAGTGGAGTTTCATTGTATTTATGCAAGTATGTATGTACTTCATTGATGGATCAACGTTGATTTTGTGGGCGAGTCCAGGCTAATAATATTCATCATCCTTATTGCATATTCTGTTGTCAGTAAACTGTAAAGCTCACATCAAAATTTCGAGGCACCAATTGGAGCAGAAATGGGCAAGTCAATGTTTCATTGACCACGTGCACCACATCGTGACTTATGGAATGAACCGGCGGAGATCTCCCGGGCAGTCGCATGTTCGCAACCATCAAAAGTGTAACAATCGCATGCAAGTATGTTTTCATACTTGCCATGGATTGCCCGTTGCTTACCGTGAGCATACTATGCCGTGGAACTGATGTTTGCTTCGTGCCTGATAAGTGACATTACGGATAGTGTTATAAAACCTCTGTCCGCAAAGTTCCTACATCTAGGGTGTGTTCCCCGATCAAACCATTTCGCTAAAAATGTAGATGTGAGCATCAGATGTCATTTTAAAATACACAGCCTAGGGTTGCCACATGATGCATGATTCCGCGGCTGTAAAACGGGCTATGCAGCTCAAATGCAGCTTGCGTCGTCTTTGCAAACCATCAGCATGGCAGGAAACGAAGTGTGGCGCACATTCTCGTTTGAGACGTGCGTTCAATTCATTAGTACGTGACCTTTGGAAAGCGCGCGCTATGATACTACTGAGTCGGGGTATGCGCTGGTCGCCTCAAAAGCGCCTCCTACCTCATACATGATACACCCTAGCTACCGGCTCATTAAAACTAGTAGAACCTGTCAAATACGCCGTGCGCCAGCGTGATAGTGAGTACCTTCACTCACCAAGTTGCCGCCAGGATTCGATCTTTTTCTAGGGGAGTAGTGCTGGATGCTTGATAGAAGACGTCGTTTCAGCCCGTCGCAGTGTGACGGCAAACCCCCCCCCCCCCACACACACACCGGGCGCCACCTAGTGTTGCGGAGGTAAAGAAGGCTGGTAGAAGAAGTTCAAAATCTCCCACTGAGTTGTAGGGCTCTCGGTTGTACGGACTGGGTGAGTTTCTGAAGATACGGAAGACGCCCTCTGGTATATGCGAGTGGCACAGTGGTAGAGAGGAGAAGGAAAGGAGGGAGTGTCTCTTAAATAGCACACGCACGTATATCTTATTTATTTATTGAGGGGGAAAGAGTGGTAAGGATGACAGTGACGGGCGGGTCCTCTGGGAGTCTGCGCTTGCCTTTCCGAGCTGGTTTGTTGATCGAGGGGTTGGGAAGGCTGGGTAGTGCATCTGTTCCTTTTGTCTGAGAATCCCAAAGCGTCTTAGCGGAATTGATGGTCCTGGAGGAACGGAAGATGGGCTAGAGTAGGGTATAGAGCCAGCAGCGGTGTGCGATGAGGGTTGCTGCGATCGAGCTGAGCCAAATGAGTTATTGACGCTTTGTCTACGGTGATAGTCTTGATATGAAGAGCTTACTCAATACCCAGCTGCGTGAAAGGAGATGCTAGATAACACTCGGGGAGATATAGGAGGCGCCCGGAACATAGGGTGAGCTGGCGGGGTCTATAACTATTCGGAGTTGAAACAGGTAGGGGGCCCTGCGCGCTGGTAACGGGGCCGGCATAAAAGCATATTAAGAATGTAGCATGAGGAAAGGGAGAGAGGAAATGGAGACGAACAGACAGGAAAAGATGGTTACGAGGAGCGTGGAGACTCGGAGAACACGGTTTATAAGTTATATCAGTATGGAGTGTGACACATTGCAATGAATCGAGCTTCATTAAGTTAGACATTGCTCCCCTCGTTGTTGATGACGGCGTACCTTTGTCACATGGTGGGTCAGTAAGTTATGGCAGATCATTGGACCACGGAGTCGCTCCTCCTTATCGAGAACCGCCTAGACTGCACTATTAGAATTGAAATCAAGCTGGTTCCTGTGTAAGAGACGGCCGAGTTCACGCAGATTAAACGTACCTTGGTGCCTTCCGGCGTTATTATATAACCCATCCTCTGAGAACGAAGGTCAGGCCCACCGTGACGGCGTACGAATACACACTTGCCAATGTATTTCTGCTCGAAAGGCACGTGCGATCGATAAGTACTCAGAGTCTGCAAATTCGTTTAACTTGAAGCAGCAGAAAATGTGTTGTTTTCTATGAGACCTGTAAAACCGTAGACAAGCCCAGCCTGAGACTGATACTCTGCCAGGTCTGAACAGCACTATTCTCCCCTAGGCGGCCAAATGGAAGGAAGACAGTCGAACGAACCTAATTTTAGAACAGCATTGATCCGTGAATACAGCACCTTCCTTTCTAGGATAAGCAGCGGATAATACCAAAAGATGAACCTTGAACCTTTCCAAGTTTGACTCAATTGACCTTTAGTTTTTCTTTCGCTGGCAGGTTCAGCTGAGCTGAATCATAACAGCACAGAACGACAGGCATACGTAGACCGTTTAGTCCTCAGCTCTTTTCCTCTATTCATCATGATCTCTTCAACAATCCGCATTGCATTTCGTGCGCGACCGCCGCACTTTCTTCGGCTTGTTCCAGTGGGCAGGAACAGAAAGATATCCCACTCGATAGCCTCACAGTATCCTACAAACACTTTAACATCGAGTCGGGCAAGAGATGACACTGCTCTCGTAGAAACGGAAAAAGTAAAACCAGGTCATGCTGTCATTTCCACATTCGATTTGTTCAGCATCGGTGGTGAGTCCTTGTATCATTGAGTTTTGAGTGCGTGAACATGAGGCTGAATGGATAATTGGCTTGTTCAGTGGGCCCAAGTAGCTCTCACACAGTTGGGCCCATGCGCGCTGGCAAGATTTTTATTGCTGACCTGCAGGAGTTGCAAGTGTTGGAGAAGGTACGTGCTTCCGCTCTCCACCTCAAATACGTTTGAATGAACTTGTTTTGGAAGGTCAAAACTGTGAAAATAGTCCTGTGAGTGCAAGAGCGTGATTCTTTCTGCATCAAGCTGATAGTAGAGGTCTGCATGATAGCTATGGATCGCTGGCTGCTACGGGTAAATATCTGGATTTCCGAGTTCTGTTCGCTAATCGACAGCTCTCTTCACATAGGAAAAGGGTGAATATATTATTCCACCCCTCCATGATGTCAATTTCTCGCTGTTTACCATTGGAATCCTATTTCTGCAGGCATCACACTCCGCAAGCGGTCCTCCTCGGGCTTGAAGGTTCAGACCCTGAAACCATCGACACGGGAACAATCTCTTCCCGTTACGAAGCTATACTTGCAAATAGAACTCTTCATCTTGGAGGTATTCGCCGCATTACCTTTGATATGGACCGTGATATGCTATGGCGGTGGGATCAAGTACTGAAGACACACCCGAATGGCATGCGTTTCTCGTGCTTTGGCGAAGAAGGCGAACTCTTGGCAACTAACGAATACTACAGGTATGTATAATAACCTTGAGATTTGATGAAGAAGTTGAATAAATCATTAGCGTTGGAGGAGGATTTGTAGTAAATGAGAAGACAAAGAGTATATCTCCCAATATCAATTTTGGATATGGGTCAGCGGCTAACTAATACAACAGTAGACGAGAATTTATTTTACAAAGGTGTCGACAAGAGCGCGGTGCATGGAGCAAGGTTGCATCAGACCCACAACGCCATCGAAGGTGATCAGACCCCAGCTCAACCGGCAGCGAACGATCCTGGGCATCCGCCGTATCCGTTTGAGTCTGGAAACAGTCTCCTAGCACTCACAAGAAAACACAACGTACGTTTCACTCCTTCATGGAGGTGTCTGATTGTCATTGGTCAAATAGCTCACTATCGCACAAATCGTGCATGATAATGAACGCTATTTTGGTCTATCCGAGGCTGATATCAACGACAAGGTATTCTTCTGCTTTTCCATATTAGCTTCAAATATGGTTAATTGCATGTAGCTCATGCGGATATGGGCGGTGATGGACGATTGCATCCGATCAGGGGTGAGCACTGCTGAGAAGACTCTCCCCGGTCGTCTGGGTCTCCGACGCCGTGCCCCGATGCTGTACAAACGCTTGATGCGAGGGTCAGTTATAGTTCGCCGATTACTTACCAATAAACATGATCCTTAACCAGTTGGTGAAACAGGTTCTATCCTGGGATTGCAACACCTGATTTGCAACTCATCGGCTCCGCATCTACCCCTCCTGTCGCGGCAATAGATGCACCAGAATCAGATATACAATCTTCGCCTTATGCAGACGGAAGTGACGGACGTGGTGGAGTACGTGCATCAGGAAAAAATACGCATGCCCCATGGGTTACAGGCTCGTTCGACCATGCAATTCTGCCAATGCCTCCGGTAATAATTCACTTTCACCAATCTGCAGGATCTTAACATTGCTTACAGCGTAAGACAATGATACCCGCTGTCGACTTCCTTTCTTGTTATGCAATTGCTGTAAACGAAGTCAATGCCAGTGGGGGGCGCATCGTCACCTCACCAACGAACGGTGCGGCGGGTGTCATCCCTGCTGTGCTGAAATATGTCATCGAATTCATCAGCGATGACCCCGAGAAATCGATCAAGACCTTCTTACTGACCGCAGCGGTATGCGATGCAGATCAAATTCAAGCGAAAATCAGATACTTAACCAAAGTTTACAGGCAGTGGGCATGCTATTCAAGAGGGGCAGCACAATTTCAGCTGCGGAAGGAGGGTGTCAGGCGGAAGTTGGTGGTGCGCTGATTCAAATTGTTACAGAAAATGATGGTGTTCATGCCACTATCATCAGTTGCGTGTTCTATGGCCAGTGCTGGTTTTGCTGCCTGCATGGGTGCGTCGCCCGAAACTGTCCTTCAGGTCCGTGTTTCTGTTTTGTTCCATGTCAGCTTCTATTGAGTATTTTTCAGGCTGCAGAAATTGGCATTGGTAAGATCATCTTATTTTCTAATTTTATGCCTTTTGTTTATGGTCCGCAGAACATAATCTGGGATTAACTTGTGACCCCATCGACGGGCTGGTCCAAGTGCCTTGTATCGTAAGTGATTGTGAGAGTATCATGAAGCTCACCTGCTCATCTACCCCTGCAGGAACGAAATAGCCTGGGCGGTACGTCCGCGTTTCTCCATTTGATGATGCTATTTATTGATGTGGGACTCGCAATGTAGCTGTGAAGGCTGTGACCGCGGCTCAGCTTTCCATGGCTAGCACTGGTGTATACCGTGTAACCTTGGACGAGGCAATTGAGGCGATGCGCCTCACCGCGGCTGATATGAGCGTCAAATATAAAGAAACTAGTCTATCCGTACGTTACTGATTCATTTTCAACATCTTTTTCTCGCTCAATGCCGAATTTAGGGACTTGCTGTAAGCTCGCTTGAGTCTCAGACGATTCACGACCATGACATCTTTTTGTAGACAACCGTGAAAATTCCGCTGACTGTGCCTGCATGCTAAGTAATCCGCTTAACCAACCACAATGACTGGATTTCATTCTTTGTTGAATATACCTGCTTTCTAGAATATAGATGGTCTGCTTCTGATTCTGATCAATAGATGACTCAGTAATTTTTATCTGTACCTTGAATAATTGACATTGGTTTTTTTGCATATAATCTATGGAAAGTGTCAGATCGGTTTAGGAATGTTATGTAAGTAAGGATTAGGTCTGAGATCTGAATGATCGCAACTCCCAGACGCTCGAATTAATTTCGTTCACATCGAGTTAACTTGGGTCTGCTCATGCTTTTGCCTGCATCAACTAGGCGCGACATCACTAGATCTGGACCACTGCAAATCCTGCACTCTCAGCCTCCTGATGCAACCCAAGCTGCAGCTTGGGTAGTAGGCTCCCATCATCTGGGATTGTCATCATCCTGTTACCACCACCTGCAGCAACTGGAATACGAGGCTGTGTCCCGTCACTCTCGTCAGTCCGAGTCGAAGACAAACGGACAGAGACAAACCTCATACACCATCTTCACGAGCTCTGGGTGCTCTGAGCCTGCGTTTTTCATTTTCCACGAAGGTTATCGTTGAATCCCAGTTTTTGAATTTCATCTCGTGCTAGTCACTTCGTCATCCTCGTAACGACTCAACGAGTCCGCAGCTCCATCGACGCAGTCCAGTTCCACCCTCTGGGCGTCCGAGTCTTTGAACCAGGTAGCATATGGCTCATGTGCATCTCTTAATGCTAAGTGAGAGTGATATTATCAATACGAGAGTCACGCAGTATTAAGCTTCAAGTGTTGTCTCACTGCGTCAAGCCTCGACCTCACCCTGTCAAGTCCGATCCACTCTCTATACTCCGAGTCTGCACCACCACGTCAAGCCCCAACCATGGCATGTCAGAAGCCTCGTTTAGGCTGGGTCAAGCACCACTCACACCACGACAGGTTCTCCCAAACATCTTCGCAGTCTCTGTACTAATATCAACATCCACACTCTGCGGCGTCCAGGCTTACTATCAGTGCCGCGTCAACCATAGCACATACCGCGTCAGACCTCGTCCATCCTCACTACCTCAACTGTCACACTGTCCGTATCACTTAGGTATATTTTAACGATAACATGCTGTTGAAGATGGCTGATCTCATGATAAGCTATCCCACCAACAGCTCCGTGGCTGACGTCGACCTCGAGTGTCTGACCGCACTAGAAGCAAGGATGTTCGAGGATTCCGAAGAAGCAGGACCTGCAGGCAACCAGCAGTGGGGTTTGGATGCTGGCCAACATCACAGGCGATGGAATGTGTATCTCGACATTCCTGATGAATGGGTTCCTGGAAGAGGTTATAGCGAGAGTGAACTTGAAGTAAGGAAGACATTACCTGCTCCGTTCGATAGATATCTAACTTATGTGATTGACAGCACGCCTTATTCAGTGATAACTCTGATGCTGCATCTTTGGAGTCTGCAGACGAGTTATCCGAAGCTGTAGTTCCTTCGCTGCCGGCTGAAAAATGTCCGCCCGTTAAACGTCGATGTGTTCCACAGGCTCGAAGGGTCCGGAGAGGGAGGAAAAGAAAATAGGCATTGGCTTATGTACCTAGTTGCACATGTCCCTACGGCAAATAACATAACAAAGGAATGGTCGTAAACTCATCCAACTTGATCTGGAAGTAGAATGTGGAACATATAGGAATGGCGCGTCAGTGGCCGCGTCAAGGCTCGTTAGTGCCGCGTCACATGCGCGTCACGACCGCGCTACGCCCTTTAGTGACGCCCACCTAGCGTGTGCCACATTGGCTCCCAAACGACGACGACACTTTGAGCATCCCTATCATAATCGTCTATATCTCGAGTAGTACTATGGATTCAGGACATTCCAGAGTTCCATCGCCATCACAACTGCCAGCTTCATTCTCAAAATATCATCATCCCTATTTCACGTCAGCTGAAGTACAACACCTATCCGAGAAACAACGCGGAAAGCTGTCTGCCACGCAAGAGGAGAAAGCAAGGCAACAAGCGTGTGGATTTATAGAAGCCGTGGGCTCGAAGATTGGCTTGTGCGTTTCTGCCTACAGAGAAATATATGCTGATGTTGACGGCAAAAGGACAGTCCTAGGAAGACTTTAGCTACTGCCCAGAATCTGTACCACCGCTTTCACCTGTTCTTCCCTCGAAAGGACTTCAACTATCACGATGTCACTCTGGCAGCATTGTACGTCTCCACCAAGATGCACGACACGCTCAAAAAGCCTCGGGAGATTCTCATGGTCTCATATGCTGTGCGATTCCCAGAGCTTGCAGCCAAGTCGAAGTCTGTTGGCGGAGAAGTCGATATGGATCCCCCGGTGAGTGATGATCTATGGATTTCAACTGCTCTTCTACTGACGTGGTGTATTTAGACGGCTGAGAACGACCGCCAGAGACTGCTGGCTGTGGAGCGACTGATTTTAGAGACAATATGTTTCAATTTTACCAGCAAAATGCCGTTTTCGTATGTGATCAAAATTGGGAGGAAGTTGAAAGGTGTGTCTATTCCATTCAATGCTTTCTACACTTTGACACTCAACCTTCTGCATATTTAGCATCGAAGAAGTTGATTAAATGTGCATGGCGGCTCACTATCGACAGGCGTGTCACATTCTTTATTGTAGTTCACCTTATATTCATATCTGAGCGAAATTACAGTCACAGGACATTGGTACCAATCATGTATCCACCGAACACTGTCGCATTAGGATGTCTCTATACTGCATCCTTGCTGACGACCCTCGAACCGCCGCCATCTCCCCTTGTAGAGGCACAATTGGACTCGCGGGTGGCAACCATTCTAAAAGAAAAAGGCGATTGGGAGCGGACGTACATGGCTGAAGCCGAGGACTTGGAAGGTTGGGAACTTCTCCACTTACGTTCCCCAACTGATTATCGCCTCCCACAGAAATCGCGCATGTACTTATCGACCTACTTATACAAGCCGCGCAAAATCCGTCGGCCAATACGTCTCCACGCACTCCGGCATCCCCTTCCCCACACCCGTCACCACGAAATCAGCATTTGTCACCCGTTGGCACCCCGCAACCTCCGCCAATTCCATACAAAGCGGATCAGCTCATTCGTCTTAAGATTATGATGCGGCAAAATGAACACCCGCTGCGGCCACAGCAACCTCTCGGGAGTGCTGATCCAAGCGAGTTATATAATGGAAATGATATCGCCATGCTAGGGAGAAACCAAGGGACTGTTAGATTTTTGTTTGGACCTCCAGGAATTGTTGGTCAAGGAGTGTAGGGTGGCGAGGATTTGAACCGTGAATTTCACTTTACAAAATTATCTTTGAGTTAGGTTGTAGCGGGTCCGGTAGCGGCCTCCGTGTGAGTTAATTTTGAATCACAGCTCCAAGTTGAATTGCATCCAACTTGGTGGAAATTTAAACCCTTTATACACCTGTGACAGAGTCTTCAGACAAGATGGACCAAGATGAGACCTTGCAAGTTCTAGCACCGTTTGCTGGCACACAGACCATGCTTATCCTTGTTGGACTGGTGGCATCAGGAAAGGTAATTGCATTTGATTTTGGGATGGTAGTCCGGAAAGATGGCCGACGCAATTCTTGCAGTCCACGTTTGCTCAGGCACTCGAACATCACTTTCCGCAATTTCGTAGATGTAATCAAGATGAGCTTGGGACGAGGCAGCGCGTCGAGAGTTTAGCTCACCGCGCGCTCCGCGAAGGCTTATCGCCTTGTATTGACAGGTGCAACTTTGATGCAATGTAAGCCTTTTTCTATCACGTTGTATGCAAATTGAAGAAGCTGATATTACGGCTGTCACTACCTACAGACAGCGATCACACTGGATCAATATCGCTCGCCAGTTTCCTGGTACTTCGATCAGCGTTATTGTTTTCGATACCCCCTATCAGGTTCGTTGAGGTTCACGAGAAGGAATCAAAGCTAATCGTAGCTTTATCATACACTGCATCTATATATCTAGGTTTGCTCTGCTCGCCTTCAGGAACGTACGTGAACTTGTTTGTGAATTATTTATCGCAGAGATTGATGATGACGTATTGCTTAACAGGAAGTTCACATCCAACCATTAAGGACCCCCAACAAGGTCAATCTATTCTGGCTAGGTTTGCATCAGACCTCCAGTTTCCTCAACCGAACGAAGGGCATGATCACATTCTTTACTTAAAGCCTTCGGACCACCCTCGTACCGAGTATACGGGGGAAGACATTGGTTTGATATTACAACGGCTCCAAGCATCTTCTACAAATTTCAAACGGGGAAACCTTTCAGCCCCCAATCAGATACAAGGTCGCGGGTACGGGGCTCATCGCGGTGGCAGGGGCCACCGCTTTCCGTCTAGTAGACTTCCCAAGTCCTATTCTGGAGCAAGACTAAATGACAAGACAAGTACTTCGCACATAGCCCAGCGTTAAATTTTCAAATGACCGGAAACCACGCTTTCTGATGCCGACAAAACCCGCGCGGGAATCGGCATTACGAATCTGATTTTCTTGCTGAGCTGTCCGTGCTATCCGTGTTTTCCGCGATTTTTATGGTCTTGCCTAGAATCTTTGCGCTCACCTGTAGTTGAAGTAGTGATATATGAGATTTGAGATCACGATCGAGATTTGAATTACTAACGTTCCGAATATGCATTGCGGCACGCTCGACGCCGTATTCTTTGGCACGTTTATACTGCTTCAGAGCCTCTTCGAGTTGCCCAGCTTCACAAGGAGCGAAAGTTAATTTTAGGAACAATAAGCCATGTCATAATTTACTCACTGGCTTCCAAAACTGCGGCGAGATTGAAGGCGATCTCAGGGTCTTCCGGTGAGAGGGAAGCCGCAATACTGGAACACAATAGTCAGTGAACCGATAAGGAAGCTCTAAGCAGTTTACGTGCTGGAGATGATGCAAAGCGAGGTCAGGACGTGCAACAGGAGATATTATGTATGCGCTTGCGAGGTCTTTCGGATACTAATGTCGTCATCCAGATTTAGACAACTCTTAAGATGAGGCACGCACTTGTGTGAGCATCGGCACTAGCGGGTTGCAGTGCTATTGACTCCTTCCAAGCCGCAATGGCGTTGTCAAACTCCTCTAAGAATTAATTACTCAGCACCCTGAAATCTTTGGATAAGTGGGACAAACTGAGGTGATAATGCGTGACGCCCAAGTTGAACAGAGAGCTAGCGTTACGCTTGATTTCGACACTACGATTGTAAAGTTCTTTGGCGCCTTGAATGTCACCCTCCTCTAGCTTCTGGGTCCCCTGTTCTAGACATTGCATGGCTTCCATCTCTGCAGGATCCGATGCCGTCGAATGCAGTGTAGTGGAAGTTGCCCATCCTTAAAAATACCGGTTTAGCGCCAAATGAAAGTAGAAAATGCGGTGCTGACTTTTGAATACATTGTTCCATGATTCACCCGCACAATTGCGACGGAACGCATAGCCGGGACGCGCTGTGGCAATGACAGGTGCTTCGTGGCCTGCCGTGTGTACTAAAAGCCTTGAACGGGGAGCTCGGCTCGATTTGAAGGACGCATTTGTCCTCAAAGAGAAGCTAGCAGGCCTTGAGAGGGCGCGTGTGCTCGCGGTCGCAAAGGACATTTTTCTAATTGTTCAGGTTTAAAGCGGTAAGTACGTTTGGAGACGACCCAAGTAGGTGGTCCTTTAGGTAATCTATTCTCACGCACCCTCGCGCCGTTCCAAAATTTCGTCGGCTATCCGCTCGTTGCTCTCACTCGCCACCAAAGCTGGTTGTTCTTAAGCATGTCTTCAAGTGACCCTCAAAACTCGGCCTCCGGCTCGCAGGACCCAACGTCTTTTTTGCGGTCGGCCACTTTCTCGCGTGATGGACCAGCAGTGTCCGTGGAGAATGCTGTAACGGCTAACGACTTGCTCCTGGGTGCATACGACCCGGCCAAATTACATCCTCTGGCTCAACTTGGGGATCAATTAGACTATCTTGTACTAGATGACGATAAGACGAGCGAGTTGCCAGGGGCTGGCACAGCCATTCCTTCTCGAGGTTGGAGTGATGATTTATGCTACGGAACTGGCACAATGTATCTCAGTGGTAGGTCTTCTTTCTTTCGGCTCCTTAACATGAGTTTTGCACGAGTTTGTACGTCTACGGCTCGTGCCCTCTCTTATTCTATCTTCTCTCACCTTATCGTATTGCTGTCATCTCCAACTTCGGCCATTCTTATTGTTTTCTGTTGTCACATGCTCATTTATCTTTCCTTAAGGTCTGGCTTTGGGTGGCTTTTGGGGTGTGAGTGAAGGCGCTCGAAGACCTCTAGCCGTATCAAATACCCGCCTCCGGATCAACAGCGTTCTTAATTCTGTCACGCGAAGAGGAACGTTCATAGGTAACTCAGCTGGTGTACTTGGTGAGTTCACCTTTCCTGTTGGGGTATGTCACTGATTTTTCATTACTCATAGCCCTTGTCTATAACGGAATCAACTCCACCATTGACTCTTTTCGCGGAAAACATGACACAGCCGGCAGTATGGCTGCCGGTGCATTAACAGGCGCCCTCTACAAGTCAACAGGTACAAATGCTTTTCCCCCAGCCTCTCTGTTTACGTTCTCTAATAAAAAAACTTTTCTCCGTTAGCCGGGGTAAAACCCGCTCTTGCAGCAGCATCAGTGATATCGGGAGTGGCAGGGATTTGGAGCTACGTGAAGAAGAGCGTATGATAGACTGCTGTAACATATACCGTCCTAATATTTGCTTACCTATGTGAGATTTTATTCTGACATGTAAGCGTCCCAATGGGATTTACAGAACCTCGGCCGGTCGTTCAGGCCTGTTTTGATCACTACTGCGGGAGATCCAAAGAAGACGTGCCTTCAGCTTCCCAAATACTGCTCCGAACAGATTTGGAACCCTATATCGGTCGCCTTCAGATCTGTCAGTGTCAAACTTTTTGGGTACTGAGATTCAGAATTCTGATACCTTTCAGTCTTCCTCTGACCCCGAGCTCCGCTCCCTGGAAATAGGTATTATATGATATGATCACCTACAAACGAAATGGATAAATTCCAAGCTCCTATGCTCTAGAGTATTGATCAATCCTCCTGTAGGCTCAGCGTGCGCCTTGTCTCCCAGGCAAATATCTCGTGACATATGCATACTCGCTCTATTGACTCCTACTGGTCTAGGCAATACTCATGGGAAAAGGTGTCAGCCAAGAATGGTTTGAGCTCTCCCTACAAGTCGTTGAATTATCACGCTCACGATGTTGACCATGCGTCGCGCACGCGCTCCAGTGTCGAAGGAGATGTTGCAGTGAGTGCTTGCTCGCTGTCTATCCTCACGCACGCATCGGAGCCTAGCTCACTTTCCACCATCACAAATGTCTCAGCGTACACGTCAAATACGTCCGGTAACGCCTATCACACCCATAAAGTGTATATCATCGTACGTGGTCCATCTGTTCTAGGGCTCCGGCTTGCTGAGCAAATTACGCTTGATGCCCAGCAGCTACAAGAAGCTCTTTCACGAATTGCCCTGGGAAAGCCCTCAGGGTTCACCGAGGTCCGTAGCTGCCAGCGACCATTCGAACACACAGTCACCGCCGTCGTCCTGGAGTATGCCATCTCAGTCGGAGTCATCTAGCCAGCAGGGCACTGCTTGGAGCCAGGCTTCTTCCGTTGATCGCACTAGTCCATCCATGTCTAATCAATATATTTCGAGTCAATCTCGGGTCCAACACTCCTCCTTCCTAAACGATGGTCAAACGAGGCGAGTTATTTGTAGTATATTGATCTTTCTCGCGTTGATGAATTGGTAAGCTAGGTCATACCACCTTGATGTCGTGCAACACCCCCAAAGAACCGCGGAATTTGGTTCTGCTAGCCTCTCCCGTTTGCCACTAGCTCCGCCAGTAATCGTGCAGCTCACTGTACGCGATCGCTTTGGAAATTCCATCATTCCGTAAGTTCCGTCAGCACCTCACAAGGGTTAGCGTACACGAATATAATTTTTTCCGATAGTGAGATGGAGCTGCCATTCTTGATCGCCCACTTGTCACTATTCACGGATGATGGGTCACCGTTGGATATGGGCACCTCACCAAACGGAGAGGCACCTCCGCGGCGTTTGCTTTACGGAAACCTAGTGTCGTCACCTCAGAAATTGCGCGACCTTCAGGGCCGTCTTGGATTATATTTTCTGTTCCCCGACGCGAGTATACGTTGGCGCGGCCGCTTCCAGCTCGGGATTTCTCTATTACGGATATCAGAGTACGTGGAGCAGGAACGAGGCGGGTGACCATGACTGAATTTATGCAATTCATTTCTCATATTCGCAGGACTAATGCTTCTGGTACTATGAGTATTGCATCTCAGGGGACTGTGCTTGCACAGGCTCGCACACGGTCATTTGATGTCTGTGCCCATGAAAATTACGTCGCACCGCGTAAGGATCTGGCTTTGTTGTTGATCTTTCTTGCTGATGTGGCGACTCTTTCCAAAACAGCCATTACACGCTTAACGCAAAGCTTTTTGAGACAGGGTGCACGAATTCATACCTTCACGCCAAATGGTCCTTAGACCCTAGAATTTGCGTTCGGACTTTCCGACGCATGCCGGTCACTTTCGCATAACCTTCGCAATTTTTTTTCGTTTTCGCTTTCTGCTGTATATCATAGTTGGTGCACTCATTCGACCTTTTTACACTGACACCTGTTTCTGCTATTTCTTGTCGCTGCATGATGCTCTCGACCTGCTGACTGCATATATCATCTGGCTATAATTGCAAACACACGTTGAGGAGATAAGTTAGATTATTCAATTAGAGTTTGCATGCTGCATCGTTCAGTGTCTTGGTGAGGTAATAACGAGTGTAAAGTGAGCGAAGGGCGTCTGCATGACAATTAACCCGCAACGTTGACAGGTCGAGCGCCTCTGAGTGTCATCGTCGATCTAATGCCGCTAAGTGATCACAAGATTTCGCCTAAAGCATAACTGCGGCCGACGACGAGAGAGATCACGCAAATATTTTACTAGTACGCCTGCAGGGATTCATCTCCGGTCCATGAGCGATGGTTAGACGGCCAGTGGTAATGAATCTAATGATTGATGTGACACACCAAGCGCCATGTTTGCCTGCTCTGAGACAGGGTGGTTCCCCAGTAGTACTTAGCATGGAATTGGTAGTTCACAAGATATTTTGGCTCGAATGCGACTGCGGTCGGACCTATGACTTTGCTGCGGTTACAGTGTTGCACTGCCCAGGCCATTTGAATCACTGCTGGGAGTCAACCATGCCTCGTGCAGCGTGAGAAATGCGCACGAGATAAGTTTTGTGCAAAGCGACAGCGGGTTTAGTTCTACTAGTACCCTCTCCTTCTCATTGTCAACGTTAATTAACGGTTTCCTCTATTGAACAATGGCCAACAAGGATTACTACAGCGGTCAGCAACAACAATACTACCCACCCCAAGGTTGGTTACACATCTTTCGGTGTTTTGATATCTGAAACCTGAAGGACTCCAGGTCCACCACCAGGACAGGGGGGTTACTATCCCCAACAACCCCAACAATCGTACGGAGGCCAGCCTTACGGTCAATCTTATGGCGGCGGACCTGGTTACCAACCTCAACCGCCACCGCAGACAGTCTATGTGTCAGTACATAATCCTGCACGTCTGAACTGCGCGCTAACACGAGGCTGAAAATTTTCGTAGACAACAACCTGCTCAGTCCAGTGGTGCTGGTGGAGGCGCTGGCTGCCTGGCTTGTCTCGCTGGTGCATGTCTTTGCTGCTGTGCTGAGGGTAGGTGTTTTCCGAACCCTTGACAAATCACCGGCATACTAAAATTTACACCAACAGAGGCACTTTGCGACTGTCTATTGTAAGACTTGGAGATTGCGTAGCAGGGCTACTGTCCGCTGGCACGGCGCAATATTGCCTAGTTGATGAGAACCCGCTCATGATCACGCCGTATATGTCGGCCGGATGCCTTTATGCTACAATGGACACGAACCTTTACTTTCTCTCCTTAGTCATGAACCATCCTGATTTCTATTCGTTGGACTACGATACCGTACTTCGTGATAGTGTCGTTTCTGAATGACTTTGTGAGGCCTGAGACATTGTCATTTTTTTTTGTAAAATTATTCGTCAGAGATATCATACCCTTTCCACTTTTTGCATGTTTGGAGAAAGTCTGAAAGACGCAAAAGGCTGTGAAATCCAGGTGATTGTATTGGACGATCGGAAACTACGGTACTGCCGACTAGGCCTCCGGTTCGTTCCGTGACTGATATGTGTGATGCGTGACACTGACAGTCACCACTTCAAGCCTTTCCGCTCCTCGAAAATCTTGAGGACTTGAAACCAAAATGTTGTCGAGGCTTCCCGTGGCCGCGCTCAAGAGTCAGTCTGCAATAGGCGCATCTCGCTCTGCCTTCAGCGCCCTCAAAACGCGTGCTACGTCGGTCAGTTCTACTTCTCAATAACTAACCCGAAGTTTGTCTGCTCAACCTCCGACAGCAGGTCCGATTTACTTCATCCAGTTCAGCGTCCTCAGCTAAACTTGAGGTTGGTTCTCTATGTGTCTTGGAATGTTTCTCAAAGAATTCACTCATTTTTAAATGCAGTCACTGTTCACATCTCGCGCGTCACTCATCTCCGCTGCCCTTTTCTCTGCTGGCTCGATAGCATGGTATACCCATCTATACGGCTCCCTCCCCTTTGTTGGCGAGGTGCATGCAAATTCGCTGGCCGACGACGGTCTCCATCCCGCTGCGTATCCTTGGTCTCACAAGGGCTTGTTCGACAGCTTTGACCACTCTAGGTATGTCCGCGTTAACTACCGTGAAATATCTTATATGACACTTGTACCCTAGCATCCGTCGCGGTTTCCAGGTTTATCAGGAGGTTTGTGCTGCATGCCACTCGCTCGACCGTATTGCCTGGCGCAACCTTGTTGGGGTGTCCCATACTGCCGACGAAGCGCGTTTACTCGCCGAGGATGTAGAGTACACGGATGGCCCAGACGATAAAGGCGAGATGTTCCAGCGTCCCGGAAAGCTTTCCGACTACCTTCCTTCTCCATACCCCAATGAGGAGGCTGCTCGGGCTGGTAACAGTGGTGCCCTTCCTCCCGACTTAAGCCTAATCATCAAGGCTCGTCATGGTGGTGCGGTAAGTGGTTTGAATCGTTCTTATAATGAGGAAATTCGCTCATATGTCGCTTCGTCAACCAGGACTACGTGTTTTCCCTACTGACGGGTTATATCGACCCCCCTGCTGGTGTTGAAATTCGTGAAGGAATGAACTACAACCCTTACTTCCCTGGTGGTGCCATCTCTATGGCGCGTGTCCTCTGGGACAATCTCATTGAGTACGAAGATGGTATGTTCCTCTTCCGTAAGCTAGGCTGGCCATGTATTGAAGATTGTTATAGGCACCCCTGCCACAACCTCTCAGATGGCCAAAGATGTTGTCACCTTCTTAAACTGGGCAGCCGAGCCCGAGCATGACGAGCGGAAGAAGATGGGTATCAAAGCTGTTATCCTCTTCTCTGCACTATTCGCTGTTTCCATCGGGGTGAAGCGGTTCAAGTGGACCGTAATCAAGAACAGGAAAATTTGTAAGTTCTAAACCTCATTGATACTGTTAGCAGATCTTGATCGAGTTCGTAGTCTACAACCCGCCCAAGGATTTGAACCATTAGAGAACTTGCGTACATAGGGCGGATCGAGTATCCCATAGACTCTTACGGCCATCAGATGCTGCAATTTATGTTGCATCCTTCTAATGAGACTGCTTTTCAACCGCGAGAGTTTTTTCATGTGTGAATTTGGTTGCCTTACTGAGGTCTTTGGGAGCGAAAGCCTCAAGGCATATGAGAAAGACGCTGTACCACCGACGAACGTGGGAAACTCGGGATGGGACATGCTGGTGCTTCGTTTAGGAACGTTGTCCTTTCTTCTTGCAACCTTGCTCAAGCTTTGATTTCCCTTCACCAATTTCTATACCGACAATTGTCCTCATCCCAATATTACAGCATAACGCACACTAAAAGTCTATCACTAAATCACCATGTCGTCTGAGTCATGGCCTCCACCACTGAAGTAAGCGCCCATACCTTCACTTTAAGCTAGCGAAGCTGAAGTCGGTGGTTTAGAGAATGGGTGGCACGATGTCTGGGGCAAATGACAGATGCTAATAGGGCAGAGGCTCAGGCTGAGCTGAGAGAGTCAATTGCTAACGCTTTCGCTGAAAAGACTCTATGGACAACCGACTGGGCTGGTGTACAATTAAAAAGGTGCGGTCTGAGTTCGTCGCAAGCTGAGTTACAGATTTCAGTGACTTGCGACATCCAGTCTGATGCCCAAAGCTCCCCCGGTGCTCAATACCCTCAAGCGCAAAATGTCAGTGTCATGCGCTTCCAATGTTACCATGACCCATTGATGCTTTAAAGGAATGACACTCCACCGATGAGCAAGAAAGCAAAGAAAGCTGCGGCGCAGAAGCGCAATGATGCCAACCTCGACTTCGGGGATCAGGCGGCTCTTAATCGCCGAGCCGAACGTTTTCAGCGAGAACATGATATAGAGCGACAGAAGAGTATGCGTGGTCAGGCCTCTCTCCAGGCTAATAATCAGAATGCTCACCTCTTCAACCGGATATCGCGTTCTGACTCGCCGAGTGCCTTTGGTACTAATCCTGACGACCCTGAGGCGGATCCCGTCCGTCTATGTCCATTCCCGCACCCAATGTGAATGCTTATCTTATTGCTTAGAACGTGCTTGACTGGGATAAGTATACAATCGTTGGGACGAATCAGGAGTTATTTAAGGACTATCTGCGTCTTACCTCAGTATGAGATTTAATCATTCGATACAATCGTTTTTTTCTTCTGACTTTTCGCACAGGAACCAAAACCAGAAACGATCCGCCCATACTCAGTTCTCCAACAGACACTCGTCGAACTCAAGAAGCGCTGGAAGGACAAGGTGTCATATAATTGGATATGTAATCAGTTCAAGAGCCTGCGGCAAGATCTCACCGTGCGTTATCCATCGCTTGTATATTTCATGTTGACACGTGCCCCTCTTGGTAGGTGCAACGAATAAAAAATGAGTTTACAGTACAGGTATACGAGATCCATGCACGCATGGCACTCGAAAGCGTAGGTGCTGGATCTTTTATACGGCTTACAGCTGATCTGCTGCTGCAGTCGGACATGGTAGAATATAACCAATGTCAGGCAACACTTAAGAATTTATACGACCTCGGCATACCAGGCAAACACGAAGAATTTACCGCCTATCGTATTCTCATGCTCCTGCATGGACGGAATAAAAGCGGTGTGCCCCTTCTTCCCTTCTCGTCAGTTCAGGATATGACTCATACTTGCATTCCCGCTTTACTGCGTAGAGCTTAATCTCTACGTAGGTACGCTAACACCACGACAGAAAAGGGATCCCGCAGTGCAGCACGCACTTCAGGTCCAGCGCGCTATCTCCATGGGCAACTACCATGCTTTGTTTGAGATGTATTTCAATGCACCAAACATGGGGGCGTATATTATGGATTATTTCATTGATCGGGAGAGGACCAGGGCGTTGATGACTATGACAAAAGCGTGAGTATCTATCATCTCCATACGATTATAACCGTATCTTATTCGTCTCCATCAGATACCGCACAATAACAGTGTACTTCATCCAGAATGAGCTCGGATTTGAATCAGTGTCAGACACACTCAAGTTCTTAGGAACGCACGGTTCTGCCTTTTTCGTCAACCCGAACGCCCTCGATCGGGACAAGACGGTTGAGTGTAAATCTGCTGCACCACAGTTGGCACAGATTTACGAGGAGAAATACCGCAAGGTTGGGATCAAGGGTGCAATATAGTTTGCCTCATGCACACTGGCGCATCCCCCTTTCTGCTTCCAACATCTTCCTTACCGCTCTTATCCTCCTGCATCGCTCCCTGCATCACCTGTCCGTCTTTTCCGTCCCATTCACATGTCATCAACTTCATCTTGCCCGCTCGATCTCACCTGGATGGTATACCATAGAAGGAGGAGAGAAAACGATAACTTATATATCGCAGCGACTACTCCGTTCCCCAGCCTTTCCTCAGGCCTGTTTCTTCTCTCACCACAGTCACAACAGTCTTCAAGCCTCGCGTCAAGAGAACCATGAACAGAACACGGTATAGAGTCTTATTCTTGGCGTCTTGCGATTGTAGTTTCTTTAAGCCAGAGGGAGAGGATCGGAATCAGGATGGTTTTATTTTGGGGGTAGCTGATTCCGGTCTTCCAGCAATGTAACAGTTTGTTGATGGAACTTGACTTGTTGGGTTTATGTGGTGAGCGTGTTGGGGTGGGAGGAGGTTACTTTTGTGTATCTTATGTATCGTCTTACAATTGAAGTTAATGCCATGCGCGTTATATATAATTTTTAACTGAGTGTGATCGTTGAAAACGTTAATCAGTGGCAACGATGAAGTCGGTGCTAGCGCAATGTCAATGTAACACTGAACAACTTTAACAAGTCGGATATGGTGTAACGGTTAACATTGCTGTCTTTCACACAGCGGCCCCGGGTTCGACTCCCGGTATCCGAATCATTTTTCGTTTCCCGCGCAGAGAGCGTATGTTGCAATTCGGTCCATACGCTCTCTACGCGGGATTTGATTTTGAGGTGTAGCTGGTGGACCTGATTTTTTAGGGATCCGAGTAAGCGCGGACCGTCGACATCGCACGTAACTTGCACTTGAACTGATGGCTGTAGCCTAAATGTGAGCTTAGGTCTCTCTTACGAATCGAAGTGATGTGCACTGTGCAGGGCGTTCCACCGTGGTGACTACATTATATAGCAAGAACTAAGAACTCCCTAAAGCTAAAACATTTCCATCCTTACGTTTGCATTTCCGGTAGCGGGACCCCCACAGTGAGACTGAAACAGCAGAGTAGCGATACGCAGGAGGGAGGGATCATTCTCCGTTCTCCGTGCTTGAGTTTGTTGAAGAAACTCAGTGTGGCTGAGTCGGATGTTTTATAACGCGTCTTACACCACCCCCTAGTCACTACCAAACCCTCTTTCAGATCTCATCAATGTCAGACAAGCGGAGAGCAGAGATCGAAGCTAAACGTGCAAAACTCGCAGAACTTCGGAAAGCTAGAGCAGACCGCCAACGAGCAGAAACTGAGCGACGCCAGGCAGAAGTTCGTTCACCTTCCCTTTACTCTTACGAAGCTCAAGCTTCTCTAGCCCGGTCCATCTAGCGGAGCCCGTCGCGACGTTGACGACCTCGTCAACCAACTCGTCGGAAGTCGCAGTGGCCTAGACACAGGCGGGGACCTTACCCCCTCCTCGTCCCTCCCCAACACCCCACCCCGATCGTCTACAAATCTACTCCACGGCTTGACGGTCTCACCGTCTGGCAGGGTGAGCAGGCAGAGCGATGTCGGGAGCGATAAAGTGAGTATGGGTACGACTATGGTGGGGATGATGGAGCATGTTGATAGGTATGTACTCCCGTGGCTTCTTCGACGCTGGCGGTGATGCTCATACTACGTGAAGGGTGTTGACGCCGAGGTTCATACCTGACCTTATAGATGTCGAGCAGGAGCTATTCGAGCTTCCACAACGCGTAAGTTCCTCGACGCCATCCTCTCCCATCTAAAATCCTCACTCATACCCAGGAACGCGTGATCTACAACAAAGAGGTGCAAACGACAGCCATAGAAACTGAAACACCCCAAATATCAGAGAATGAGATCCGACAACAGATCATGCGCGAACGGGAGTTGGAGGCGGAGAGGATTGCCCAGGATAAGGAGCTCGAGGAGGAGAGTGTACAGCTTGAGAAGGAGATTGAGGAGGAGATTCGGGGTACGTTCTCCTTCAGTTCTCTTCACTTCACTCTGATACTTCGAAACTGAGACTGTTCAAACTTATAGAGCTTACGGAAGAGGAACGCTCGCATATACTCAGTGCACCTGAATTCCTGGACTTTGTGGAACAATCGTCGAAGATCGTACAACGTGCGTTGAACGATGGGTATGACTACATTCGTGATTATACTATAGGCACGGAGGCGAATGGGTGCGTTTCCTTTCATTTTGCTCATGTGGTGTCAGTGTGTTAATACTTATTTCAGGGACGATTCAGAGGGAAAGCGCGTCAAGCGTATTTGTGCATTCTATGATGAACGCTACGGCAAGAATAGGTCGATTACAGATATCGATTGGTCACCCAAGGTCTCGGATGTCGTTCAAGCACGATGATTCTTACTGACTTTGATACAGTACCCGGAGTTGAGCGTAGCGTCGTATAACAAGAACCCTGCTGCATTGAATGAGCCAGATGGGATTGTTGCAGTATGGAACCTCCACCTACTCGACAGACCGGAGTTCGTGTTTCACTCACAGGTCGGTGAGCATCTCTATAAGTCATGTGTTTATTTGACTGATATCTTGTCAAGTCTGATGTCCTCTCCGTCACGTTCTCCCCATTCCACTCAAACTTGGTGTTTGGTGGCACGTACTCGGGGCAGATTCTACTGTGGGACACGCGATCAAAACATCTACCTGTGCTGAAGACGCCCCTCTCTGCTGCTGGACATACACACCCTGTGTATGCGATGCAAATGGTCGGTACTCAGAACGCGCACAACTTGATTACCAGCAGTACAGATGGCACCGTGTGTAGTTGGCTCGTTGACATGCTCGCCCAACCACAAGTAAGGCTCTTTCTACCAAATATTGAGCTTAATTGATGCCTAAACTGCTAAATTTGTCCTCAGGAAACCCTAGAGCTTATTCATGCAGGTCACAACAAAACAGGCGAAGTAGCCATCACAACGCTGGACTTCCCGGATAATGAAACGACCACGTTTTGGGTCGGCACCGAAGAAGGCAATGTCTATCAAGCCAATCGCTACGACCGCGCGGGTGCGAAAGCCGGATTGAATCAGTATGATATCTACAAGGGACACGCGGGGCCTGTCATGGGGCTGCATTTTCATCCTCTTGTGGGACCTATAGACTTCTCCGATCTGTTCCTGACTGCGAGTGTGGATTGGACGGTGAAGCTTTGGCGCGCAAAATCACTTGCGAAACCGTCAACTGCTGCGCATGCTATTTCTCCTATCTACTCTTTCGACGAGGCGGATGATTATGTGTATGATGTGAAGTGGCATCCAGCGCATCCTGCTCTATTTGGAACGGTTGACGGGTCTGGGAGATTTGATGTTTGGAATCTGAATACGGATACTGAAGTGAGTTTTGGTTGCTTCAGTGATCCTGATCTAGATCGGGCACAATTTGATGCCGTGCACGGGACTCCGTTTCTAACTTGCACTTCCATTCCAGGTACCAATCGTCTCCACAAACGTCGGGTCCGGTCGAGCTATCAACAAGTTACAATGGGACAGAAAAGACGGACGACGGGCCGCACTCGGAGGGAGCGACGGGAAGTTGTATGTCTATGATATCGGTGACATGGCACTTCCACGTGAATCTGAGTGGACGGATCTCCAGAAGACGGTGGCGGGTTTTATTGGGGGTGCGCAGGCGAACGGAGTGGTAGACGGAGATGCGACGCGGATCGTTGCTGGGCGGTAGTGCTTGGGAATTTCTGTTGTTGTTCCGTGCCGTGTCAGGTTTATGATACTTGCATTTTTCCCATGATACTTTAGTCTTTAGGACGGAATTAGAGTGGGTTACGCGAGGTCTCAACAAAAATATGGAGAGCAATTAATAGTATTATATATGGGATTTTTATCTGGGAATGATAGTGGAACAGCGATTCCGCCCATCCCGAAGGTGCTAGTACATAGCAGCTGTTTTGCCGTGTTATGTTTCCCAATGAGTGCCCTGCGCAACGCCTCCATCAAGACCTCCTCTTCCATCTCCTACGCACTTGCCCGTACTAGTATATTCGGTTCTCTCTTTCCAAGTTCAACTCGTAAGATGTCTACAGATAGTAAATTTGTTCAGGTGCGTGTCGCTCGTTCAACTCTTGGGATTAACGCTGAGTGATGGCATAGGCTCCACACAAGTGAGTCATGGTTCAGGTCGTGTAAAAGTTGTCTGAGACTGACAGACCGCGTCCGTCATTTACAGGCTTCTGGTGTATGTCTACTCGTGCCTTTGCCTGTGTGGAATGTATCTCATCTGAGTCTTTGCGTTCTCAGCATCCCAGGACCGATTGAGGTCACGGATGAGGTGCGTATACTCTTGTGTCGTTTCTGCATGAATCGTAACGCTCATAAAAATGTTTATAGGTCCTCTTTGCCAATGCACATCCGTCGATGTCGCATATGTCACCCGACTTTGCAAGAGTCTTTGGTGACTGCATTCGCATGACTAGGCAAGGACACAGTTCACGGCCGAACAATAAACTCACGTGTTTGTCAGACAACTTCTTTACTCAGAGGACGCGCAGCCGTTCCTGATCGCTGGGTCAGGCACATTGGGATGGGATCAGGTATGAGTCTGATGTCAATTTCACGGCGCAAAATGTGTTTATTGATGGCGCTAGGTCTCTGCAAATCTCGTAGAACCGGGCGAAAACGCGCTCGTTCTGCATAGTGGTTATTTTGCCGATAGTTTTGCAGACTGGTAGGGACAATGATGGGGCAAGCGTCGTGGTGTTTGCTCATTCTTCATGGTTCTCCAGTTTGCAGACCTATGGTGCCAATGTCGACCAGATCAAGGCTGAGATTGGTGGTGCTGTTAAGGAGGCTGATATTGAGAGCGCACTTCAAGCGAAGAAGTACAAGATTGTTACAGTAACTCACGTCGACACCTCGACAGGTTAGTTATATTTTTCAGGGTGCCTGATATTACATAGGTTCCTGATATCGGACTGATCTATCTTGGGTAGCCGTTTTGTCCGACATCAAAGCTATTGCAAACGTCGTGAAGAGAGTTTCTCCAGACACACTTGTAATTCCCCAAAAGACTCCTCAGTTCACGTGTACTCATTATGGATTGATACTAGGTCGTTGTTGATGCTGTCTGCTCTGTGGCGAGCGAAGAAATCCAAATGGATGCCTGGGGCATTGATGTCGTATTGACAGCCAGCCAGAAAGGTTTGGGCACGCCACCGGGTCTCAGCATCCTCGTTGCTTCTCAGAAAGCCGTCCAGGTTTGCCTTTTCCCCGATACCATGACGTGCAGCTACTGATACAAACTTCTCAAGGTATTCGAGAACCGTTCAACACCAGTCACAACCTACTACGGCAGCTGGAAGAAGTGCGTTCAGTCCATGTTTTCTATCCTAACATAGATTTATTCCCAAATAGATGGCTACCCGTAATGAAAGCCTACGAGAACAACTCTGCCGCCTACTTCGCCACTCCACCCGTCAACCTCATCTATGCGTTCCACGCGTCCCTCACCCAGATCATGCAAGGCTCTGTCTCGCTCGAGCAACGATTCAAGCTCCACCAGGAGGTCAGCAGACGCGTCAAGAAGGCAGCAGAGGAAATCGGATTCAAGGGCGTGCCTCTCAGTGAGGACGTCCAGGCGAATGGCATGTCTGCAGTGCGTACAGTATTTTGATTACTTTGCGACCGAGACGTTGATACCGTATACAGCTTTACTTCCCCGACGGTTTCACAGCGAGCGATATCGTTCCTCGTCTGTTGAAGAAAGACGTCGTTGTCGCTGGCGGATTACATGCTAGCATCAAAGGTCAGTAAAGTTTTCTGCGAGAAGTATTTGTTACTGAAAATCATCCTGCTCCAAAAAGACAAATACTTCCGTATAGGGTGCGTTGTTTTCTGTGAAATACTTGTGAGGTGGTGTGACTGACATACTCTCAGGCACATGGGTGTTTCTGTAGTTGACCCTAGTCGAGGGGACATTGACAAGGTTATCAGCGCCGTGAAGGAGTCACTCGCAGAAGCTAAGGTTAGCAAGCAATAGGAATTAGAGTGAGATGATTTTATGTGGCACATACGATACAGTGTTCGAATGGACATCTCAATTTCATACGTCATTCCATGACCAGCAAGTTGTAAGGTGACTTGATACCCAAAAATATATCTCATAGATGTAGCGATTGTAAAAGGTCGAGGACCTCATGCGGCGGCGGCGGCCTCACGATACTGCCCTTCTCCGCCCATGCCTTCGTACCACTCTTTCCCGGATGTTGTTGGAGCAATGTATCCCGCCCTGATGACAAAGTCACCAAAATGCTCGCCCTCGTTTCGCTCGAGCGCATATCGCTTGATCATAGGTTTAAGGATGGCGAGGATCTCGGGTTCCGATACTGTTTCCCGGTAAATCTTGTTCAGGCGCTGGCCGTAGTATCCACCACCAAGAAGCATGGAATAAGATCCAGGCGCTTTGCCTACGAAGGCGACCTCTGTAGAGATATTGAGCGGGCACTTTATCGAGGCGAGAGTGTCTTACCAGCGACATATGGTCTTGCGCAGCCGTTGGGGCAACCAGTCATCCGCATGACAATGGAATCGTTGCGAAGCCCATTCTCCTCACAGACTTTCTCGACCTTGTCAATGAGTACTGGCAGATACTAGAAGACATCACGATGAGATCAAATTTTTGTAGGAGTTCTACAAAGTCGCTACTCACACGCTCAGACTCAGCCATTGCGAGACCTGAGTGTATTCTCATGTCAGAAACGATATATATAAGTGCAAAATTACTTACCGCACGTCGGGAAAGCCACACAAGCCGATGACGACAGCCGCAAACCAGTGTGGTTCAAGTTGTCCAACTTGTATTTGGCGAGTATTCTCTTGATCTCGGGCACGTCTTCCGTAGAGATTTCTGAGACCATAATATGCTGGTTCGCGGTCAGACGGAATGTGCCCTTGTGTATTTTGGCAATTTCGCGAAGACCAGTTTTAAAATCACGGTCGGGCTCGTCCTGAATACGCCCGTTCTCGATGAAGAGCATAACGTGGTGCCTGCCATCATCTCCCGTTGACCAGCCAAAGTCATCGATGTTGCGGTCGAACGTGTATGATCGTGCTGGAGCCAATGGATAACCAAGTCGACTCTCAACCTCTGCTTTGAATGCATCCAGTCCCATTCGGTCAATAGTGTATTTCAATCGAGCGTTTTTGCGACTGAAGACTAATTAGAACGTGAAAGTGTGGAACATTTAGAAGACTTACTCTGCACGATTACCGTTGTCGCGCTGTGTAAGCATGATCTTTTCTGCTACGGCAGGACCTTGTTGGACGGTACAGAAACCAATAACATCGGCAACTCGAGGGTATGTTTTCTTATTGCCGTGGGTTACTCCCATGCCACCACCGATAGCAACATTGAAACCAGCCAATTCTCCTTGCTCATCGACGATGGCGATGAAGCCCAAGTCGTTTGCAAAGACATCAACGTCATTAGTAGGTGGTACCGCAACTGCAATTTTGAACTGTGGCAACGTCAGGATTGGTTTGAAACGAGTGCAGCACGAAGCGTACCTTTCGAGGAAGATAGAACTCGCCGTAGAGCGGCTCAAAGTCCTTCACAGCCTCACCGGCAACCATTTTCTTGTCCAACCAAATTTCATGGTATGCTGTTGTTCTAGGCAATAAGTGAGCGCTGACAAGCTTCGCGAAGTTGTAGACCTGCGCATGAAGTCGGGACAAAGAAGGAATAGCGGAACAGATAACATTCCTAAGGCGGACGATCAGCAAGAAACATCACCGCAAGCTGCAGAACTCACCGATTGACGTCGCCACACGCAGCTAAAGTGTCCAACAAGACCTTGTTGATTTCCTGAATGGAAGGCTTCAAGTGTTGCTTGATGACACCGTGGAACTGGAATGTCGCTCTTGTAGTGATCTTGAACGTCCCATTGCCATGTTCATCAGCGATCCGGTCCATTTGTAACCACTGCTCAGGCGTGCACACACCACCGGGCGTGCGAACGCGAATCATGAAGCTGTAGGCAGGTTCGACTCCTTGAGCTTGACGCTCGTCACGGATGTCGCGGTCATCTTGTTGGTAGATACCGTGGAACTTTGTGAGCTGGGTGTCACTGGGATCGAGGGCGCCCGTGCTAGTATCTTCGAGACCCTCAGCAATCGTGCCGCGAAGGTAACCCGAGGCCGCCTTGATATGCTCATTGGTGATCGGGTCAGGTTCTGCTTCTTTCACTTCAATGCTGTCGACACCGAACGTTTTCCACACGAGGGGCTCCCACACTTTGTACCCGGTGTCTGGTCCATCTGCATCCTGGTCATCAGCGAGCCCGATATCTGCAAAACGCTCTCCCCCCAGCTGCTCCAAACGAGCGTCGAGGTCCTTGCCCGGCTTGTTGTAGTAGTGAGCATCTTCTGGGCGTGGCCAGTAGTGGCTGTCACCAAGGGCGAAGACCGAGTATCGAAGCTTCGAGAAGGGCTTCTCTCCACGAAGAGCAGCAGCGTTGAGCGCCTTGAACAAAGTCCGACCGTTCTGTGGGGGCTCACCCTGACCTGCCACAGATGTAACGAAGGCCACATACTCCTCTTGAGAGAGGGTATCGATGGACATAGAGTCAATGGTGCCGATGGATGTTGACAAGCCTCTGGCTTTACCGCGGTTGGCCAATCGCTTCGCAAACTTCTCTGCGGTGCCACCGTCCGATGCATACAGCACTACCAACGGTGGTGCATCAAGCGAGACAACCAAGTCATCATATGCCTGTTGTGCCTTCTTCCTTCTCGCCTCCTTCACATTCTCACCCAAGCTGCTTACCAGTTCCGTAGCAAGCTCGGGCTTGGAGCGTACGAGTTGTGACAGATGGTTCTGCCTGTCAAGGAACTGCTGTAGGTCGTTCTTCACAGCGTCCGAGTCGAGCGCGAATGGCTCTTTGCCTTGTGCTTCCTTCACAGGGTCCCAACGGTAAAGCGGCCAGTACCCAGCGTCGACAGCGAGCTTGGTCTCCTTCAAAACCTCAAGTGCTGGTGCATCCTCATTTTGGTAAGGCAGGTATGCGAGCACGACGCTGGGGCCCTTGTGCCTGTCCGCCTCCATCACTGCTTGCAGTACTTGAGCATACGACGAATACACTGCGACACTCGCTACATAAACATCGCCGTGGTTCATTGCATACAGACCGGCGTCTTGCTTACGGCGGTGTGGATCGGCGGAGTTGCGGGATGTGTAGGGAAGGGTGTCGATGATGAGAATGTTGATGTTGAGTCCGGATGCGATGGCGTGGTGTAGACCAGAGGCGCCAAGATCGTAAGACCAGGCGTCTGAGCCAATGATCCATCTCGAGCGTGTGGGGAAGTGTGCACGGAGTGCAAGAATGCGGTCGATGATAGGACTCGAGAACTTTGAAGACTCGAGAGCGGTGATGAGTTCATTTCCCACCGAGCGACTCTTGGCATCGTCGTCCTTGACAAGGACCCACTGGCTACAAAGTTTATGCAGCTCGGGGCTGATGTCCTTAACCTCCAATAACTTCTGCACAGAGCGAGTGAGTTCATTTCGTTGATCGAGTTGTCCTCGGACGCGGCCCAATGCAAACTCCGGACTGGTGGCAATAGCACCTTGTTTAAGCACCAAGTCAGGCGAATTGGAAACTTCGAGACGTTCGCCAAAGACGTGAGACAAGATCTTCGTATAAGACGACTCGTGCTTGGGTACGTGTGGCACTTCTAGCGAAAGATTTGAGGAGGTGCTGGTGCTTCCAAGTTGAATTGGAGCAGAAGAGGGAGCTGCTTGGAGAAGTTTCAAAATTGCAAGGGGAATCACTTGAGCAGGGTCACTGAAGTAAACGCTCTGAATGTGGGGTCGCTGCTCTACTTCCCGCTGATGAATTGCATTGACAAGTTCAAGGTACAAAGGCGTCCATTTAGTGTTCCAGCGTTGCAGCTGCTCGAGAATGATGACACGTGATGCAGATGGTGGAATGACATCGAGTATGCGGGAGGGGAGGAGGGGAGTGAGCAAGCTGAGTGAGACAATCGACACTCCGTCGATATCCACAGAAGGGATATCACCCAACCCAAAGATGACAGTGTGGGGTTCGCTGGGACCATGTACAGAAAACGGGGGGCATGCGCGACGAATACGAACGACCGTAGATAGCGCTGCGCGCTCGTAAAGCTTGAAAAGCTCTGAGCCAGGAGATACTATAGTTGCTGAATGACCGTTGAGACCATTGGTGCCATTTGCACTGATTGCATGACCATTGTGCTCGTTCATTCCATTGTGCCCATTCATTCCATTGGTCGACGCAAGCTTCTCCGAGAGAAGGAAAGGCTGCACCTCACTCTCCGGTATTACCTCCACTGGATCATTTACTGCGTTATAAAAGACATGCACGACTGCCTTCTTCTCCGTCCGTGCTAACCGAGATGCCAGGAGTGAGTTATCGTGTGCTTGTTGCGGGGTTCTGGAGACGAGGAAAAAAGGGATGGCAGAATGGAGCAAAAGGACTTCGGACAAGTCATTTTTCACGGCAAGATGCAAGACAAGGGGAAGTGAAGAAAGTTCAGCGGCATCCAGAACAAGCCTGATTACAGTCTGTGCTGCTGCTGAAGAGGTAAACGAGATGAGTCCAGCAGCCGATCCGTTTCTGAGTAATGTTGACCCTGGATCGCCGCCTAGGGGCACCGACAAGATTGTCGGACGTCGACTGGAAGTTGCAGAGAGTGAGCTATACTCTTTTGCGAATTGTGAGGTGGATGGAAGGGTGGGCTGGGAATCTACGATGATATCCGAAGCCAAATAAGCCACTCGGGCCACACTGGAGGTAGCGCTTGACATAATGACTTTGATGAATGTCGGCTGCAACACATTATTAAGCAAATTGTCAGTAAGAAAAACGATGACCTACCCTAACTGCAAGCAGAGCGGATGGAGAAAACACTGAAGATGCGATGAGACCATTTGAACTCTGGATTCAAATCGGCTGACAGCAAAAGCACATCATCTTGTGCCATTTGTTTGTCCGCATCCCACCGAATTCCGAATTCAAGTTTGCCTGTTCACCCACGGGTGACATGGGCAGGTGACCTTACGAAACTACCAAGTAGTACTAGTCCCTGGTAAAATAACAAAAATATCATTCAAGATACAGGTATATCGGAGCCCTTCGCAATATGGAACAACGCGGAACTCCCCCTCCTGGAGTTACCCATGACACAACTCGAGTAACAAGCAGTCATCTTATCAAATTCACATCGTAGGAGTCTGCCCGGCTTGCTCCTCCAGCTCATTCAGATAGTGATACGCTCTTCCAAGCATCCAAATGGGGAATGAAAATTTGAAGTTCGGGTATGATATAGTGCAATTCTTGTTAAACACTCCTTCAATCGCCTCCTGTGGCCATGATCCATCCTGCGTCGTGACTAAGTTTTTGGAGATCGTCATTATTTTGTGCTGAACTCACGGGTAATTGCCTATCGATGACCAACTTGACAGCCTTTCGAATAGGCTCGGGATCGGGATATTTCGCGTACATGAGGGCCATGGTCGCCCAACAGGTCTGTACGACCTGAGAGTTCTCGTGCTGTATCCAGGTACCCTGTTCACAGGACTACGGAACAGATTAGGAATCCAGTCCCGGATGTAAATTTGGATCCACCTACTTTGTAACTTTCGCCCCAACCACCATCTTCTCTTTGCCATGAGAGAAGGAACCTACACGCCCGTTGTGCGTGGGAGCTGTTTGAATAATTCTCTCCAACTAGCGAAAGACTCTCAAGAGCAAACTGCGTTGCATATGTGAAGCAGATTCCCCAGGAGCCAACCCAGCCGCCATCGGCTTTTTGCGCCTTGTGTAAGAACTTGATCGCACCTTTGATAGTTTTTCTGAAATAGTTGTCAGGACGGTAAGCAGAACAGCGGCTCCTTGCTTACTCAATGTCAGCAGGCCGGTAGTCAGGATAATGTTTCCTAAAGATAGACAGCGACGTAATCACGGAGGTTGTGCACTCTGGATAACAGAACTCGATCATGATGTCACCTACAAGTCGTCATTTGAATAGTGAAAGTTATGAGAGTAAATGACTCACCAAAAACCTCTGCAGGGTTCAGCCATTCCAGCCACTTGGGACCCCTGACCAACTCATAACTGGCAAAACCGCCATTCGAGTTCTGCATAGTTAACATGACGTCTACAGCATCAAAAAGTCGTTCGTCTGAGATGATTTTCTCCGAGCCTCTGTCAGAGTGTTCAGTTGACAGTCCAAAAAGATCACAGTGATACTAACTCGACTTGGTTTTGTAAATACAAGACCGCTTTCAGCCCCTCGCCGGTACAATCGCTGACCGTGTACCCCTGCTCTTTGGTGCTAAATGGCCAAGCTCCCTTGGTGGTGTGACGGTAAGATGTCTCGTAGTGCTTCGGGTTCTCTCTGATCTGGCAAACGTCCAACCATCCAAGCGCCTTCGACAAACTCTCCTTATTCACCTCCTCCTTCGCAAGGCCGGTCTCAACGAGCGCCTGCGTGATGAAGCCAATATCCCATAGCTGGCTCCCATTCGTCCCACACATCATCATGCCTTCCTGGCCAAGCCACATAAAGTCTGCGCGTTTAATAGCGTGCTGCTTGTACGCTTCACTGTTGGGGCCTTCGACATGAGCACGGCAGATGAGGTTCATCATTTTGGAGACAGGCCCAAGGGTCTGGTATTCGGTGTTCTCGTCCTCGAGAACGATAAGGTGGTATGCACGTGCGAGAGCTGCCCTGCGGAGGGGAGGGATAACGCAGCCCTCGTACATTGAAAGAACAGAGTTCATAACGTCCAGGACAGTGGTATGAGGGGAATACAAGTCTGCTGCACACACGTTATTACGTTGCGAGGGCCAGTGGATCTGATAATAGTTAGTTGGGTATAGTTCCTGCAAGTTGGAGCGTCAGCAAACAAAATGTAAGATTCAGCAATAGAATTCTCGCATCTCGGAGGGCTCGAATCAAATCATTTTCCTGCATTTTAAATCGGATGCCGTAGAGATAGCTCATTGGCACATAGACAGTCCGGGTATGTATCCACCAGCGATGAGGATGGAAAGGCAGCCAATCAGGGAGGAGCCTTTCAAATAATTGAGGCGTTAGTTCAGGCGTCAAGATGAAAGCTTGCAAACGGACCAAAGCTCCGCAGGGACTGGGTTCACACCAGCCCAATCATACACATTCAAGATTGCGAGCCAGAACTTGCCCCATGCGGGAGCACCAGTGGCTCCTCCTGTACTTGAAGAATTAGGCCACATACACCAACAAAGTTGAAGGATGAGCGCACCAAGTTTGTGCAATGTCTCACGGGCTCTTACAGCAGCTGGATGGTCTTTCTGCACACCGAGAATCCGGAGAGCGGTATAGTTTAACGCTGTCCCAAAAACGGTCGAGTGTCCTTCAATGTGTCTGTATGGACTTATAAAACGGGGCGAATAGCAAATATTGCATTACAACTTACATTCCCCAACCACCGTCTTCCGGGTTGACATGGTTCAGAAGATAGCGAATCATCTCCAGACGCTCCTCCTCCTTGAAGCTCATGCCAGACACGTATGACCCAATAACAAGGCCGGGGAGAAGGAACATGGGGCCACCGTACTCGCCCGGCCAATGTCCATCATGAGACTGAAGGTGCTTGTAGAATGTATATCCATTGCGGGCTGCATCCAGCGCATCCTTGGGCTTAGGAAGGTCGGGCAAATTCTATTCGGCTGAGGCCTGAGCGCGTTTGCGAGCCAAAATTTGAATGACACGCTTACGAGTGGAATACCAATCCAGTACTTGTCTACATCATTCTGAGGCCACTTCTCGCATTCCTCGTCTGTTTGGAGGTAGTGCCATGTGTGCCTTCCGCTGTCATTTACGAGCAACCTCCAACGGCTGTAGTCAGTGAAGGGCTTGTTTCCAGACTCTGAGATGTCGAGCTGGGGCCACAGCACAGAAACTTCAGCTTCCGTTGGCATGTACATCATGGTTGGAGAATGAGAGACAAGATTCGAAGTCTGCTGAATCCGTTTGTATGATACAGCCGAGTAACCAGTATCCCGGATAGTAAAGTTGGTTCATGATGTAAACAACGTGTCCACAACCGAAATCACGTATTTCTAGCGTTCCACGATGGTCAGTTTCCGAGACTCGTCCGTCGTTATCATCGAGTCCGGCAGAACACTCATCAGAGCAGGCGTTGGCTTGCAAGATCTGCTCAAGGCGCCATCTATTGTTCGTATCATTCATTTTCGTATCTGAGATTCCATATTGATACATGCTACAGGAAATACAAGCTCGCGTCGGTCTGCGACGCAATCCAGGTGATAGTGCAAATGGCTCATTCTCTCTGAAGCCAGGCGAGAGTAGCGATAATCTGCGTCCCTCTGCATCCAGCAGTCGTGCATCGACTTTGCCTTCTCAGCCTAATCCCTCGGCGAAGGTTCACGACTATCTCGTCGGCTCACAACTAGACGAAGCTCTCGAAGCTGGTCATGATATTATCGTCTCATGGCCATTTGCAGATGGTGATGTTCGTGATTGGACTCAAGCGGAGGCACTCTGGTATGTTTGTAATTCTATTCTTGTGTCCTCACCTCACATAGTGTGACCAAGGAAATATGTTCTGTTCCATACACTTCAACTCAAGCGAACTCAGAACGAGTGTCCTGTTATGCTGTCCATGCCAGCAGGCCTCTTCAGAGATTCGTCAGAACGCATATGCCAAATCTTTTTCGAGCGCTTCAATGTCGCAGGCTTCGGTCTTCTTGACCGCCCCATGGCCCAGCTCTATGCCGCTGGACAGCTCAGCGGAGTCGTGGTCGATATCGGTCACGAAATAACCGACATCACCCCAATTTACGATGGATTCATTATGCAAAACGCTCGTTCGTCTACACCTGTAGGCATCAGAGATTGTCAAGTTTACCTCGCCAACCTCCTGCGCTTCAATCAGTCAGTCATGGCGGCGGCATCACCTCCGGACAAACCGAGTGACCCGGAGGTTACTCAGAGATTCTTAGACGATCTGGTTAAGCATGTTTGGGTGGAAGGCCTTGTCCGCGTTCCATCAGACGGGCAAACGGTAGATATACCAGAAGATGAAATCACAGATATAGCGGCAGTCCTCGTTGCTGGCAAGGAAAAGGCCGTCATTGAGACGGGGATGAAAAAAAAGCTGACTGCCAAGGCTTCTGCTGCAGAGCAAGCTCGGGCGAGGGAGATTGAAGCACTTGATCTTGTCACTGTGGAGTTCCGCGGACACTCTATCACTCTGGGCAAAGAGCGGCATCGGTTTTGCGAGCCGCTTTTTGATCCTATGCTGCTGAACGAGCTGCCTGTCGAGCGTGTGGATCCTTATGAAGGGAGAATATTGCCCTTGCAGGAGGCTGTTGCATTTTCGGTTCGCCAAACGGATGTCGCCCAAAGGCAATACATTTGGCAAGGTTTGTTTATTAATGGCGATCTTACAAATCATGTCAAAGGTGCGTGATCATGTACCACCAGTAAAGTCGGAATTAATCGTGCAAAGGCATCGGAGCTGCACTGCAGTCGCGGTTAGCGCCTTTCATCCTTAGCACTCCAGATCAGGCAACTGACGTGCAGCCGCGCTCGATTCGAGTACTGACTGTGCCTGAATACTTTGCTGAATACCGAGAAAAAGGAGATGGCTTTGCGGCTTTCCTTGGTACTAGCATTGTTGCGAAGGTATGTGTATTGTTCGATCGCATTCAAGGTCTTTCGGTTGATGAGCCCCCTTAGATCGCGTTCAATGAGTCGCATGGGAAGAACTTTGTGTCAAAGACTGATTATAATGAGAAGGGGCCACACGCTATTCTAGAAATGTCTCTAGCTTCGTTGTAACGACTTTTGCTATGTTCACTGCAGTTCTGTAAAAATTGACCCCTCGATTGGGGGTGGTTCTGTCGGAGTTGAACCCGTTTTGGCCAAAACTGTACAGTTCATCCATCATTCTGAAAGTTAGATTTTGTCATATCCACAAGCCGCTCGTCGTCATCAAGCTCCTCAAGACTCCCCGACATACCTAAATCTACCAATGGCCCCTTCCAAGAAGTCTAAGGCAACCAAGTCGTCCGAGTCCATCTCGTCTCGTCTTGCGCTCGTCGTTAAGTCGGGGAAATACACCCTTGGTTACAAGTCTGCCCTCAAGCAGATGCGCAGCGGCAAAGGTGAGCACTCTTTCGCACTCACGGGGACTGGAGCGTGAGGCTGAGAAGGTCCCTTGTACTGACAATAAATTTGCTTTGTGTTTGTTTTACTCGCATCCGCGATGATTTAGCCAAGCTCGTTCTGATTGCTGGCAACTGCCCACCACTACGCAAATCTGAGCTCGAGTACTATGCCATGTTGTCAAAGACGACCGTGCACCACTTCTCTGGCACGAATGTCGCACTTGGCACTGCCGCTGGAAAGCTTTTCCGTGTCGGGTGCGTCGTCCCATATATCTCGATTCCTAACTCACGCAAGCTAAACGGATTCTCTCAGCGTCATGACTGTTACCGATCCTGGAGACTCTGATCTCCTCACCTTCGCAGAGGGAAACACTGCATAGACCCAAAATTGCAATGAGACGTCGGAAGTATAGGCTTATGCTATTATAGCCATACTTTGTGCATCAGTATGCTAGTAATTATGTTTACTACTTGTCGTTATGATTCATGCATGTAAGGATGCCGCACAATGTTCACTGCACATAGCCTATCTTGTCTTTAAACGTCGAGGGAACAAGTACGACAAACTCCAACTCTCGATGTCCTCTATCCATGAGCGCACAAGAATTGTACAGCCAAGCCGCAAGCTCCAGGGTCTCCCAAACAGAAGATCAATTCCATGAGTAGGCACAGTTAACGGCAGAAATAAACCTCGAGAGCCGGAAAACAAAACGGAGAGAAAGAAAAGTCATCATATTGAACTATACACCACAGAAAAGCAGTGCAATACTGTCGAATAGCAGTATATAATGTATCAGTTAGCAGTATGGGACAATGAAGGCAGTACAAGATGACGACAACGAACAGTACATGATGCGACAACGACAGCCAATCAGCGACCACGGCTCTCTGTCTCTCGCCCCTACAGTCGCAAGACTTAAGCTATGTTCCTCCATTGACCACTCCATCTTTTGCAAGCTCCCCGAATTTCCGCTCGAAGATGGAAATACCGATGGTCGTAGGAACGAAATCATTGCGCGGAAGTGGGCTAGGCATGGATTGAGGATACGAGAGCCTTTGGTTCTCGTTCAATGACGGCGGCTGCCTTCGTACGTGGAGCACAAGTGGCTTCGACTGCTGAGGTGGAATCACTTGGCGGACCAGATCATCGAGTGGAATGATGTGGTTCAAATTTGAGTCATCTTCGTCTGGTGCATCCAATCGTCTCCATTTTCGGGAAATTGGTTCCACCGGCGCGAGTGGACCAAATGGTTTGTGAGGTGGCAGTGAGACGAGAGGAACGGTGAATTGCCAATTAGGTAGTTGATGATACGACGGTAATGGTGGGGGATGAGTCACAATTCGTCGTGATGGTGGTGCGGTAGCAACGAGCCTGTCAAAGGCCAGAGTCACTGGGCTATTGACGAGATCTTTATGATCGGTCGTGAAGTGGAGCTCCAGTTGAGATGCTCGCGGAAAAACTCGCTCACAATCTGAAAATAGGACACTGAAAATGAAGTAGATTGCCATTTTTAGAGTGTGACATACCTTGGACTGGACAACTGATTGCAAGACGAGACAAATGGCTGAGGTCCACATGTGCTTTCAGTGCATCCTTTGTGACGTGCACACGACCTGCACATCTAAGATATCGACATTGGTACTGTCCCTCCTACAAGGACAGTAGATAAGCAAAATGAGGTAAGTTATGGATGAAAAAAAACTCACTATGTTGGATATGCGATCACAGTGTCTTAAGGTATGCTGTGTAATAAGGAAGTATGTATTAGTACTGACCAGTAATGGAGGATGATGCAGATGAAATGGGCAGAGTGAGTGAATACTCACTCCAAGAGCACATTAGAAAACCTTCAGCATGGCCACTCAGCACTGTTGACTGGAGAGCAAAGTGTGACAGCTGAAGATTTTCTAATGGACCCCCAGAGAGAAGTACAGCTCAGCACACCACCATCAGAACATCTATGACTAGTCTCTAGTACATCTAAAGTAGATCAAGAGCAAATCTAAATTCACCTTTGTTAAATTATACCAACTGTTGAGAATAACTGTGCACCCTTCCCACTCGCATGGCATGGGTCTGATTACTTGATGAGCGATATTAGTAATTTCATGAGGGGAAAGGAGAAGATCTGAGGGCCCAGCAACCTCAGACATCTAACAGAAGATTGGTGGTTGAAAAGGTTGAATGATGTGTTTTTCATGACAAAAATAAACATAGGTAAACATTCATGACCACCTTGTGGTCAGACGATGACTAATGTTTTCACCATATTGTCTTCGCTGTTGGACTCTACTAGGCTCTGCCAAATATACCACATTCACCTGATTGTCTGCGAAGTGTAACATAGTCACTTGAGATCAACTCCCATTACAATCTAAATGGACTAGGCTGGCATGTCACCATCACTCGCTCGTGGGATGATTCAGATTCATTCTCAGCTGAACATGATTTCGAGTACTAATGGTTGTTCTTGAGTCATAGGGACATCTCTAGGCTTCGTAAATCAAGGGTTGGAAGTCACATTTGTATCCACACTACTTATATGTGAAGTACTGTGCCTCATGGCAGGGTCAAAATGCTTTGTTGACAATCATGTCCTGAAAGTGCAGTCACCAGAGTCTGTTAGTAGGGCAGGGATGTGGCCTAATGCCCATTCTCATTCATTTCATTTTTGTGGGTTTATGCAATTTTGTTCCATCAGGCTGGTAATGAACTACATCTACTATCATGCTCCAGTAAGCATTTTCAACCGTGCTTCAGCCGCTCGGGCCCTTCGTTCCCGTTCCACCTTTGCTCTCAACTCAGCAGTTAAGCCAACGACGCCATCAACTGCGCCGGACGAACCTCCGAGCTTTCGGGGAGCTGTAGGGTCTTGAGAACGAGGCTCCGACTTTGCTTCCACCTGTTCGTCATCAATGTCAGACTGTTTACTTTCTCGTTCTCTCTCTCTGGCCTCCCGTTCCCGCATTTTCTCTTTCAGGCCTTTCTTTCTTTGTTTTTTCTTCTCGTCCCTCGCTTCTTCCCTTTCCTTGTTGAAGGTGCTTGGTACATGTGCCGCCCCGAACCAGTCCCACCAGTCAGGGTGATCTCCCGCGCACTGGCGAAAAATGTCACGGATTGCTCTTGCACGAGCTAAGTCATAGGCAGTACGGCGCGAACCTGTACCCTGTAAAGGAGGCGCGTTCGATATGTCAGATTCGTTGGCAGCTTCCTGATATACGCCTGAAGACGGAACAAGGATAGTCGGATCGGCGTGCAGTTCGTACAACAGCCAGCGTGTAACGTCTTCCTGGCCTGATTGCACAGCGACCTGGAGCAACGATGCATGTCTATCTCCTATCCATTCTGGTATGAGGGCATCGATACCACCGAGGGAAGCGCCTTCGCGCTCCCAGAAGGATTTCAGAGGCTCTGAGCGACCTTTGCTGATCATTTCTAGTAATCGAGACCACTTCTCACGGTAGGCTTCCTCCTCCTTAGTCAATCGTTGTGGTTTTGCCTTTTCAGGCACCGCTGCGGGCACGACGGAAGGTGTGGCTTTGGGCTTGGGCAAGGAGGCAAGGAACGCTTCGTCCTGCGCTCTAAGTGCTTCTTCTGTAAGGTGTGACGTCTTCACTTGAGTGAGCTCCAGGAGACATCGCACAAGCTCAGATTGAGTCTGAAAGTAGAAAATATAAGAATTACGCGAGTGACAACGGTAAAAAAAACGTACTGGTCGGCGCGTCGGAAAAGGGAACGTTCTCAGACGATCGTCTCCTTTGTTGATGACGCAATTTTCATAGTCGAGAAATATGCGCCTGTTAGAGACACTAGCACGTAACCAAATTCTTTCGCAGTCCTGAATGTCATCAGCCCAGTCAAGAAGAAGGTTGCGGATATCCTAGGAGTGTATGTTCAGCTATAGCGAACGAAAAGGAAGGCTCGCTTACATCTCGGAGAGCTTGCTCGCCGTAACGACGAAGCATGGCACCTGCACTAATCGCAGCACCCTTGGAATTGTCATTTACCGATTGCGAACCACCCTGTTTACGGCGAGCTAGACGCGATTTTTTTTTCAGTACAATGAATAAGACGATCATAAATACACTTACTAGTGTAACGGTGAAATGTCTTATGTTTCAGAATTGACGTCTCCGGCTTGGGTTTTGGCGGTTTCTTCTTCGTTTTTGCAGAGAAAGTAGAATCCTGGTCTTCTGCAGGTCTACTGACTTCTACTATTGCGCCCGCAAAGTGACCTCCGGCAACCATAAACATAGCCCACTTTCGTCCACCTTCCACACGTTCTTGAATGCTCTTCAGCTCCGCCAAGTACGACGGAGCAGGGGTATCTATTGGAAATAGCATTCTGTACACCCCGATTTGAGTGGATGGAGGCGAATGAAACCAGGTAAGCGCTGTAAGTGGTGTTTGTCGCTCCTCGCTGAGCGAAGGTGATCTCGACGTTCGCTTGATTTTGTTCACCAGGACCTTGACTGCATCGGAGTCATCAGAACTCTCATCAGATGATGCAGACCCTGAAAGGGAATCTTCAAGGCCTAGCTTATACGAGGTATATTTCGTAAAAGCGAATGACGAGTAGTTTGAAGTGCGTACCGTCAACAAGCTGCGCAAAGGCTAGCTCCGTCACAGGGCTGCCACCCCTCAGGCGAATCTTTACATTGTATCGATGCCAGTCGGATCGAAAATGGGATCGTTGCTCAGTTACATCTGCAAATGTCGCTCCGAGACAAATGTTACACGCTCTCGCGTTGTCTGATACTAGAGGAGCTGTGTGTATGAGAGTCGAGACTTCCGGGGGTGGTGGTTGACTGATTAGATTCCGAGGTATAAGGGTCTCCAGCAATTCGGGAGGAAGCGAAAAGACATGGTATCTCTGGGCCATTTGCGCAGGGTTTGTTATGAGTCTGCGAATAAAACCTGAGCGAAAAATGGTAGCATAGGGCAAACCACGGACCCGTTAAGATGACTGGATGAGAGTCACCGCTAATGTCATACTTCGGAGATGGCCGAATTTAGTAGTTGGACTGATTGGCCACTAAAATAGGTTTACAACCGTACCATCATGGTGTCTGCAGATTTCGCTGAACGGCCAGTCAAGAAGCTCGTGCTATTCGATGTCGATGAGACGTTAACGCCCGCACGCCAGGTAATCCAGCTTCCAGATGACTATCATGCTTGATGTCAAGATCTCCCGACAGAGGGCATCTCCAGAAATGATCCAGCTCTTACGCGACCTCAGAAAGCATGTTGCTATAGGCTTTGTTGGTGGGTCTGATTTCGTCAAGATATCCGACCAGCTTAATGTTGGTGATTTCAATGGTACGAAGCTTTTCCTCATTGACTGCTAACATACTCATACGCATCTGCAGTTCTGGAGTTCGACTTTGGCTTCGCTGAGAATGGCCTTATCGCGTATCGACTCGGAAAGCTGCTGGAGTCTCAGTCCTTCATCAAAATGGTAGGCGAAAAGGACTATCAGGAGCTGGTCAACTTCATCTTGCATTACATTGCTGACGTGAACATCCCAATCAAACGGTGAATTTCTCTGATCCTTGGCGGTCGATCGACCCATTCACTTGCAATTTATAGTGGAACATTCGTCGAGTTCCGCAATGGCATGATCAATGTCAGCCCTATCGGCCGCAATGCAACGTGGGTTCATTACGTGCTATTCCCTAGACTTGTGTTAACACCCCTTGGCTCCGCAGTATCAAGGAACGCAAAGATTTTCAGGCTTACGACAAGGTAGTAACATGAGACAATCATTCATTATGTTACTCATCGATTCTCGGCAGGAACACCACATTAGGGCGGACTTTGTAGAAATTCTCCGGGAGAAATTCAAACGACTGAATTTAACGTTCTCTATCGGTGGCGAGATATCATTTGATGTCTTTCCACATGGATGGGACAAGACTTACTGCCTTAGACATGTCGAGAAAGATGACTTCGAAGAAATCCACTTTTTCGGGGACAAGACAAGCAAGGTAAGAGTCGAGTTTGTTACTAGGTCAAATTTCGTCCCCTTGACAATTTCTGTAAAGGGGGGTAACGACTACGAGATTTTCAGTGATCCTCGTACTGTCGGGCACACCGTTAAAAATCCCGCAGATACGATGAGAATCTGCACAGAACTTTTCCTGTCATGAAGTGCTCAACGTAAGTTCGAAAGTCATATGAAGTTGTAAATTCAAAACCCATGGACTCGCGTAGAATTTCGGATAACAGTTACGACTATACCAATGACTCTTCGTAACTATACATGGACTAGCTTGCTATCACTCCTGGGGTTCTGCAACATTTTCAATAAACCTTTTGTAACTCCTCAACCACATCATATTTTCTTCTACGGATTTGCACCGTCATAGATTCATAGCTGCTCTATATGAATAAGATTTTTGCTGATTTTTGCTGATTTTGTGGTGGAATGTCGGATGAAGGCCCTGCAAAATATTGTCACGTCCTGTCACACATCGGCACAGTAGCGGCACTGTGAACTTTCACCCTCCGAAGACTGAGCTCTTGCACATCGAATCAATGTTGTACGAAGCTTTGAAAATGACTATTATTGAGGATCGTGTGTTCATATACTAATTATTGTGATTATAATAGTACTGTCGATGGAGTCCTGAGTTATACAGCTGACTGCCTGCATTACCAGATTCCCATGTCATACATCTGTGTTCCACCACCAACTCGAAAATCCTTAGACATGCCAGCAACTCGCGAGAGGTTTACCAACCGGTATGAAGTGAGGGCAGAGAAAAGGTGGAGACAATGATGCATTGGATAATATGGAAGTGCATAGCTGGGTGGGGGCCGATCCATGCCTGACATTGAGGAATGTTGATGAGTGACGCGGATGCCTGGCGGCTGCGGTGGCTGGTGAATCACATTGAAAGGATGCGAGAATGAGATGTGGACGCTGTACAATCAAGCCGAGTGTGCCGTAGAGGAGATTGAATTTCTTACATCACTCTCCTATCTGCTGTCACGCTTTCATACACGTCGTCAATCCTATAGCATCTTAAAACAAGAGAATGAACTCTATCGAAATTGTGTTCTGACACCCTGACAAGGTATTCGATATGTTCCAGGTGTAACTTTTTGAATATCTCTCTAGGATCTATGGGATTTGGATCATTTATGATTATACTATGAGGTTGCAAATAATCACTATTCCGTCTCTCACAGCTGCAACATTCAAGAATTTTTTATTCCACTTGGACAGTACATTATCTCTAGATAGCCTACATGCGCCTGATTTTTTTCGAGGTGATTTAAGCAGCATGTTGAGTTGTGTTGAGGCGTTTTGAACATTTTGCATATTACATGCCAGTTGCAGATTCCCAGGAATGATAGTGAATTGTGTACATAAGCCAAACATAAGCGAACAAATACGACCATACGTGTTTTAATTCAAAACGCGTCCTCTCAAGTCTTGTCCATTAGTACTTTTAGTACTTGGTGACCAGGTCTACATCGTCTACTCCCGGCGCGCTTGTGACACGTCGTTGTTTGTACTATTCCTCTCATCTACTGAGACGTAACGATGGTTGGCCCGACAAATTCCACACGACAAAATCAGCTAACGGCGCGCACGCGGTAAGGATCAGAGCGCGTCACAAACGTCTTTACTCAGATACATGTTTGACAGCACCAAGCCGGATGTAAGCTCGGAACCCGCCGCGAAAAGGCGCAAACTTGGCCCAACCAACTCCCAGAAAACGCAAGATTCGTCCTTCGCAGATGTATTAGAACAGCTGAGTCAGGACAGAGCACATGACGGTGTCGGTACGTAGCGTGGAGAACTCACCATTACTTTGATTATTGATAGTTAGAAAAGCTGCTGAGGGTGGGGCTGATAGCTGGGCCCGCCCGAATCTTCCCTCCATTAATGAGAAGCGAAATAGCATCAGTGTGTACACATGTTGCCTGAGGCTCATTAACTTACGATGCTCCCCCTTACAGTATTTCAGCAAATCGATGTCGACGAAACAACGGACTACAGCAATGGGTCCATCGTGTTGAGGTTGTTTGGCGTGACAGAGGTACCTTCTTTATACTCGCGCTTTCACGCAGTTCTCAAATTATCTTGCAGGACGGAAATAGCGTACTCGCATATGTCACTGGTTTCCTTCCTTACTTCTATGTCGCCGTCCCTCGCGGCTTTGATGAGTCAGATATTGACGCATTTGCAGATCAGTTAAACGTATGCGTCATGGTTACGTACAAGGTGTATCGTGGCTGAACTTGCCTACAGAAACAGGCTCAAGGCAACTTCGTGAGGCATATAGAGATTGTCAAGCGGCGTAGCCTTTGGGGTTATCGTGGAGATGACTGGGTTCTTTTCATGAAACTCACAATATCCGAACCGAGGAATCTCCCGAAAATTCGAGATGAGTTTTTTTTGTTTCGTCCTGCACCAGCGCTTTCTGCATGTACTTATTGTTCTTTGACCAATACGCTTGTTTGAGAGGGGCGAGTGTGGGTTTCGAGACTTTTTCCCCACCGGACAACCTTGTTCAACATTCGAGAGTAACATTGCGTACACCCTGCGTTTCATGATCGATACCAAGGTATGGAAACACATGTCGCAAGAACTCTGAGATGACACTTCTGCAGGTTGTAGGCATGAACTGGATTGAGATTCCTGCCGGTCAATACAAACTTGTGTCCGAAAAAGACAAGAAATCCACATGTCAGATCGAGCTTAAAGTCAGGTAATTTTCACTCTGCTTTGTCGTGTGCATAGATGTCTGATGATGCTTTGCACTAGGTGGGATGCCTTCATCTCGCACCCACCGGAAGAAAACTGGCAAAAGTTTGCACCTCTTCGTATACTGAGCTTCGATATTGAGTGTGCTGGCCGGAAGGGCATATTCCCTGAGGCACAGGTTGATCCAGTCATCCAAATTGCTAACATGGTGACGAGGCAAGGTATGGGATCTGAAGTTTTCTATGTATTCGCTCACCCTGGATTTCAAGGCGAGACCAAGCCGTTCATTCGCAATATTTTCACCTTGAATACATGTTCACACATCGTCGGCTCACAAGTGATGTCGTTTGACGACGAGGCTGAGATGCTGCAGGCCTGGCGAGACTTTATTGAAGAGGTTGACCCAGATCTTGTCATTGGGTACAATATTGCAAACTTCGATTTTCCATATCTCATGGATCGAGCAAAGCATCTCAAGGCAAATAAGTTCCCTTTCCTTGGTCGCATGAAGGGTACGCATCTCTGTTTGCTGTTATAAGATCATATTTATTTTATCTCAAAGGTTCCAAAACTCAAACGAAGGAAACGCATTTCTCTTCGAAGGCATACGGGCAGCGTGATTCCAAAGATACAGAGCTAGAAGGTCGACTACAACTCGACGTCTTGCAATTCATGCAACGTGAACACAAGCTACGTAGTTATACCCTCAACTCTGTTTGCGCACAATTCCTTGGTGAGCAAAAGGAGGATGTGCACCACTCCGTTATCACCGAGTTGCAGAATGGTACTCCGGAGTCCAGACGTCGGCTGGCCGTCTACTGTTTGAAGGTGATCGAGTCTTTTTGTGTCATCTTTATCGTTCTTATAATTACTAGGATGCATATCTCCCCCAGCGACTGATGGACAAGCTTATGTGCTTCGTCAACTACACTGAGATGGCACGTGTCACAGGCGTTCCCTTTAACTACCTCCTTTCTCGTGGCCAGTCTATCAAGGTGCTTTCCCAGCTATTTCGTAAAGCCAACGAAGAGGGATATGTCATTCCTGTTTTGAAGGGCGAGGGCTCGGATGAGCAGTACGAAGGTGCCACTGTCATCGAGCCGAAGAAAGGCTACTACGATACACCGATTGCAACTCTTGATTTCAGCTCATTGTATCCGTCTATCATGATGGCCCATAATTTGTGTTATACGACGCTCCTCGAAAAGAGTACCATTGATCGCTTGCAGCTTGTCAAGGACGTAGACTATATCCAAACCCCCAATAACGGTATGTCAGAGCTGGTGGTATGCAGTTTTTAGATCAACTGGCTAATGCTTCTGAATAGATTTATTCGCTACTACGGCAAAACGAAAGGGTCTACTACCTACTGTCTTAGAAGATTTGATCTCTGCTCGTAAGCGTGCGAAGGCAGATCTCAAGAAGGAGACCGATCCATCCAAGCGTGCAGTCTTGGACGGTCGTCAGCTTGCCTTGAAGGTGCTGTGGATTCAGCTAGTAGTACAGTGGCCCTATCTGATGTCACTGAATTGCAGATCAGTGCTAACTCTGTCTATGGATTCACTGGTGCGACGATTGGAAAATTGCCCTGCCTTCCTATCTCCTCCAGTGTGACAGCATATGGGCGTCAGATGATCGAGAAGACTAAGCAGGCAAGCCGTAGTCTGTCCGCCAATGAACACCTGACTAATGGCCCTTTGTAGGAAGTCGAAGCAGAGTTCTCCATCAATAATGGACACGCTTATAATGCCGAAGTAATTTATGGTGACACTGACTCTGTCATGGTCAAGTTTGGGCCTGCGGAGTTGGAAAAGGTCATGGCTCTTGGTTAGTACCCAACCAATAACCTAACTTGCATGCGACTTACAATGTTCTACAGGAGCAGAGGCGGCGGATTTTGTGACGGCAAAATTTATCAGACCTATCAAGCTCGAGTTCGAGAAAGTTTATTACCCGTATCTTCTCATCAACAAGAAGCGGTACGCTGGACTGTACTGGACAAAGCCAGACAAATGGGACAAGATGGACTCAAAGGGGATCGAAGTTTGTTCTCATCTTTAGTAGGTTACCGTGGATATACTGAATTATGGGATCTAGACGGTCCGGAGAGACAACTGTCGGCTAGTATCGACAGTCATTGAGACTTGCCTACATAAGATGTTGATCGATCGAGACGTCAGAGGAGCTGAGGAGTAAGTATACATTTCTTGTCTTTTGGTTGGTAGCTCAACTATCTCAGGTATACAAAACGCATCATATCCGATCTTCTGCAGAATAAAGTGGATATGTCCCAACTGGTGATTACAAAGGCTCTGGCCAAAGCAGGTGTGTGAGTTTTGAACAAGAAGTGACTGGTGCTCTAATGTCTATAGACTATGCTGCGAAGCAAGCGCATGTGGAGTTAGCAGAGCGCATGCGGCAACGTGACGCAGGTTTGTGACTGATGTAGACGTCCGATATGAGTCCTAATATCCATGGTCAGGTTCTGCACCGGCCTTGGGTGACCGTGTCGCCTACGTTATTGTTAAGGGGATTAAAGGTCGAATTCTTGTCAACTATCATAGCTCTATGCTGACTTGAGAATAGGTGCTGCTGCGTACGAAAAATCCGAGGATCCTCTTTATGTATTGGAGAATAACATTCCCATCGATACTAAATACTACCTCGAAAACCAGCTCTCGAATCCTCTTATGAGAATTTTTGAACCCATCCTGGGTGAGAAGGCAGCATCGCTGTGTAGGTCGCTTCATTGGCTGCATGAATCTCGTCTTTTGATACGTTCCACAGTATCTGGCGCGCACACCAGGACAATTCAGATCGCAACG